TGGATTATACACAGCATGAAATTATGAAATTATTTTTATAAAAATTTTAATCTTTTGCAGATGCTATGAAAACAATGCTAAGGTGAAAATAAAACAGGTCTATAAGGAAGTAAGTTTTTGTCGTTTAGTCGGTGTAATTTCCCTTCCGCAGCTTGAATTTTCTCTTGAAAACTATGAAATAATTTACAACAAAAATAGTAATAACAGCATTGAATTTACCATGAAAAATATTTCAAAAGTTAATTTAGTCATAACGATTGTAACTTCGAAGTTACCGCCAAATTTTTCCTTAAATTTGGGATCTAATGAATACTTATTAATCTCATCTGAAAATCATATAAAACTTGAACTTACTCCTTCAAATGAAGCAAAGTTTTGTTTAAGATTTCATCCGAAACTTCAAGGAAAATTTGTATCGACTGCTTTACTCTACCTAGATACAAGTATGAATATGCCTTACTATAACTTAACATTTAGTGGAGTGAATGAAATACCAATGATAACTTCCAATAAGTCACGTATAATATTTCCATCGTGTTACGTCGGATCTGGAATATCTGCAACTATTAATTTGTCATTAGACACAGAATGTAATTTAGATGCAATTTCTTACCAAATAAATGAACCAGATTTGGTAAAAGTAGAACTGCTGTCAGTGAATATTTTAGAAAATGAAATGAAAAAGCGCTATACTTCAATAACGGCACGAATAACTGTTTCAAGCCAAGTGCCCCTCGTTGCCACTTCGAAAGTTTATTTTAAACACTTTAGTGGATCAAGCTATGATATAGAAATCAAATTTTGTTTTACATACTGCCCCTTGACTTTACATGCAAATTCAATAGTTAAAATTGAAGATAATCCATATCCATACTATCCGATATGTACTCAAGTTATTCTATTTAATTATATGGAGCGTTGCACAAAATTTCTTGAAAAATGGATGTTCTATCAGGGGTTTAGAAAGGAATTGTACCCCAAAATTCCCGATACACTCAATGCATTATCTAGCGCAATGTCATCACAAGGTAAAGAAAAATCAAAAGGAATAAACGTTTCATACTTAAATTTTGTTAGAAGAATCGTGGGACCTTTGATGAAACATATTCATAAAGTAACGTATGTATATTATATTTACCATTAGAAATATACACCTTTTGTGGTATGACAACGTTGATATTTCTTCCATATTTCAGAGTTACAGATGTGGACGAGACTGTTAAACAAGTTAAGGAAATTTATGGATCCTATGGAGAAATTTTCAATTTTTTAAAATCACGAGGTGCCAATTTATGGGCTTTAGAGCCAAAATTTCTCTTAAGCTATGATCAATTTGTTATTTATTCGGCAAATGTACCACCAAAAGACTTTGCTGACGAAAGATTTACCAGAGAACTTTTGAATGATGAAACATTATTCAACAGATTGAACAAACAAAGTTGGATAGATTTCATACTTCAAAGCTACAAAGTGTGTATATTAGATAGCTGTTTTTTTGACTGTATATGTGTTAGCTCAAAACCAAGGGATATACTGAATTTAATAATTAATTGGTATAACGAACAATTACAAATAGCATTTAACTCATTGGTAATTAAAAATGCAACAATAAAATGTATTAAAAATATCACAACGGATTTATCTAACGGTATTGCTATTATTACAGCATTTCTTAATAATTGTCCATTCTTAAGCGAACACTTTTCAATATACAGTAATGAAAATGATTGCAAATGTGATAGCGGGAAAATAAACAATGCCTGTCTTATAATCGAAGCTATTAACCTACTGCGTTTTAATTTTCCGATCAATAGTAAAGATTTTCTGGAACCAAATTTTTTACAAATGCTATTTTTGTCAATCAACTTATATGTTGTTTTGCCTATGTATAAACCAAAAGATGTAATAACATTTAATCCACCACTTTTAAAAAGTTCGACTCGTAAAGTTACAATAAGTCCAATAAGCCAAGAATCATTAACGTTTACATATTTGTTGCTCGATAATTTAAAGAACAGTTTTACCATCGAAAAAATACTTCCTGGTGACAATGGTAAAAAAGTAACCGTGAATGTAAAATACACTGCGAATTTTGTTGAAGAAAACAAGTCTCTTCTTTTAGTTCATGGATACAACAAAACTCGTATATTTGATACTTACGTTTTATTCATACTTTCTGGAAGAGTAGAAATATTGACTCCTTTAAGAAAATGCAAAGTCGTGGGGCCAAACTACCGACAGCAAAAAGTTGATGTATTAGTTTCGTCACCTTTCACAACAACCTCTACATATCGAATATACGTAATAGATAGAGAACCTTCAATTCCTCTAAATTTTGACGATGAAACAAAATGTAAATTTTATGCTAGACGATTAAATCTCATTGATAAGGAAATCGTTTTATCTGGTATACCAAAGGAGAGTGGGCAGGAGGTTATCGAACACAAAGTGTATTTTCTTCTCATTTGCTTGGATGCTCAAATTAGTAATTCTTGGGTCTGGTTCAAGAGCGATATAGGCGAATTCTTTATAAAAGTGACAACACAACCACGGTGTGATATCTTTCTTGATACGATACATGCACACGTTGACAAATGGCCTATGGTTCCATGCAGCTGCGGGGAGTCATGCGAATGCTACCGTACTACTGCTTTAATGATACCTCATCGCAATGACATGATGCTGAAATCATTACGATGCGCTCTGTCAGAAAATGCATCTGATAAAATGATGGAAATCTTCGATAAGCTCGTAGGTACTTTCATTTTGATACATATTTCAATTATATGGTATTTAATATTAAGAATACTAAATTATATAAACTTCATATTAAATGTATTTTTTTTTTCATTTACAGAAACAAATACAGGAAGGATAATTTTAAATATGCTTTTTACTGAATCTGGCATGAACGCATCAGACGTTCAGCACATTTTGCGTAATGAGACCACCTTCCGAGTTACTGCGCGCGCTCTCGAGCCACGACTCGACCAAGTGATATTGGCTCAGCACACTGAAGCAACTTTAGCCCTACCTATAACGGTACCCGCATACGATAAACCTGAGAAATATTCTGTAACTTTCACCTCGGATTGCGGTATGGATGTGCGTACTTATAAAGTTTTCTTTGTAGAGAATGTTTAGGTTTTTAGTTAGGTTTTGTCCTTTTTTTAAATTTTATTATTATATTTTGAGCATGTTGTACATGAAATATCCTTTCCTTTAATGCCATTAATGTTATATACCATTTTCTTAATATTGTTAACTTTATACACCAGATATGTCAATTAATCGTATTATTACGTTTTTAAATTGTTAAATTAATAAATTACTAACATAATGTATGGAAGACTTTGGCGATAATCTCACTCTGTTTATATACATATTATAAAATATATTCCTCAAGTTGTGAAGACCGTGAATGAAATACCAATTTTAACCCAAACCTAAAACTATATAAATTTAATTTACATAAAAGCGGACCGAGTAACGGGCACCTATTTTTTGCCAAAATCTATAGCCAGAGTGAACTAACGTGATGTAAATACTAAAATTGGAGAAACTGGTAACTGATATAGCCCCAAAATCTAATTTCCCTTTCCAGCTCACTTTGTAATTCTAATTATTTTTTAAATTTATATAACTTTCATGCTGTCTAGTTTTTTGTGCTAATACTGAGAAACCGTTAAAAAAGTAAACAACGTGTGAGTAACAAAATATATTAAGTACCATAAAATCTAGAACATGCGCGCAAGTTTTGCGAAGGAAAAAATAAAATAAAGTCGACAAGTATTACTATACTTTTATTAAAGATGGCAACGCATCTGAAACCCTACGGGTATTAAAAATGTCCATGGGCGGCACTTAACATCGGGTGAACCGCCAGCTCGCTTGCCACCTTCTGTGACCACCTTCGATGGTGGTGGTGGTGGAAAAAAGCACCAAAATATTCTTAGATAATCAAAGTTTATTGTCGCTTGGTAAAATGAGAAATGCATTACAATATATAATAAATGAGTTACTCGCGGTTGGAAGCCTCCGGAAGGCACAGTCCCATGACCGTTTACGCGGGCTCGGAAGTAAAGAGGCGATGGCACCGCACCGCGTCGCCTGCCGCCTTGACCGCGCCACTGGGCCATGCTTAGCCGACCGGCAACTGCGACGTGGGTAGCGATCGGATGGAGAACGAAAATAACCCCGTATTTTGAATCCTATCTGTGGCTCGAGAATATATCACGCTAACAAAATCGGATATATTGAAGTGAATTTGGCGATTTGGCTTTATCTCTTACGTTAAAAAGCGATCTTACACATAAATATCTTGGAAGTGTTATGCTCACATAGTTGTTTTGTTTTAAAAGTTAAAATACTCGTATCTACATTTTCAATAACGTTATATTTTTACTGTGGTAGGCCACACAACAGTTGTTGCATGAGGCAAGTTCATCCGGGAAGTCACAGGAATCTTTTTTATGTGAGTTTAACCGGGCCCCTTAATTTTTGAAGTTTAGCAACGCAATCTACAATCTGTCTAGTCTTATATATTTCCTTAAGCGGCAGTAATCACTTAACATCAGGTGAACCGCCCGCTCGGCAACTTTTCACATAAAAGTAACACAAATAATATTACTTATTATTAAAAACGCTTCGTTCACACTCCGAATATTTATATAATAATCTCTTTGTGAACGTATTTGAATATATAAGGGAAAATAAAAAATTAACGACATCCTTGCCATCATGTTCAGTTCTTACAATACTTAATTATAGTTGTTGCGGACGCTCGTGCACCGTAGAAAGCTGGTCTGCGCCTATAAATCCACTTCTCGCCAACTCGAGCCTCCATTGTCTTGCAAGTCGTCACTACAGCTTCATACCTTCGATGACCTTAGCTTTATTTCGTCGCAAATATTTTGATTAATTCTAAACAACAACTTTAATCGGAAAAATACCATTTTGGTTTCATTGTGCACTTTTGTGTGGTGGAGTGTTAGTGTATAATGGAGATTGACAGCAAACAGTTCCGGGAGTTCGGAAAGGCGGCTATCGATATATTGGCAGACTACTTTGAAAATATCCGAGAAAGGTAAGCAACTACATAATGCAGATATTTTGCTGCTAACGATTACAAATCAAATATTACAAAATTGAAGACAAACAAACTTTGATAGTTAAGAAGATAAAGCGTCCGTCTTTTAATTTTAAAAGGAACTAATGATTTGATATTAAATGCTAACAAGCTGTTGAATCATTTTCGAAAATGTACATAATTTAAATGCTTTGATTGATAACTAAGATAATAAATCAATAATATTATTGTCTGAAAAAAAAATTATGCAACAATCCAGATCATTAGTTATTCAACTTATTAGTATCCATCAGAAGATAAAGCAAGTTGTAACATATAGATTAACAATTAACATTTAAATAACTTGTGTGTAAGCACATCTTGACAAGTTTGTAATACCTTCCCACAATAAGTGAAGATAATTATTTATGACACGAAACATTCCATCATTTTAATTGTCTCTTGGCATTGATTACACAAAACTATTACGAAATCTTGATATGAAAGGGGCATTTTTATATTGTCTTAAAGTTTACTTTAAAGACATGAAGATCAATTTTTCCACACTTTGTTAAATAAATCACGCTCTGAGATTTGAAAATCATAAAGCATGTATCAAAACTCGAGCATTATTCCCGTCGTTATTATTTCAGTTATTCCAGTTATTATACCTATCAGTAAATAAAATATCATTATTTTTTGGACAGACATTAATTCGTTACAATTTATTCCATACAGAGATGTTCTGCCGTCTGTAGAACCAGGACAACTAATTAATGAAATGCCGGATGAGGCTCCAGAACAACCCGAGGACTGGAGGATTATCTTAAAGGAATTCAATGAAATGATTTTACCAAACGTAAGTAGTAGAATAATAAATTGTATTGAATTATTGAATTTATTATAATACCATTAATATTTTTAAAAATCAATAGGCTGGCAGTACCCTTGAAAAAAATTTATTTTTTCATAAATACGATGTTTTTTTATTTAATGGGTAAATATTTTTTTATTTTTGTGAAATGATTTTTTTTATGTGAAAAGTTGCCAAGCGAACAGGCGGTTCACCTGATGTTAAGTGAATAGCGCCGCCCATGGACATCTGCTACACCCGTGGGTTACAGATGCGTTGACAACCTTTTGAAGATTGGGCTCCGGCCCTCACTCACCAGACGAAACGTATTTATTATACTTACGCCGGTCTTCTGTGAGGTCGTGGTACTTACCCGGATGAGCTTGCCCATTCGTGCCACAGCCGAGGCTGCTACGTGGCCCTACCACATATAAAAATAAATATAATAAAAAGAATAAATTAATTAGAAAAAAAAGTAGACTCTACAGCAGTTAAACCATATAATCTAAGCCATTATGAAATACTTGTATTGGCTATGTTTATTCATTTGCTTTATTATATTATTTTTGTAATTTTATTATACTTTAATAAGAGAAGTTTGTACGGTATACTACGGTTGTAGGAGAATACCACTATAATATTGCCCGTCAGTCATTTATAAGACTGTAGGAAATCCTCGATTCTCTGAGCATAATCGAGAATCAGCTATACATACTTTATGGCTCTTCCGTATATAACAATAAAGCAGCATAAAGAAAGTATCATAAAGTAGAAAAGCCTTTATTTGTCCTATTGCTGGGTAGCTCTCACTACGCGACCTCACTGTGGATTGGCGGACTTCACAAATCTTCCAATTTATTTTTTTAATTATTATTTCCTATTCTTATATGCAGATTTCCTCGCAATGTTTTCTTTCACCGCTAAGCACGTGATAAGTCAACACAAAATTGCATTTAAAATTTCATGATGCTGGCACTGGGGTTTGCTCCAGTATTTTAAATTAAAAGCGACCTCACGGACACTGAGCTACTATGATGACTTAGCAACTATTGTCTATAGATACAACTCTTAGTTCAATTTCACGGAAGTTCATACCCATTGATACAAATTTCATTCCATTATGTGAAATAAACGTTTAAACGTCAATAATGTGATAACATTTAATGACTTTTTAAATATTTATTCTTAGAAAGCATTTATTTTTAAGCGTTTATTCTTGTTTATTGTAGACGACTCATTGGCACTCTCCTCAATTTCATGCTTATTACCCCACTGGAAACTCATATGCCAGCATAATTGGAAACTTGTTGAGTGATGGTATTGGAATTGTTGGCTTTACATGGGTAAGAAATTGATTATTTAATTGTTAAAAGTCCATCGAATTACAACAATATAAATTTATTTAATATAAAAGTTCTAAATATCATGTTTGTTTTGCAAAAATCTTGTGAATTTTAATGTATAAGCAATTTGAATATTATATATTTAGACACCGACAAAGGAAAAAATATAGACAAAAAATTACACTGTATTTTAACTCTTCTAATGATTTGACTATTCCGCTACTTAGGTATATGAATTCAGTCTATTTTCTCTTAATAGAATGAATCTTATTTTATTTTGATATATTAAATTTGTTCCGGAATGTAAACACAATAATTATTTTCTATTTTAGATTGCAAGCCCGGTGTGTACTGAATTAGAAGTGGTAACTATGAATTGGCTAGGCAAGTTGCTTGGCTTACCAAAAGAATTTCTCAATTGTTCATCTGGCCCTGGTGGTGGGATTATTCAGGTAATAAACCCATTCTTATTGCAGATCATTTAATTTTTTCATACAATTTTTAATGTTATTCTATATTACCAGGGCTCCGCGAGTGAAGCTACGCTTGTAGGCCTTCTGGCTGCTAAAGATAGAATGATCAGAAAACTTATAAAAGATGATCCGAACCTCGACCCCGACGACTTACGAAATAAATTCGTAGCGTACACATCTGATCAGTGCAACTCATCTGTTGAAAAGGCTGGCGTTCTTGGTTCCATGAGAATGCGCTTATTAAAATCAGATTCCTTTGCAAAGTTACGTGGGGAAACACTTAAGAAAGCATTTGAAGAGGATATTTCTAAAGGGCTGATACCGTGTTATGTAGTGGCTAATCTAGGAACCACTGGAACTTGTGCTTTTGATCCTCTTTATGAACTTGGTCCAGTATGTAAGAAGTATAATGTGTGGCTACACGTTGACGCCGCGTATGCCGGAAGTGCTTTTATTTGTCCTGAATACAGAGGCTGGTTGAAAGGCATAGAATACGTAGACTCATTTGACGTAAACGCGCATAAATGGCTACTTGTAAATTTCGATTGTTCAGCGATGTGGGTAAGAGACGGATATGATTTAATCAATGCATTCGACGTTCAACGAATATACTTGGACGACGTCAAAACTTGCCAGAAAATCCCAGACTATAGACATTGGCAGATGCCTTTGGGCCGTAGATTCAGATCCCTTAAATTATGGACCGTTATGAAAACATATGGTGCAGAAGGGATTGAGAAGTTATATTAGAAATCACGTGAGCCTAGCGCAATACTTTGCTAAACTTGTCGAATCTGACGAGAGGTTCATGATTGAGCCAGAACCAGTGCTGGGGTTGGTGTGCTTCCGGCTTAAAGACGGAGACACGTTGACTAAGCAACTACTAAATAACTTGACTGCAAAAAAGGAAATCTTTATGGTGGCTGCAAGTTATCGTGGTCGTTATATTATACGCTGGGTTATTTGTTCACGTTTTTCGACTAAAAAGGATATAGAGGTCAGTTGGAATAAAATTAAAGCTGAAGCTGACCTAATTTGCATGAACAAAATACATACTAAAACTAAAATGACGAACATTGATAGTATAGAAAACTTAAGCGTTTGCGAAGAAAAATCGAAGTAATCTTCATTATGTTGTACTTATAGATATAACGCCAATACTTAAAAATAAATCAATATTTAACCTTGAAAAGAGGAAAGCTTGGACGTATAATAGAATTATATTTGAAGAAACATAATGATATAATTTAATAAACTACATTTATAATAAAAAAAAACTTAAATCATTCTTCTATTAGCTGTCGAAAAACTTAATGGTATTTGGTGCGTACAACGTGCTAGATTTTATTGTAAAATTAAAATAACATTATAATATTGTTCTCTATTAAATTTATTTTACTACTTCCATTAGGATATACCAGAACTTTTAATGAATTTAATAAACATTTATGAAAATTTAACTTTTTAATAAAAAAAATAGTATTAAATGAATATTTACTTATTTTTTTATCAAACACAACTACAAGTATTACTGACGCAAATTCCATAAGAATATCCCTTAGGGACACAGTGTTCTTGACAAATGACATCTTCTGTGGGTTCTTCGAATTGGCACATCACTCTTCCAGGTATTTTATAATCTGAAAACAAAGTATTGGATATTAACATAGATACTTCATCTTAATTTTTTTCTGAATCATGTGAAATTTGGCAAATGATGGATAATTAACAAAACTTTTTCCTTTAACGTAAAAATTACCACCCAATGTATATATAATTATGATCTGTGACCCATAATGACTTGCATTATCAACAATGTATTCCTAATAATTTATCAACTGCACTACCCGACATAAATGGATATTTTACGTCTAATTTTCATTAGCATTAAATGTTACTCGCCGTTACTTTCTCCCAAAATGCTTTTTAATTCACTTTATAATGATTAAAGCTTACCTTTTTCATTGGTTACATTGGGCAGCGAGGTTTGAGTCTTTGTTGCAACATAATCCACATCCGATAATGCTTCTTGTTTTATAATGCTGCTATCTCTTGGCATAGCATGGCTGGTAATAAAACTAATAATAACCAAAAATAAGATAAATAATTTTCTTAAAACCATTTTTGATATATTTGAAATATGATTTGACAAGTAACGAACAACCTCCACAAAACAACTCACTGAACACTTCACCGAGTGCAAACAACGACGATTAATATGAATGCGTTTCTGAGGTCAAATTATCAAACGTTGCTTCTTATACCGTGCAATACCGTGCGTCATGCTGTTTGTACGTACGTAATAATGAGAGTTAATCATAATTATACTAGTTACAAATGCAAATGGCAAAAGTCATAAAGGCAAATGCTAAACTTTATTTAAAAAAAAAGGAACTACTAACTATTGCATAACTGTTCAAAACTTAGAAATGTGTTAGTTAAGTACTTAATTTTTTTTTCGCTTACTTTTAAAAAGGAAAGAAAAAAAAACATCTGAGAACATTTTTTTTAATTTTATCATTGACCAACTCCTTTGAATTTAACTTTTGATTATATACATACTTGCCGACACTACAGCCGTACCCAAAGAGAATGTAATCACTACGTTTAAGAGACGGGACTTCCATACTAGCCAAAAATATCAGTTTACGCGGTACTCCAATACCAACCATACCACAAAAATACCGCAAAGATGTCTAGCAACAGAAGTACCAACGTAAAGAGCCAAATAGTGCTTAAACAAGCTAGCTTAGCTTCTTATCGATATCGATAAAATACACTAGGTAGAAACCGAGGTTTCCCCTTAATATTTTTTTATTAATTTTAGTTAAGTATCAAGTCCGTATTTATGTCCAATGACATTGATGAGGGTATATTCGGTACTAATACAAGATTGGACTAAAATGCGGACCTGAAATAAGATAAAAAGCGGTTCTTTTAATTAAAATAAAATTTTATTACTGAAATGAAATTTCTTTTTTGTCTCTTGATTTTTCAGTCAACAGCTGTTGCCCTGCTGTACACGAGTCTGGAAAGAAAATGGAACATAAAAAAAGGATCAAAATCCAAGGCACACCATTCAAATATGTAAAACTTTGTGTCCCTACTCTTTCACACAACATTTTATTTCTTATTTTTTTCAATGATAAACATTAACGTAGTTATCGATATGTGGATATTACAGTTGCAGTATATCACTAGCACACAATTTAAATGAGATAAATTTGTTAATTTTATTTGTTCTTAGCCTGCTCTACTTACATATGGCTGCAAAGTATTATATAGTAGTGCTTACATGGGCTTCATCTAAGGGAAATCTCGCCTTAAACATCCTTTTTTCAAGAATCGAATGACTTGCTCGATTTTCACCAATTTCACAGTAAAACCTTTCTAGTCTTTTAGGCATTTTGAATTAAAAATACAACTCTGATCACCTGTCACTGGTTTTTGTGAGAAATTTTACTCTAAACAATTTAAATTTACAATTAAATAAGCATTTACATTCAAAATACGCGGTGAGAAATTAAGTTTTAACAAACAACATGGCACTTCTTGTATTGCAAGATAGAGAAACCGCAATGAGGGAGTGTGATAGCAATGCCATTATTTGCCACGTAAAGTCGCGTAGATGGCGTTAGTTCCTTTGTGTGTTCATAACAATATATATATATATGTTATATTAAAGTGATCAGCAAAATCAAAGGGTTTATTTTAATTCTAATTTGGCTGCCTCTCATCTAAGGGTTACTTCGGTCAGGGCCGGGGCGGCATCGGAGGCAGCTGAAGTAAGTAAATGGCGCAAATATATGTTCAGATTATGTATTTGTGCCATTTGCTGTTGAAACATTTGGTCCGTGGGGTCCCCGCACATCAAATTTTTTTAAAAGTTATGTTAAAGTGAACGCAAAATCTGGTGACAAGAGGTGGTTCTTTTAATTGCGCAACCGCGTGAATTAGGTTTATTAGATAATATGTAATTTTAGATAGATTTAATCTTGTAAATACTAATTAAATACCTATTTATGAAAAAAATTCTAATATGTAAACAATTAATGAAATTCAATAATAATATTTGTAGTAATGACAGTGCTAGCTCTAATACTCAGAGCACGACACTGTAGAGACTTCCTCTTCTCTGTTCCGATGATGCTCTTCGAAGCCTCGATCGGCTCCTGGAACTTGCGGTTGCGACGTCAATCCAACGTCCGCAAGTTCGGTTTTCCAAAAAAACTTAACTCACAACACTCGCGTTACTACTAACGCCACCTATGTATTACAAATAAGAAACTAAATATAATACAAAGCTAAAATGAAATAATTGTAGAAGTTGTATTTATGTCTATGATAATAAAAGCCTTTCTTTATCAAAATTAACTTTATTTAACCAATTTCTGTAAAGTTGCATATAGTAAATTATTTTTTGAAAAATAACGTCATAAAAAAGTTTCACTTCTTACGAGTGTACGCTAGTACACGCACACATTTTTTTTTGTTCCTAGTTTCGCCAGACTGGCCGTACCGAACGGGCAAAAAATGTCTATTAAAATTGGTAGAATCGCGTTGCATTCACTTACGTCAATCGTTATCGCTTACGAATATAACGCGCTCGTGAAAAATAATTGATGATTCCGGTTTGTGTAGCAATTATGTAGGAAAATCGTATAATACTAAGATCACTTTTCATTGTTATTTAACCACTATTAATGTAAGAAAATACCATTTTTTAATTCTTTATTTCTTAGGTTAATCTGGTTAGCCGGTGTTGTCAGTTTATTACTATAAAGAGAGAATATACAAATATCATTACATCATCTTTTTAATCAGAAATTTATTATTTTAAAAATCACATTATTGATTTGATCAATAAGTGATAAGTCATCTACACAAACATAATGAAACTATAACGTCATGCACAAAATAGAATTTTTGTTAGTTCTGTCGTTTATTAAACTACTAATCTACAAAATAATGACTTTATTAAACCTATTTTTGTTAAACTTTCACCTTATTAAATAATGGGAAAATTTTAGTTAATAATTTGGAGCGATGCCTAAACACGCACACCTTGACAGTTTGTTTACAAAAAGTACACGTGCGATTACACACACACACATCACGTAATCGGAGACATTTTCAGCGCGTCGTTTGTAAAGCATTGCTGCATAGAGACGAGTATAATATAAACAAAGAATTTAACGTTTTCAGATTTATCATTAATAGCAAAAAATGAATTTATAATTTCCTCTCATGCCAATCAAAATCTGTCAAGTCAAAAGCTCACTAAAACCTATTTGAAGAAGAAATACTAAGACATTTTGCAGTTATTTTTTTTATTTTTAGAACTGATTTGTTTTAAATACTAAAGTATAATAAAGTATACATTATTTAATATATTTATATGTATTTCCAAAAACCTTGTCCTCTTATATTTTCTGTAACGGTAAATTGAATTTGCCCTTTCAATTGTTAATATAAGTTTACTTAAACTTTTCTAAAATTAGATCTACTCATTAAATTTTGAATATTACTCATTTTTGTATTTGCCTTTGTTACTATTGACTTTGGTACTTGCAAGCCAAAACAAAACTAAAATTATAATGATGATTTCTTAGTATTAGTCGCTACTTATATATTACTAACAATTATATTCCGTTTTTACTCTACGTAAAGAAAAGAAGATGTGAAACATCCATAGGCGACAATACGCATGGCAATAAAAATCGGCTATTTTGCCGTCACATTTTGCTATCATTCCCCGTCCACGCCGTCGCTTATGAATCCCTAGTCCCTTCCCTTGTATTGTATATTGTGTGCCCACATATAATACACACTTCGTGGCTTCTCATAATATATTTAAAAAGTTTACTGCTCGTTTAAACATATTTCATTTACTTTCTTCGATCGAGTATTATTGCGTTTAAATGTAATTTAAAAATTAATTATATTAATAAAAATATATAAAATGTATTTAGATTATTATTAATAAAAATATCTGTGACAGTCACGATCAAGTGTACAAAAAAGTTATTTTAAATTATTTTTATACCGGTCTCCATTAAAAATAACTTATCTTAGTAGATCAACTCACCTACACGGGTCAAGGGTTTTTAATTGCTATTGTTAATTTTTATGAATCATGCTTAAAACGCATTTATTTTCTTCAGAGATTCCAGATCTCTATCACCTGCTGGAAAATTTTTTTTTACAAAAACATACCAAATCGCGTCGAGGCCGTGGTGACGCACTGGAAGTGCCGACGTTTAGAGTTTAGACTTTTGCTTTGGCTAAAACCAGAAATGCGTCAAAATCTTAGGTATAGGAATATAAAATAGGTGACATCCACAAACGACTAAGAGTAAGCAATTTCAAACATTTTGTAAAAGGTAGGTAAAGATATGTTAATAATGTCCAAGAATACATTGAGGACATTGATGTGTGATTCTTGCTCTGCAGTTGCAAGTGGGGACTTGATTGCCGCTGATTTTATGCATAAATAACTTTGTATACAAAACTGTGTAAACTCTCACTAAATTAGACAGGTCTAGTTTAGTGAGCCGCTGGCATTTTTCTGACGTTTAAAAAGAGTTGAAAATAAGCCTATATTGAAAAAATAAGTTTTGACTTTGAACAAAAACAATTAGTTTACGAAAATAAGGTCCGTATTTAATTGCATCACTCACTCTCCAAATAAAACACGCTTTATAAAAGCAGCCTGAGACACGTGGATATCACGAGGAGGTTGCGAGACGGGATCTTCACATTTGAAGTTATTTATGTTTAATCATGTTGTGTATTGCACTTGTCTTTGTCGCATCGGCCTAGGATACAGGAACACGACGATGCAATCTTCTGTAACCCCGGTGCGATTATAGTCTTCTCAGGCCTCATCTTCTCGGGTGCTAAGCCATCTGATCCCGCCGTATGGTGCTATGCCAGTACAATTAGCAGAGCACCCCTCATAGCCCCGTAGTCAGTGAGAGACAACCCTCTGCGTGCCGCCCGGGTATTCGCTACATACACTCATACGCCAGCCTCCTACACCCTGGCCTCCGTCAGTGGATATCCAGAGTGGCAGTTGGCTCCGCGAATCTCTCCGCAGCTACCTCCCGTTTAGTAACGTCCTCGCAATAGCTTCCCAACGTCTCTCACTATAGTAGACTACAGCGTGAGCCACGGTAGGCAGCGAGATGTCATTCTATATTATAGCGCACAGCTCTCGGCTACTAAAACAAACATAAACTAATTCTACCCACAACTAGACTGCGTAGAATGTATATTTCTTTTAGAGGACCAACTATACGTTTTACATTACAACTAAATTTCCATTTCCAACTTTCAAGAAAGTATTTTCCTCCAGACAACCATTACGAAAAAAAATTTTTCCTATGATTATTTTTCTTTCCTATTAGTAATGAGACATAAAGAGGAGGGAGGTGTACATCAATCATTTATAAACACCGGATCAAGGCATTTATACATCAATGAGATAGGCAAAGATTTCGGGAAAAAAGGAAAGCATGAGTTCACAGTTCCAAGTAAGTTAGTCCACAGTTACTTCGTTTTTAAAAGAAAGAAGAGCTTGTCGAATGTGAAGGGGCAAAGAGTTCAACAAACGCACAGCTGTCACCGTAGAAGATTTTTTAAAGTGGGAAGAGTTTTTGTCCAATGTACAGGATTTTGGAGGGAGTGATTGACAGAAGAACGAAGGGACCTTTCATGGGATACGGAAAGATACTCGAAGCGATCTTTTAAGTATTTATGAATAGAGGGATTAAACAACACGCTGTACAAATCAAATAGAATATGGATATTCCTGTGAAGGCGGATTGGGAGCCACTTGAGCTGTAAATGAAAATCGAAAACATGATCATATTTACGAAGCCGAAATATGAATCGTAGGCACAAATTTTGAATCCGCTTAAGTTTATTAAGTTGTACTTCGGTAAGTTCAAGATAGCAAATGTCAGCATAGTCCAGGATGGGCACAAGTAGTGATTGAGCGAGCGCAACTTTAGTAGCAGTAGGAAGAAAATTACGCAGTCTTCGTAAAGAGCCTACAGCAGAGAACATTTTCTTACTAGTCTCATTATCTGCGGTGGTCATGTCAGACAGACGTCAAAAAATATTCCCAGATTCTTCACCTTTTTGCTGTATGAGATGTGAGTACCATTAAGAATAATTGGGGGTCAAGCAGACCAGTCGATTTTAGCGGCCAAACTAAAAACTCCTGTTGATAGCTTGAGTTTTCGTAGGATTCATATTCAAACCATGTAAGCCTTACTCCAATTAGAAACACAAGCCAAATTAGCGTTAGTGCTTTCAATTGATAGAGGCAGGTTTTCCAGAGACGATTGAGTATAAATCTGGAGATCATGAGCGTACAAGTGGTACGAAGAACATATGTGAGAGCTTATCGTATTAATGAAGATTGCAAACAAGAGAAGATACAACACGCCACCGTGTTGAATGCCAGTAACATCGTTATTCCAGGAAGAGAAAACATTCTGCACCTGAACACGTTGTCGGCGACCAAATAAGTAACTAAGAAACCAGTCAACCAATATCGGAGATATGTGGAGAGAACGCAGAATAGCGAGCGATATGTCATAATCTACAGTATTAAATGCATTGCTGAAGTCAAGCAAAGTCAGTACAGTAAGTCTTTAACTATCCATGCCATAACGAATGTCGTCGGTAATTTGCAGGAGAGCTGTGGCCGGGGCGAAAACCGGATTGGAATGGTTTGACCAGATTTTTTCCACGAGGTAGGAATTTAATTGTTTTTGGACAAAGCGGTCAAGAACTTTAGATAAGAATGAAAGTAGGTAAATAGGCCGATAGTCGGAAAAACTAGCGGGATAAATTTTTTTCGGGAGAGGAATGACATTGGCATTTTCCAAGCCGAGGGAAAAAAATAGTTTTCAGGCAGTTGTTGAGGATAGAAGTAATAACAGGTGTAAGGAGATTAAGGCTCTCCTTAAGGAAAGGCCATTTTACGGCTAATGCAATAAATACCGACAGAGTTCGAATGGCTGGACGATAAGGCTCTCTCAACATCACGATCGTCAATTTGACTAAAATTAAAAGCGGTAGTATTAGGAGTGGGAGTGTGGGAGTGAAAGAGAACATAGAGTGTCAGCTTTTGCTTCGTTACTAAAGCAAGGCGAAGAGGAAAAATGCTGATATTTATGAATATTTATTTATTTTTTCGATTTCGATCTTATATCGATCTCATTCGATTGTATCTTTATCGGTGGATAATCGCTATCGATAAATACCGATAATTTGGATATCGATATGTTGATATTTATTAGCTTTACGAATTTACGATAAAGCCACAGAGTACTTTTGTATATAGGGATAAAGCATTGCAACTCTGCCAACAACAATCATCATTGTCAAAATGATAGATAAGAGTGTTTTGTTTTCTGTATTTTTGTTATTGTGAATTTCTATCTTTGAGCATTTCCCATTTATGTAAAGCTCTAAACCAATTCTGAAAAAAGAAAATCTTGATTTATATTTATTACTTTAAAAAATGGTATACTTACATTTTCCCTCCAATTTAACTGAAGAAGAGTTAATGCTACAAGCAAAATATCAAAAATTAAAGAAAAAGAAAAAAGCTCTTCAAGCTTTAAAGGCTCCCAAACAAGAACCTGAAAAGCCCATATTACCTAAACGACCGACTGAGGCACGTGATGCTCGAGAAATAGCCCGAAAACTCATTAAAAGTGGTGCTATTCAAGCCATAAAAAGTCCTCCGCGTCAGCCGCAAAATGCTACCTTTAAACGTCCTCGTGCAGGTGTTATATTCTTTAATATATACTTACTAGTAAAATTTACCAATGCTAACCACATACTTTTTTTACAAATAAGAATTGGGTTTTTTTTTTGTATAATTTATGTTACGCTATCAGTCAGACTATCAGCAGCTTCGTCGAACGCAGAACCGGTGACCCTCCTCAGTGTGTAGAGCCGCGCATATGTACTCATGCGTTAACCTCAGCTGTGACATGTCGCCTAAAGGCCATCGAGGTTCGGTGAGGACTGTGACCCCGATGGCCGTTGACTGCTTGTTTAGTCGGTGGCTGGAGGCGGTGAGAACCGTCCTGGAACGCGGGTGTACCTACGGTACGCGTTGTGTTGGTTTCGCCGTGCTCAAAGGCAAGGATGAACTATAGTGTTTGTTGATGCACTGAGTGTTATTTGGCGGGAGCCCGATGTATTTAAGTCCCCTTCCTCGACTGGGTCGATGAGGATGTTGCGCGGGCGACACTTGACGTTCGTGTTAATGTCGGCTTGGTAATTTGCTGCAATTACCACCAGAGGGTTGTGATGATGTTCAGCTCTGTCGAAGAACCGTTTGGTGAGATCTTTAAAATGTTCGAGAATCGTTGGGTGTCTGCAGGCACTGTCCAGGTCGACCTTAATTGGGAATGTAATAATAGATAGTAACATGGGTATTTTTTTCCATTAGCACTGGTTGTTTTTTCGACCTAACCAAAAATTTTATTCTGTACATTCATGATATTAATTTTAATATTTGTACAGTTTTAATAATAAATCATAGCAAGCTTTTTCTTTGTGTATAAAATTATTTTGCCGATGTTTGTTTTTAAATGACCTTTTATTTACATGACTGGGTATACTAATAGTGAGATTGGCAAGACTCAATAGTAAAAAGGTTTAACTACCACTTATAGTAATTTTCATTGTATAACAAAATCCATGATTTATACCAAAATATTCATCAGGTTTATACCAATTTTATTAATATCATCTTACTTTTAGTTGATTTTGCGATTTTTTGTCTCACTGCATAATAAAATCTGGAAATTATATCACTTGACTCATTATACTGGGAATGTTCTTAGTTATGTAATCTATGCATTTGAAACCTCGTACTGGACAAATATAATTTATCGAAGCTTTTTAATTACCCATTATATCTAATACCATATGAAATATAGGAATAATAAAGGTTAGGAAAAAAAATTTATCATAAACAAAAATAACACATTTTAAAGAATCACAATGTATTTTGTTATATTTTTTTTACTTGCAATATAGAAACAGTGATGTACAGTGGGGGTACAACGTGCTAAAGGAGTGGGAAGGGGGAGTGAACTACTTGTTATATAACAATGTTTTTTTTTTTATTTAAATAAAACACTAGTAATTTGAAACACCTACAATATACATACATGTACACCTACATGATACAGAAAAAAGTAATGGTGCGTTAAATTGCGTTATTTAATAATTGATCCCCCATATAATTAGTAACTACTGAGCAAAAGAATATAAAACACCATTATGTTTTGGCTAAGGCTCCAAAAACATTATAAAGTTTAGCACACAAATATGGTATAATTACAAGTTTATTTACAAAATACTCATTTCTAGTGGTTTTTGGGTCTAAATTTGATTTCATAAAATGGATTTCATTATTGGTGAATTGGATTAAAACACTGCAGATGCAGACATGAAACATCGATAAATTTACAATTCATTCCATTACACTACACCTATTTTCCACCTATTACAAACAAATAAAGACATTTTTTTATTTATAGTCTCTAGGTTTAACACAGGACATTGGGGAACTGGTTCAAAATACCATGAAGAACCTAAATTTAACTCAATTCACAGGGCGAGAACGAAAGTTGAGTGGTTCAGCTGGCACAACTGGAGGCATTGCGTCATATCAACCGTTTAGCGCCTCCCAAGAGCCTCCCCCTCCTGAAGAAAAGCCTTCACCTCGTGTTAAATACCTATATGATTCATTTGTCACAGCAAGAGAGAAGTAAGCTATTTTTAACATGTTTTTATTAACTTCTCCTGTTTTTGTAACGGAATCTTTGAACACTATTTTTACCCACTTCCAAAATGTCTCATTTTTTAAATTTATTTTTTTGGAATTGTTCCTTTATATGTGCTGTGTCAAGGAAAACTGTCATATAGGTTTTCGACCCAATCTATAGGATATTTCCGGTTGACCTAGGTTTGTCAATTTTGGTTCAAAACAAAGTCTTACAGTACAAGCAAAGGGAAAATTCCAAAAAATAAAAAAGTAGAAAATTTTGGTACTTACAACTTTGCACAAAAATCTAAATTTGCCCAGATCTTTTTATCATGTAAACTCAGGACCTTGATTTTTATACACCTGATAGGGACTGTAGACTAGGTATCTAGTATTAATTTCAACTTGCTAGGTCCACCCATTCCTAAGAAAAGCCAGTGGTGACACAGTGACCGAAAGATGGACAAGAGAGTGATCTTATAAGGGTTTTTCACCTTTGAAGTACGGTATCCTATTTAATCTAAGAACATCAAACAAATATTTGCAACAGTGATAATTTTTTAAGTTTTTTTATAGTGCTAATCTCTGCACTTAAGATTGAACATTAAACCATGTAGAAAAAGTACGAAAAGATTGTCGCCGCTGTGAGAATCGAACCCACGTCTTCGGCATTCGCGGCCCGATGTTCTAGCCACTGAGCTAAACGGCTGATAGCCACAGCGACGTAAATCTTAACGCCTTCCTTCTACATTGTTATTTAGCATTTGAAGCAATGCTTGGCGCATCTATTGTTATATCCTTTCCAGCATACAAACAATTTCTAATATCGTTTTACAACGATAATTCGAACGAAAGATGTCGCCATTGCTTTTTATAAATTCTTAAAGTTTTTTTATAGTGTTAAACTCTGCACTTAAGATTGAACATTAAAACATGTAGAAAAAGTACGAAAAAATTGTCGCCTCTGTGGGAATCGAACACATCCAAATCCACGTCTTCGGCATTCGCGGCCTGACGCTCTAGCCACTGAGCTAAACGGCTGATACCTGTCATCCTTTAAACGAGCATTTCTTATATATATATATATATATATATATATATATATATATAAAGCAGAATTGTTTACACTTCTGTATTTCAAAACTCCATGATTGCAGTTGTGAGAGTTTTAGACCATAGACGAACGTAATCACTTAATATAAGGTAGATCAGCAGCACGTTTCGAACCTTCTCTCACCTGATCACAAAAACCACACGGGCGATCATACCCCGAACAATTATTCATATATGTATAAATAAATAAACAAAATGAATAAACATTTCAGGACGTATGGGATACGTTTTACATGTTATCTAGTATATATACAACGTGTCCCAAAATTCAACGATAAGCCAACACCGGAGGATAGACCTGCCCCGGACTAATCGGGGAAAAAAAGAAAAAAAATATATCCCAATTATATTTTAAGTTATATAAAAAAATGAAATTCTTCAGAAATTGAGACCGTTTATGATATTTTTCACTACCATGACCACAATTTTTTAAATATTTTTTTCTTTTTTTTTTTTATAGGCAACCTGAATAGTACTGCTATCTACCACAATTCTTAAAAACTCCAGAATAACTCTTGTTTTATCACGAAAATTAATGAAACTTATTTTATTCCCTAAATTTTTTGAAGACTTTTACTTTTAACCAAATTTAACTTATCGTGGTGTAAAAAAAAAGTATGAACACTAGTATGGCAAGTTTTTTTAAAAATTGACGCAACTAACCAACATTCCAAAATGGTATAATACTCTAGGAAAACAAGTTATAAAAAAATATGGGCCTATTATTTCTAAACAGGGGCCAAATTCCTTAAATTGTAATTGTCAGTAATCACTTTTACTACATGCCCAAAATGGGTTCCTGTTACAATTTCTAGGAATTCGAATGGGGCATTAATACCTTAGATGTTAGAGAGAGATAGATAGATAGAGATATTTACGTTAAAAAGAGACAACAACAGGGCAGGTAGAGAAGCTGTTATATATAACATGCCGCAACCGTACACACCACAGGAATACGCTGATATGCATTGAATCTATGGAGAATGCCGGTGTAATGCTAACGCTGCTAGCCGACTGTATCGAGAAAGATACCCAAATGTTCAAAAATATCCTGATTATCGAGTGTTTATTAATGTGCATCAAGCATTTTCGGAGGGTCGTATGCCATCCAATAGGATGCGCTGGAAGACCTAGATTGGATCGTGATGAAGAAGTTCTCAATGAGATAGAAAATGACTCGACTACTTCGGTACGTGCCATAGAAGAAGCTACAGGAATCTCCGAAAAGTTCTGCACATCGAATATTAAAACGTCACAAGCTTCACCCATATCACTACAGGCGTGTGCAGACGTTATTACCGCAGGACTATCCGCTACGGGTCACATTTTGCCGTGTAATGCTGCAAAGGCACAGTGAAGATCCCCACTTCCTAGACAAAATTCTATGGTCGGATGAAACAACGTGCAAGAAAGATGGGTATTTAAATCTTCACAACCTACATAGTTGGAGTAATGAAAATCCACACTTGATGAGACAAGACAAATCCCAATATCAATTCAAGGTTAACGTATGGACCGGCATATTAAATGGAAAAGTAATTGGGCCCTTTGAGTTACAAGGAAACTTAGATGGCAATAGTTATTTAAACTTTTTACAAAATGACTTGCAAGAATTGTTAAACGACGTGCCCTTAAGTGATCTTCAAAAACATGTGGTTCCAAAATGATGGTTGCCCAGCACATTATGCCCGTCCTGTGCGAGAATATTTAAATCAAGAGTATCCAGGGCGTTGGATCGGGCGACTTGGTCCTATCTTATGGCCACCCCGTTCACCCGATTTGAACCCCCTTGACTTTTTCTATTGGGGTTGTCTTAAAAACAGGGTCTACTCAAAACCCATTGTGACATTGGACGAGCTTCGTCGAAATCTCACTCAGGCTGCTGATTACATTAATAGCAAAAGATATGCAAGACAAATAAAACGATCATTTTTAAGGCGATGTCGTGCATGTATTAATGCTGGTGGGTGGCAAACAGTTCGAAAATTTGCTATAATGTTAATAACTTAATAAATTACACGTGAAACTGTTTGTACCCTTTGGTTTCAAATATTAAACATTTTTCAAGAACTAATACTTTTATTACACCCGACCGTCATTTGGCCCCTGTTAAGAAATAATAGGCCCATATTTTTTTATAACTTGTTTTCCTAGAGGAATACCTTTTTGGATACCATTTTGGAATGTTGGTTAGTTGCGTCAATTTTTAAAAAAACTTGCCATACTAGTGTTCATACTTTTTTTTTACACCACGATAAGTTAAATTTGGTTATAAGTAAAAGTTCAAAAAATTTAGGGAATAAAATAAGTTCCATTAATTTTCGTCATAAAACAAGAGTTATTCTGGAGTTTTTAAGAATTGTGGTAGATAGCAGTACTATTCAGGTTGCCTATAAAAAAAAAGAAAAAAGTATTTAAAAAAATTGTCGTCATGGTAGTGGAAAATATCATAAACGGTCTCAATTTCTGAAGAATTTCATTTTTTTTATATAACTTAAAATATAATTGGGATATATTTTTTTTTCTTTTTTTCCCCGATTTGTCCGGGGCAGGTCTATCCTCTGGTGTTGGCTTATCTTTGAATTTTGGGACACGTTGTATATATATATGTATATATATATATATATATATATATATATATAGTATAATCGTAATCGCGGAAACGGCTCCAGCGATTTTCATGAAATTTAGTATCTGCGTAGATTCGGGGCGAAAAATCGATCTAGCTAGGTTTTAGAAAATGTCCTCTTATCCCTGTTTTCAGGGAATGAAAAATATCGAAGAAATATCGAGAATTCGAATATGTCAGTAATAAATATAAGCTATTCAAATGTCTTAGAAGTCTTAGCATTAACAGTAATTAAGGCGCTGTATGCAGTGAATTTTTAACTATTTGGGTTGTGAGGTATGAGGAAGCGGAGGAGGGGTAACCCCTCTTGGCGGGGCGCAGCGCGCGAGTTTCGTCGACGCGCCCCTAGACCGCGTCATTCATTACCTAGTGTGTGTGTGTGTAGTGATGGGCCGTAGGATACTATCGATAGTAGCATGGAAGGCTTTCGAAAATGTACACAGATGATCCCTATAATATCTTTTATAAACCATGATGGTATTTTACTTTTATATTATAATAGGAATAATAATAAACAAACAAATATAAAGTATGAGAAAGCAATCGACAATTTTAGAAAATCTTCCTGTTTTTTATTTTTTTTTAATTAAATGGAAAAGGAATTGATTAAAAATACATCTTAAAGTCAAATAAATTAATAAAGGCAAATTACTTATAATTATTATTTTTTGTTTTTATGGTTTATATTGTGATTTTAAAGAAATGGCTCATAAAATTTTTGCAGAAATTACGAATATATCTTGTTTTATTACATTTTTTTTATATATTAGGAATTTTAATTTATCCTTTAAATGTTCAAGATTTACTATGTTATATTACTTTTTCAATTAAAATGAAATTTAAAAAACTATCGATAAAATCTTTATTTGTATCGATAAACGACAGCAATTTTAAGAATCGAAATTTTATCACTTCACAGACCTCGCGTAGTACCACTCATCGAGTGGAGTTGTATTTTTTATATTATTTTCCCTTTTAATTTGTTAGCCAACTAATTATTTTGTTTTTTTTTTCTAAAATGGCTCAATTTGGGAAATAAACAAATAAAAAAAATTATAAAATAATTATATTTCGGGTACAAGATAAATTTTCGTTTTAGGGTGAACAATTAAATAAATTAATAAAAAATTAGATGACGTTAAAAAAATTTTAATACTCAAAGTTGGTTTATTTACTGATAGATTGTTCTCCAACTGTTTCAACTTTGAACAAATACAATAATATTTCGTTGTAATTATTTATGTATTGTAATTATTTATGGTCCTATAAACTGTATGTATAGGACTGATAGACCACTCAATCACGAGATAAGACATTGAAATTATGCTCTAAATAAATTAATTAACAACTGTTAATACATCCAAATAATTTATAAATACGAAATATGTGAGTATATATTTTTTAGTTTCGTGTTTTCGAAGGTCTAATAAAATTAAAACTCTCAATAATAAATAAATACGAAACATATTTCGTAACGGTGAGCGGGCGATGAGCGACATAGGTCCATCTAGCAAGGCGCCTCAGCGCTCTCTTTTTCTTTCAACTTTCTCTTTCTCTCAACGTGTGGAGTTGGAAGAGAACCGAAACAACGCCGCGGTGGCGCGGTGTTTTGGCCATTGCGTTCGAATTAATTTTAATGAATTAAATTAATATTTACAAATATCTTACTTCAATCAACAAATTAAGACAACAGTCCTTTTTATTAATATATTCTACACCACTGATATTAATTTCATTAAGATTTTATTGTCCATTTTTTATTTGAATTTCACGTTTAGAGGTAGGTTCGTGATTTTTTTCTATCGAGAATATGTTTTGAAAACAATGGTCCATTAGAATGTAAGATCAAGATTAACATATATTTTTTTTGCTTCTATGACATGTATAGATTTTGTTAAAAAATCTTTTGAAAATCCTATTTTTACTGCATACAGCGCCGTAATAATTTTTTTTGGCTAGGCAAGTGATCAAAAGATAATATTTTTTTATAATTTATCTCACAATAATTAAAAAATTTACAGAGAAGATAAAGGAACACGCAATCAAAGTGGGGGTGATACACCTAATCCCAATGCAGTGAAGACCTGTATGTTGCAAGTGACGGGTGGGAATATTACTGAAGAAGTGATAAGGCGCCGTTTAACTTCATTTGAACCTTTCACATTTACATTGGAAGATGAAGAGAAGTAAGACATTGCAGAGTTTGGTTTGCAATCACACTAATACTCTAAATATATTACCTTACTTGCATAGTGTCTAACATAGCATGAATATTTGTATGTTACTAAGACGTATTTTATAAACTCCTGTGTAGTAACTTAATAATAATGAAGCAATTTAGTTTAAAATTATTTCCCTTGAAATTATGTCTCAACATAATTTTGTGCAGTGTATCTAATTTTTTTTATTTTAGTTATTTTGTCATTTTATAGATGTACAAAAAATATTTCTTTTATTTCTTTTTTAGGGCGTTATTAACATTCGAAACATCTGAAATGGCTTCTCACGCATTATCAGCATTAGAAGACTCCGAAGAAAATTGGCGCGTGACTTTAACTCGACGACCACCGCCTGGCTCGTGGACTCCAGCCGCAACTACACCGCGCAATGCTCCACCACCTAAAGACTTGAAACGCTCGATTGTTACTTACGATGACATGTTCGAATAAATTTTTAATAATTTTTTTTTAATTTGCGTAATAAAACCACAAGCTATTCTATCAAAACCAATCAAATTAGTAAGAATTATCTATGTGTATCGCAAGATATGATACGATAGTTATATGATCAGTGTAACAAGACTATTTTAAGCCCTTAGATGAGACACCATAATTAAACGCACGCATGAGCACATGCGTGGCCCTACCCACAGCGCCCAAACCCGTGGGTTCTGACTAGCCCACCGGTTCTGCGTCAGATGAAGCTTTAATAGTCTCGGGACTGAAAGCAAAAACGTCAGTTAATACAAGATACAAGAAGACTATTTTAACAATCATAGATATAATAAAACCAAGCAATAAATAAGTAACATTGTTTTATTCCCAATTTAGTGATGAATACCTTATCAGCAAGGCATTCATCGTTAAATGGTGAACTTATTATGATTATGTAATTATTATTTAAATAAAATGTATACTTAGCTAAATTAATAGATAACCGAATATACATAATAAATGTTGATTTTACAGTCTAAGACGAAAAGCGTTTCATAAATTGTGTTTTGATTTTTTGTTTTTACAGTACATTTTTAATAAAAGAAGGCTAATTTCATGTGTAGGGCCACGCATCAGCCTCGGCTATTGCATGAATGGGCAGGCTCGTCCGGGTATAAGTACCACGACCGCACGGAAGACCGGCGTAAAGTGGAAGTATAATACTTTCGCGATTCGTCTGGTGAGTGAGGTAGCCTGAGCCCAATTTTCAAAAGATTGTCAACGCATCTGCAACCTTCGGTGTAACAAATGTCCATGGTCGGCAGTATTCACTTAACATCAGGTGAACCGCCTGATCACTTGGCATTTGGTTGGCAACTAATTATAATTAATGATAATATAGTTATACACCGAACGTATCGGAACAAGAAATGTAGATGTCGCTAGCAAGGCGAGTTGACCAAAATAATAAGCTAGATGGCACTCTATTTCTGTAGTATTTTAGTCAATGGTCCCTAAGTAAAATATTAAATCCACAAAATTGCAATTTTTTTATTGCTGTTTTGATATCTCAAGAATAGCAATTTTGTTACAAGGTTTTAAAAAATCTATGTGTATGCATTTTTTAGAAACGTATAATAACGAAACGTAACGGTCTATCCGGCGTAAAACAACGTATGTTAAGTTTCGCGAGATTACGCTGCATCAGCGAGTGTCCAACAAGGACGGAATTAGTGGTAGTTCGCTAGTTTACGCCACACTCCACAGTGTATGCGCGCCTGGCAAAATTCTTATAGCTTAAAAGGAGCCGTAATATCGCCGTGTCTGGACGGTCGCCTTTAATTTAATATACTCGAACAACCTGAGTGCGATCCCCGGTGGCAGCACCAATGAAATTGTCAATTTTAAGTGCTAAATTATCACGTGCTCAGCCGTGAAGGAAAATATCGTGAGGAAACCTGCATATTTTCGAAACAATAACAAAAAAATATATATAGATAAATTTTTATATAATATGCAGTTCCCAGTTTCGATTCAAAAAGTAGGTTCAGTTACATTGTATACAATCGTAACTTAATTTTCTCGAAAACTTTATAATTATCAATTTTTGTAATGGCGTAATAGTTTGTAAACCCAAAACAACTGTGAATCCAAATTTTTATGAAGTTCTTGTCATAAATGAGTTATGCAAAAAATTAACTTTAAATCACTCTTCTGTAAAGTTGCATTTTTCACTTTCGATACTTTACTTAGGGACCATCGATATGTTCTGCTTCTGTTATTTGTGTTTATTAACTGACATTTGACTTGTACGTAATGACATGATGACATTTATAAACGAGAAAATATGAAATGTCACTAAGATTTTAGGTGTTTTGATATTTTGTTGAAGGTTTATACCAAGTAACCAAAAATGTTTCGGGTTGTTAATAACGTTTTCCATGTGTCTGCAATTAGCACTTTTAAACGAATACTGCAACAAGAAAATACGATATTGATGATTATACAAGGGAATAGAAAATTATCAAACCTAGGTAAACAGTGCTATGAAATATTTACATGTGATTAATAACACATATTAATAGTGCACTCTTATTTCAGCCGATAATGACAAGTTCTCTTTAAAACATGAAGAAATTGGTCGTCCACTTTACTTTGATGCACAAGCGACAACGCCTGTGGTATGAATAGTAATTTATATAAAATACTTTTAGTATTTTTAGATAAGTAAGAATTTGACCTGAACTTGTAAACTGTTTCTAAGGATTATCTCTGTCTATTTACAGGATCCAAGAGTACTTGATGCAATGCTACCATATTTAGTAAGCTACCATGGAAATCCACATTCTCGAACACATACATATGGATGGGAAAGCGAAACAGCTGTAGAGAAAGCGAGAGAACAAGTGGCTAATTTAATTGGAGCTGATCCCAAAGAAATAATTTTTACTTCAGGTGCTACAGAGTCTAATAATATCTCTGTAAAAGGAGTAGCACATTTCTATGCACCAAGAAAAAAACATATTGTGACTACTCAAATTGTAATTATTTTTTAATATATATACATATACATCACACCCTGCGTAGAACAATGTGACATCTGCAAAATTGTAATTGTTCAAGGCAGCCAAATCAAATTATTATTTTTTATTTTGGTTACAATTTTCATATACATAGCAGTTGATATTACAATTTTTGAGGTTTTTAATATGATTAGGTATATTAATAAACAGTATACCTTTTGAATAAATAATTATATAAATTTAGGAAATAAGAGGTTTCATGTGCAATAGTGACGTTTTCCTATGGTAAATGGGTAAAACTGATTGGTCAAAAGTTCATATATACACGTTTATGTAACATTTTTCAATGGAACATTCAAAAAATAATAGGTGACTCATTAATATATAAAGTTTTTCTACTAAAAACTCATAAAATATGTCCTTATATACAGTGGAGCACAAATCAGATAGAACATTGTTCTATTCTGAATCTCAATATCTATAAGTCAGACGAAAAAAATTTAATGTCATCTGAAAGCGTAGACAATAATGAAGACTTTCCGACGATAAAACCAAATTCGTTCTATGTTACCACAGAACATTATTCTACGCACGGTGCAATCAGATATCCAAAAAGGTTATTCAATCATTTGTGAGCATAATTTCTTATCAACTTTATTTTTAATAAATCGGATAGAACCTGGAAAAGTTCATTTATAGAGAAATAAAACAGTTATTGAAAAAGACTTCCATTAATATACCTTCTCCAAATTAAACAAGATTTTTTTTATTAATTTTAATTGGATCCTGGTTACATCTTACATTTATTTAATTACAGGAACACAAATGTGTGCTGGATTCTTGTCGTGCATTGGAAGGTGAAGGATTTAAAATAACATACCTTCCAGTAGGACAAAATGGTATTATCAATCTGCAAGAATTGGAAGACGCTCTTACTCCAGAAACAAGTCTGGTTTCTGTTATGACTGTTAATAATGAAATAGGTATAATTATTTTATTATTAGTACCCTTTATTGAATTTCTATTAAATAAATCTAGTACCTCCAAATACTTTTTTTAGGAGTAAAACAACCAATTTCTGAAATTGGAGCAATATGCAAAAGAAAGAAGGTATTTTTTCATACGGATGCAGCTCAAGCCTTAGGTAAAATGCCTCTGAATGTTAATGAAATGAACATTGATTTAATGTCCATTTCTGGACACAAAATTTACGGACCAAAAGGAGTGGGTGCATTATTTATTAGACGAAGACCAAGAGTTCGTGTGGAACCAATTCAAAGTGGGGGTGGCCAGGAGAGAGGAATGAGGAGTGGAACTGTGCCAACTCCATTAGTTGTGGGGTTAGGTTGGTATATTTCATCAAGTTATGAAATCACATCAAATTGCAGTAAATTTTTCTATACATGGTAAACATATTTTAATGGTTCCATACCCAAAAGAAAACAAGGCCATATTACTAAATCCACTGTCTGTCTGTCACCACTCTGTATTTCATGAATCATCATAGACAGTTGAAATTTTCACTAATAATGTATTTCAGTTGCCGCTATAATAAGAAATAATAAAAAACTGAATAAAAAAATATTTAAGTGGACCACCCATACAACAGACATGACATAATAACATACATGTTTATTCCACATTACATCATATTTAAAACCTGTTAGGGCTATGCAGCTTCTGTTGCAAGAATGGGCAGATTCGCCCAGGAAAATACCACAACTTATACTCTTTAGGCTTTACATATATTAGACCAGGGTGAAGTGGAAGTCTAAAACTTTAGCGTTTTATTTTATGAGTGAGGTAGGGGCCCATTTTTTAAAAGTTGTCAGTTCATCTACAAACTCTCAGGTGTAGTAGATGTCCCAGGGTGGTAATATTCACTTAACATGAGGTGAACCACTCACTTCACAACTTTTGACATATAAAAAAATTATTAATTATTTTTTTATAAAATAACTGCTACTAATGAACGAAATGAAAATGTTAAATTAATTCCATAGTCTTAAAATCTTGCCAATTCCAGGTCATGGAAAATTCATAATTACATACTTTGTATAATTTGTGACCTTAACATCAAATTCCTTACATTTGGTGTACATGGACAATATACAAGTTAACACTAGTTGTTGGAACTATTTTCATTTATTTATCTTGTTATTAAATATAAGAAATTATCATATAAGGTAACATTGTATAAATATTGTACAACAATATGTTTAAGTGCATATTTAAATCTGAGCTTGTAGATATGTAATAATTTTTATTTATTTATTTTAATTTGTATGGAAAAACTTCACAATTCTTCCTAATTCTATTTATTTACTAACTTATTGATGAAATACATTAACAAATCACAGATTTTTATACTTATATTATTTTTAATTAGTTTACTTTTATGAATATTTATACTCTGTTTATTGAAATTGGCGTTTACTTTAGTTTGTGTTGAAGTTTTTCAACTGCATTTGTTATTTGTAGTGTCCATAAAAGCATCTACAAAATTAGAGCAGTCACACAAAATAATCGGGTGATTTGTTGTTAGATACAATAAAAAAAAGAAACTAGACAACCCCATATTGAAATAAATGTCACTTTCACAATGAAGTATATGAAGAGAACGAAATTAAAAAAAATTATAAGTATAATAGGCATTTTATATGTTATATAGGTGCAGCATGCGAAATTGCAGAACGGGAAATGAAGTATGATCACGCTTGGATGGAAAAATTGTCAAAAAGATTTCTTGATAAAATGTATTCTAAGTTAACACATGTAATTAGGAATGGTGACCCTGAGCAATCATATGCAGGATGTATCAACTTATCTTTTGCATATGTTGAAGGTATGTTAGTTTTTTGCTTTATACTTAAACTAGCAAACCGATCAGACCTTCTGTACACGCAACTTCTACTTAATCTGAACCATTCTCGGATTGTCCTGAGGACACAAAAAATTTCATTAAAATCTGTCTATCCGTTTAGGAGGAGTTCAATGAGATACACATGTACGGAAGAATTATATATATAAAGATTACTTAAGGTCGAAAATGAGAATTCTCTTTTAGAAATTGATGACTCCGTGATGCAGTTGCCAAGGTATTGACGTCGGCGTCGGCGTCGGAGGTCGTGGGTTCGATTCTCAAACGGGACAACTGTTTGTGCGACCGCACGTGGATAGGGCTACATGCGCGGCAATATCCACTGAGGAGGGCCTCAAACCCGTGGGTTCGGGCTAGCCCACCGGTTCTGCGTGCCATGAAGCTTTAATAGTCTAAAGACTGAGAGCATACAAGTACTAATTGTTTCGCCTCTGGGTGTTTGTCCTCGTGCAATTTATGTTTGTAAAATGTCCTTACAACACAAGATAATGTTATCCTAAAGTGAGGGCAATGTTAAATGAAAAAAAAAAAAAAAAGAATTAGAGCTTTTTGGGTTTTTTGTATGTGGTAAATCACTCTTTATGACATGGATATTGGAGGCTCCTTTAGTTTATGAGGGTAAAAAAGATTTGTACTTAAACCTCTACAAATGGATAGCATATAATTACTAGAAAGTACGGGATAAATCTTTTCATCACCTCATATACTCAAAATAACATAAATTAAACAAGGAAATTTGTTAAAAATTCTACTCATAATGTAAATGATTAAAAATAAAAATCTTCAAGCAAGTTGTTATATTTATCAAACATAGAACTATAATTTACTAGCTATGTTAGCATTGTAAACGTTATTGAATTCAATAATTTTCATTACAGGTGAATCTCTTTTAATGGCGTTAAAGGATGTTGCTCTATCAAGTGGATCAGCCTGCACTTCAGCTTCTTTAGAACCATCATATGTATTACGGGCTATTGGTACAGATGAGGATTTGGCACATAGCTCTATAAGGTAATTTTCTAGGTACATGTGTTCTTAAATTCCTCGATTTTCTAAATGTTATTTTATGAATTTTGCTATAGTCCGTTATTTAATCTTGGAGAGGAAATTGACACATTCAAATGTCAAAGAACAATGGCGAACTTCCATACAGTTTTAGTTCAAATTAAATTACTATGTCTTTGAGTAAAACTATATTATTTAATTCAGCAATAAATTATGAATTTGTTTGTGCAAGAATTTTGTTTAAAGTTAGCCGAGAATAGTAGATAAAGAATTTTGAACTTTGGGTTTAAATCTCTACATTTCTTTGTTATATTTTTTGGTGATTTTCTTTTATGTAGGTATTTTTTTATTTACCATTTATTTTTTGTTGATTTTTTTATTTTTATAAATAATTACAACGAAATATTATTATATTTGTTGAAAGTAGAAAGCAACAGTTGGAGAACAATCTATCAGATAGTAAAATACAATCATGGTCTATAAAAGATATATCATCTGTGTACATTTTCAAAAGCCTTCCATGATACTATCAATAGTATCCTACGGCCCATCACTACACACACACTAGGTAATGAATGACTTGGTCACGCGGCTCGTCGACGAAACTCGGGCGCTGCTGCGGCCCCGCTAAGCAGGGTACCCCTCCTCCGATTCCTCATACTTCACCACCCAAATAGTTAAAAATTCGCTGCGTACAGCGACTTAAGCTCGCCTTTGTACTATAATTTAAAGTGCAATAAAGATTAAAATAAATTAAAATAAGGAAGGTTATATACAATACATATTTGTAGATCTAAGAGACATTGTTGACATTTATTACAATGCATTTTGTTAATTTTTTCGGAATGTAAAATACTTGTCAATGTGTCAGACACTAACGATACTCTTACTCTAAAGTAGGAGTGATGCGTATTTATCGTAACACGTAATTATAACGGGTACCTTAAGACAATAGACTACCTGTTACGAACAAAGTTAAATAACAGTTCCTGTTCCATACAAATTGTTCCTTAACAAACTGTTACAAGCTTTTGTTTATCTTGCATCCGCCATATAGATTTGTTAGAAAGAGAAGTACGGACGTTACCATTCATTAATCTTCTAATATATAAAATTCTCGTGTCACGGTATTTGTAATTGAACTCCTACGAAACGGCTCAACCGATTTTCGTGAAATTTTGTGTGCATATCGGCCAGGGCGGAGAATCGGAGATCTATTTTTCATCCCCCTAAATGTTAAGGGTGGTCCACTCCAAACATTTTTTTCTACCCTACAAATAATTTATATGGCAAAACTTTTGCCGGGTCAGTATACTATAACAGTCTGTTATAGTATGTTACTAACAGTTACACAAATCGTCACAGCATAGTATTTAATAACAGGTTGTTATTAACAGGCTTAACAGGTACTCCATTTAACCCAGTATAAAGCACAGCTTCAGGGCTGCCATAACAATAAGGAACGGAACTGAATAAAATACACTGTATAATAGACTCACGTAGGAATAGGTTCAGGAAAAGTCATAAGCTTTAAAGTTACATTTTAAGAAAGCGATGCAACGATTATATATCTAACATAAGCACTAAAAGTTTCTAGACACTTTAATATTAGTCAAATAAGATTTCGCCATTGTTCTTTACAAATAATGTTGCCAGCTTTTTTGTACAGCGTTGTACCTACGATCCCGATTTGTTGAATAGTTTTTTTTTTATGTTTATTAGACTAAAAGATTAATGTTAAAAAAATAGGATTAATTATTATAATATGACAGATAATCTGTGATTGAAATAAGTCTAAAACTGGTCAGAAAAAATTCTTCCGAATTTAAAAGTCAATGCACTTCTTGTAATAGATAATGCTACATATAAAATCAGAAAACTAGTATCGTTACCTTCATCTCGTTGGCGAAAAAGGGCAAATTCTAGATTCCTTAAAATCTAAAAATATTCCTTACAAGGCAACAATTTTAAAACCCGAATTAAATGAAATTGCCCGAATGCACAAAAAAGTCCATGAAAGAGTACATATAGCGACAAGATAGCTCGATCAGTTTGTCACTATTTTGGGACCACATCACCCTTTACCACTGCAAGCCACAACCAATTAAGTTGTTTCAGGCTCAAGTGAAGGGCAATGTCGCTGAAAATAATAAAAAAAAATGGAATGAATGAAATAAGCGTTTTTAAGAAGGGCTTCGCCAGGAGGTACCAATAGTGAACGTGCATATTATTTTCCCAGCCACCGATTATTTAACACAGTCGACGGCCATCGGGGTCTCGGTCCGCACCGCAACTTCGATGGCCCTTAGATGACATGTCGTAGTTAAACGCACGCATGAGCACATGCGCGGCCCTACCCACAGCGGAGGGCCCAAACCCGTGGGTTCTGGCTATCCCACCGGTTCTGCGTCAGATGAAGCTTTAATAGTCTCGGGACTGAAAGCAAAAACATCAGTTAATACAAGATACAAGATATTATTTTATTTCCTATTATTTTAGCATTACTTTTTGTGGTTACAGATTTGGCTTAGGCAGATTTACAACTATGGATGAAGTTGACTACACAGCTGAAAAAACAATTAAACATGTCTTACGTCTCAGAGAAATGAGCCCACTTTGGGAAATGGTGCAGGAAGGTGTTGACATAAAAACAATAAAATGGTCACAACATTAAAATCTCCATAGATTATGTACGCGTTATATGAATTTAGGTACAATCTGTTGTTTATATTCAGATAAGCTAATGGACAGAACTGTCCTTAAATAAGTATTGATGTAGTAATAAAGTTATAAGCTTACAAATTATTTATCGGCTAAACTTATTTCCGTTAACTATGCAAAATATGTAATATTATAAAGAAATGTTATTTTCATTTTAAATATAATAGTAATTGTTTAATAAAAGCGTGCAAAAATGGGCTTTCTAAGCTACATGTGCAAAAATTTCCTGTTTAGTTTTGTGTATGTTGTACAAGCGTTGACAATAGGTTCAACACATGGGGTCATAATAAACATTAGATTATAGACATTCAATGTAAGACTTACTTCATCGAGCAGATGCCATTTGATGTCGGGTTGGTAATTTGCTGTGCTTACGATGGTTAGGATGATGTTCGGCTCTAACATAGAAAAGTTAAGATCTTTAAAATGTTCGCGAATCGTCGGGGTCACAATACAGGTCGACGTTACGTCGCAGTTCATTTTGAGCTACTTGTGCAAGCGAGTAGGGTTTGTTTGGGTGAAGGTCATGCATGCGTTTAACATAGGTCGCACGCTGGCCTTATAAATTTACAGGACACGTTGGTCAGGCTGATACAGACGGCCGGAGACGAACGATCTCTATTTCTAACGACACTAATGAGAGTTACGAAAGACATGCGTGAGTCGAAAGTGACTCCTAGATTCATGACCTTTTTCTAAAACTGTTTTCGTTGTATGGCATAAAATAGAAACTGCTAAAATTTGGCCAAGTCTTGCTTTAGAACCACTTTCTTTTAAGCACAGTAAATAAAATTTTAAATAAATTCGTTTCTCATTTAATTTTTTTTATTGCAATATTGACTCTTAAAAAATTGCAGAATATTTGGCAATAAGAGATTGAAATATTATTTACGGATGACACAACTTAAGAGTTGACTACCTGTGCAATGCTGCAGTTACACCTCTCAGCTGCCATTAAGTTTGGTTTAACAGTGATTTTTATATTATTATAACTAGGTCTGTGAAAAGCTTTACAAACCACATAACACAACAAGTTAATATCTCGTGCCTCTTGCTACTGCTTAAAAAAAAGACGGCTGCGCCAAAGCTATGCTGTTTTAATAGCTGTATGGTGTTATTAAAACATAATCTCTACAACTTCTTTCAGTTGGCATTTTATCTTTTATAGTTTTAGAGAATAGAAATTAAGTAAAGATTAACATTAAAATAACAAACCAAAATGATTTAAAGCTTTATTACATAATTTTTATGTTCAACTTTGAACTACAGAATATTTTAATAAAAATCATTGCTTATGCAACATTTGGACAGAATATTATGAAAAATGAGATTCTTTACATACAAATTTAATAATAGTCATACAATAAACAGCCTAGTATTTGTTATAAAATATGAGCATATAATGGGGCTATATTAAGTATTAAGCATTTTATAAAAACAAACAAATATATTAATTTATAGGAGTGATGGATTATGCTTCTATGTTTATACAGCATGTCTTTACAATCGCGACAATAAATGAACACACATATAGAGGATAAATTATTAAATTTGTATTAAATATTTACATTCTTTAAACATCATTGTATCAAGTAAATAAATTTTCCAAAACAACGAATTTTAGAACATCCTTACGTATTAAACTGTAACTTAAAGTTCATCTGTAAAGGTCACAAAGCTTAGGAATGGGTTGAATGAATTTGAAAGAGACAAAACATACCGTTAGGAGGAGAGGCTTGTAATGTTACTCTGTGGCAACATGAAAAAGTTGTAGTTGTATAGGATGTTAGAAAATTTGTAACCAATTTGTTTCTTTTTTACTTAATTAGTTTGTTTGAAAAATATTTTTTTAAATTATGGACTTTTTTAACGTTAATTTATGATTATTGGCAAGTAGTGTGTTCATTTATTGTCGCGATTGTAAAGACACACTGTATAATTGATTTAAATAGTCCATCACTTTTGTAGTACAACAATTACTACAAAAAGAATGTACAAAAAATTGCCAAAACAAAATTTGAATTTATATAATAAATTCAATTTTTGTTATCCATATTAGAAATGTTACAAATTCTACTAGACATGTCAGATCAAATTAATTACTATTCAGATATGGTGTTTCTCAATATTTGTAACATTATTGACTAGCATAATGCTTAAATATATGCATGTAAAAAAACCATATTCCTTGGATAAAAATATCAACAGATGACAGTGGTTATTAAAATATTGAAACTTATACAGAGTTTATACAAATTTCAAACACAGGTTATGCTATGTTAACAGATATTTTTGGTGTCAGGTACATTTGAAATACTTTTAATTATCAACCAACTGTTTTGATATATTTGTATAGTAATAATACTGAAATGAACTTAGTCAAACTATGAATTTTTGTTTTCCTTTTGGAATTTTCTTGTCTTTTATGAAGGGTAATCAAGCACCAATACCAAAAGAGCGTCATATGAAAAAAATTCTAGCATTTTATGTGTATATTATGAAGACATTAGTAAATAAAAAACAAATAGAAATTAAATTGGTAGGCCTCATAGTACACATGTAAAACTTTCTAAAAATTTACGACAGTTGCTTGGTAAATATAATTTAAGATTTTTTAGCATAAACCCTTTATTAACGACTTATTATTTAACATATAAAATCTTGCTTTGAAAAACAATTAAAAACCCAGTCATTAACAATAATTATTCAAAGGGTTTACACTAAAAACATCTTAATTTTAACTAATCCTATTTTATTTGCTTATCATTTTAGCAACTACAAGATGGTTCTTCAGGGGGCTCTGGTTGAGTTATTTTAAAACTGTTGTGATCTAATGTTTGCAGTTCAATCCTTGATCTGTTAGACTCTACTAATTGAAGGGCAATGTCCGCAAACATTTCTTCTATTCCTTTTCCAGTTTTGCATGATGTTTTATATGTAGTACTTATGAGATTATGACATTGCTCACTGTAATAAGATTAACTTATTAAAATATAACATTGACAATGTGAGAGGTTAAAAAAAATCAAATAATTATTTTAATCATACCAAAATGTTTCAATATCTGCATCAGTTACTTGCGGTGAGGTTCCTTCTAAATCTGACTTATTTCCACACAAAAAAATTTTAGCATTTTCAGCATATGTCACTATATCTAATAAATGTTGGCTCAAAACGTGGAATGAAGATGCATTGTCCAAGGAAAATACTAAGATAGCTGCCTCAGCAAATTTATAGTAGCTAGATGTTACAGATGCAATTCTTTCCATACCTCCAGTGTCCCATAACTGTAACTAATATTGATATTAAGTTAGATAATTCTATCATGACTGAGATTGCAGTGTCGCTCTTTGGGAAATCTGTCTTGACTTCTAAGTTTGTGTTCATTCATTATTGGTTTAATTAAATAAATTAAATATGGTGAAAGTAAACATATTTTCATCACTTTTATTTGCAATAATTTTGAATGATGTGCAGTTAAAAATTAAATATATATCTAACGAAACTAATCCAATATTTTTTTGAGTCTAAGCAAACACTAATGGTATCATAATTCCAAGGAATATATTTAGCATAAGACTAAAAACTTGAGAAGTAACATTAATAGAAATTTAATTTCTTATTAAGGACCTACCTTAACGTCCTTGTCGGCGACTTGATAGAGCTTCTCAAAGTGATCTAATCCTAGTGTCGATCGTCTATCTGAATTTGGAACAAACGTGTTGTTTATAAATCTTCTGAATATTGAGCTTTTCCCCACACCATATTCACCACATAATATTACTTTGAGCACTGGGGTTTTAACAATGGCCATCGTTAATTTATCCTACTTATTCAAAATAAGCGCCTAGTTTAAATTTTAATTAAATATAACTTCTGCTGGTCTTTTTTTCCGTTATATATTTTTGTACATTTATTGCTCCATTTAATAAACACTCAGTATACTGAAAGTGAACAGTGAATACGAAATTACAAATTGCTAGGAGATAGGTATGGTACTTTGCCACTCCACCTTTAGTATTTAATAAGTTATAGATAGGTATTATAATTAGATGTACAGACAGACACAGATCACAGAATGAATAGTACAGATTATGACAGGTAGATATCATGCATATTTTTTTTTTTTTTTTGGATTTTATGGCCCGGTATCAAGGACACATGTATCTATCTAAATTGTGATAAATTATAAATAATTAACCACAGATAAGATATCTATGAAAAATCTTCAAGAAACTTTTTTTTGAAGATTTGGTGTAGATTTGGTAACAAAAACAATCGTATGCAGACTCACTCTATTAAAATTATAAACAACAACACGACGTAAGCGATTCAGCAGTGACCTGGCACACGAGGATTTTGCGTTTAGGATACGAATCGAGGACCTCAATCTCGCCGTCATACACGTTTTGCCAGGTATGTGTGTAAGTGAACGAAAACCTGATGTTAAGTGAATACCGTCGCCCATGGACACCGCCGCCCTTGGGCCTCGCTTACCTCACTCAACAGACGAAACGTGTAAGTTTTTTCCACTTCACAATAATATTTTGTTGGCCGAGGTACTTCCTTGGACACGCCTGTATATTCGTGCAATAGCAAAAGCTGTTGCGTGGCCTTACCACAGTAAAAACCTTAAAAAATCCATAGTTATAAAAATACATTTTGCAAACAAATTAAATAAAAAAAGAAACAAAATTTGTAACATCCTATATTACATTCAGACACTTTTTCATTCGTTGCCGCAGCGTGGCACTACAAATCTCTCCTACATTCATATGCTTTGTGACCTTTACAAATGAACTTTACGTTACCGTTTTATACGTAAGGGTGTTCTAAAATTGTTTGTTTTGGAAAATTTAATAACTCGGTAAATATTGATGTTCAAAGTATGTAAATGTTTAATACAATTTTTAAATTATATATACAGCGTGTCGTTACCATCGCGACAATAAATGAACACAAGTCTAACGCTTGCCAATACTTGCCAATAATCATAAAAAATATTAACGTTAAACAAAATCCATAATTAAATAAAAATATTTTTCAAACAAACTAATTAAGTAAAAAAGAAACAAAATTTGTAACACCCTATACAACTCGCGCCACAGCGTCGCATTACAGGCCTCTCCTTCTAACAGTATGTTTTGCCTCTTTTAAATTCATTCAACCCATTCATATGATTTGTGAACTTTAATAACTCGGTTAATATTGATGTTTAAAAAATGTAAATGTTTAACACAATTTTAAAAAGTTATCCTCTATATGTGTGTTCATTTATTGTCGCGGTGGTAACGACATGCTGTATCTACAGCGTGTCCTTACAATCACCCTATATAGTAAGAGTAACATACCTAATCTTTTAAATATGCTGGCCGCTTTTTAGTTCTAACAGGTCGCTCTATTGCCGCTGATTGGAAGATATGTTATTATTATTTTCTTCAATTTCAGTAGCATTTTCGATAAACTTAGGTGAATCTGTAGGCACTAGATATCTTTTGGATACTGTTTCTTTCCTTCCATCAGGTAAACGAACATATGAAAAGTCAGCATTTGATTGTAATAGCTCCACCTCTTCACTACAGTTTAATATTTTGAAGCCCGATTATGCTTTTTCATGAAAACTGGCCCTGGCACTATCAACCTGGTAATGTTGAACCATTTTCTGATCTTCGATTATGCGTGAACATTCTAACGTACCTCACGTTAGAATACATAATAGGTTACATTAGTAGTTGTACAAAGTAATGATGAAATCGAATGCCATAACTGATCATGTACCCTATCCCATTGGTTTATATCATATTTTTTCGTTTTTAAAGCCAATTGAACATTGCAACGTGCCATTAAATCGTTCAACGTGCCCATTTCCTTCCGGATTATGCGATGTTGTTCGACTTGTAGCTATACCTTTACTTTGTAAATAGACCTTTAATTCATATGACATGATGATCCTCTATAAAAATATATTTATGAGGGTATGGCGAATGTAGAAAATAAGTTTGCAAACACCTTATAGTAGTCGATGTAGATGTGTCCTCACAGGGGTATGCGAATGGAAATCTTGAATATTCGTCTATAATATTGAGTAGACACTGATTTTTTAAATTTGAAGAAAGTAATGATCCTTTAAAATCTAAGTTTAATCTTTCAAATACACTTGTGGCTTTTATTAATATTCCGCGGATGTTGCAAATTTTAGGTTTTATTTCTGCACAAATTTTACAGCCTCGTGTCATTTGTCGTACTTATATAATCAATGTTGTATGGTAAGTTTTTAGATCGCACCCAGTGAAACATTCGAGTGAATCCAGGACGACAAATTTATTCGTGTAAAGAAAATAGTTTAGATTCTGTATGAACAGATGCACAAATCCGAGATAGTGCACATTAGGAACACCCTCTGTTTAATGTGCTTTGCTGTCAAGCGGCTTCTATTGTTGGGTACTGTCAGATTCACATCTGAAGCAACTATTTCTGAAGACACCGAAGAAGCTTGGCAAATTAAATACTTAAGGGCGACTTGAATTTTACTTCTTTTTAAGGTGTTTTTTTGTAAATTTATTAATTTGTAATTACATAAAATTGTAAAATATTAATCAGTCAGACGATCTAAATGAACTAGTTGATCAACTTCTCATGATACTGAAGTTAGCCAACATCTAATAATATTTGAAACTTTTTCCAACGATAAATTATAAAAGAAAATGTGTTTTTGAATTTCTACATGTATATTTCCACATGTGAAAAAAAAATCGATATTTAGAAAAATGTCAATATTGGCCTCGATATATCGAAAAAAAAATCGATATTTCGATGTATCAGTCATATTTTCAGTTTTAAAAAAAATTATGTATTTAGTTCAGTCTGATTAAATAATAACTAATAGTAATTTTAATACCAAATTAACATTATTTAAATGAATGAGAAATTTTAGTAAAACGTTAATTATTTATTAATTTTAATCAATTTTTTTTATGAATCTAAATTTCTCGGTATTTTATTTATCAAGACCTTCATTGAAAAAAAAAGGAAGAGCTCATTTAGTAAGATAAATCGGGTTTATTAGCCTTGAGTCGAACAAAAAAAATAACTAATTAAAAAACATGTAACTTTGTAAAAAAAATTAAGAATTGTTTAAAACGAAGTTAATAATGGGTCTAAAAGAAACCCACAGCGATTTGTCCTAAAAGATAGGCCTAGATAAACAGAATTTAGTAAGAGTTGTTTGATTGACATGAAAATGCTGAACGATAATTTAAAGAAGTTACCTATTTATGTGGTTAAATGACAATAGTTTTTACGACGTCAAACAATTTTTTATGAAAACTCGATATTATATTATGTGATATTTAATCATTGAGCATTTGATTGCAATTAAATTTTTGTTAACTTTATTTACATATTAAATTAAGTAATTTTAGTTGATGCCATTAATATTTTGCACGCTATTAATAAATTAACATAATATTTAGTTCAATATTAATGGTTGTCACATCTATACCATTATACCATGTTGTACCTAAGATATGGATAGTATAAAGTACGAAGCATCAAATTGTAGTATAAATACCATAATTATAGTACAAAATGCAACTCTGCATCCGCGACATTAATATTAATAGTCCACAGTTTTTTCCGTTCATTTTTATCTTTTACGGTTTTGAATAATATCGTTTTTTTACAAGACATTATTAAAAATTTAAAACCCAAATCCACCCCGGGCCCAGACAATATTAGAAATAAAATTCTTAAAGCTCTCCCTGGGCTGCTTATCTGTCTACTGGCGACCATTTACAACACTTTACTCTCCAGTTGCTCCTTTCCGAATGACTGGAAAGAAGCCACGGTTATCGGCATTCGCAAGCCGAATAAACCAGCCAATCAGCCCTCAAGTTATCGTCCCATCAGCCTCCTCAGTTGCCTGGGGAAGCTCTACGAGCGGTTATTATTAAACAGGCTCAAAGAGCACGTATTTTCCAACGGTCTTCTGCCGGCGGAACAATTCGGCTTTCGAGCTATACATTCCTGTCCCGAACAATTATACCGCCTAACAGAATACATCCTGCAAGGCTTAAATCATCCGAAACATATTAGCATGGGGGCTAATATGTTTCGGGCTTCTTAAATGTTCTTAATTCTTAAATGTCGCAAAGGCATTCGACAAGGTCTGGCACAACGACTGCTTTACAAGCTGTACACGCTCAAAGTGCCCGATAGGCTCATACACACCATCCGGGCCTTCCTGTCGAACCGATCTTTTCGATATTGAGTTGAGGGCACCCTCTCCACAAGCCGCCGCCTCACAGCTGGCGTTCCACAAGGCTTCTGCCTCTCACACTTACTCTCTACACGAGTACGCTCTCTTACGCTCTTTACGTTCTACACGAGTGACATACCCAAAGACCCCAACATCAATCTCGCGCTTTTTGCGGATGACACGGCGCTTTTTTATACGGATAAAAATCTCAATCAACTTACTACTCGTCTCCAAAGCACCGCCGACCGCCTCTGCGATTGGTTCAACAAATGGAGAATAGAAGTAAATCAAGAAGAGTGTGGCGATTCACTTCACACGAAGTACTTACCCGTCACATCTTTATAATGGCGCTCGCCAATGCAGAAAGTTGGGGCAAATATAAGGGATATGGCCAACCGCTACCCTGGGAGAAAAAGGTCAAATACTTAGGAGTCACTTTCGACTCGCGTATGTCATTTACTACGCAGATTAATAACGTCCGTAATAGAGCCGCGTTCGTCACCGGCCGGCTACAAAATTTAACTAACGCTAAAAGTAAAATGCCCTAAAGGCACAAATTATTATTATATAACACCTGCGTACGACCTATTATGTCCTACGCATGCTTGATCTTCGCCCACACGCTTGTACAAGCTGCAAATAGTAACAAAATAAGTTCATCCGCCGCGCAACCGGTGCGTATCAACGCAACGTCGACCTGCACAGCGATTGAAGACTCCCGACGATTCGCGATAATTTTAAAGACCTGACCTGGTTCTTCGACAGAGCCGAACACCATCCCAACCGGTGGTGGTAAGCGCAGCAAATTACCAACCCGACACAAACGCGAACGTCAACAAGCGTCGCTCGCGAAACTTCCTCATCGACCCGGTCGAGGAAGGGCTTAGATACGTCGGACCCACCGTCGGTTGTCCCGCCGGATAACACAACACCCACAGCTAGTGTAACAACAAACACAATAGTTCGCCCCCGCCTCCGAGCACAGCGAGACCGATACAACGCGTACACAAGGTACACCCGCGTTCTAGGGCGGTTCTCATCGCCCCCAGCCACCGATTAGCTAAACACAGTCGACGGCCATCGGTGTCTCGGCCGAACAACATCGCATAATCTGAAACTTTAGATGACATGCCGTAGTTAAACGCACGCATGAGCACATGCGCGACCCTTCCCACAGCGGAGGGCCCAAACCCGTGGGTTCTGGCTAGCCCACCGGTTCTGCGTCAGATGAAGCTTTAATAGTCTCGGGACTGAAAGCACAAACATCTGTTAATACAAGATACAAGAATATTGTTTTTGATACGATTTCGATATTCAATTTTTATATCGATATATCGGATCAAAATATATCGGTTAAAAAAATCGATATATTTAAGAAAAAAATAGATATATCGATATTTTTTCGGCATCCCTGAATTATACTACTGTAATACTGTTTTTAACTTTTTATATTAAAATAAGTAATGTTTTTCAAGAAATACTATGAGGCATGATATTAACATTCTGTCCTGTTGAACTTTCTTTACTTAATTGCAACCAGCTATTATTAGAAATTTAGCAAGTTTTGGAATTGCTTGCCGTGCCGGGAGTACTTAACACAAAATATGGATCTACAAACGTCTCACTTGGCAGCAGCGTTAATGTCTCCTGCTAGTGCCTTTAACACCAATCTTTCAACACCAGAACCAGTAGCAACTGTATCTAATGGTACTAATGATGAGAAAAGGAATGAAAAACAAAATGAACACAATAAAGACGTCTGTGAAGAAGATAAAGAAGAGATTGGGAGTGGAGATGAATTTTCGGACGAGGTATAATCAGATGATCAAATAACCATATAGGGTTATGTGAATATTTATTAGAAAGCTTTTGTAAACTTTACAACTTTTTACTTTTTAACTATACCAATTTTTAACTTTGTTAAAAACATTGCTCTTACTGTATTATACAGCATTGCCTGTACTGTAAGCAGGTTTTTACAAACATAAATTTCACATGTAGAAACACCCAGATGCGAAACAACCATCTGTGGGTCAAACAAATAGTTGTCCTGTTTGGGAATTGAACCCATAACCCTAGACGCCGAATACCTTGACAATTGTGCCAATTCACATTCTTCACTGAGTTAAAACAACTGTATGATTAAAAACAATACAATAACACAAACTTTACTGATAATTTTATATCTTATAATCCAATAAAAATATATATTTTTCCTATAATGATGTACAGGAATCAGAAGCACAGCCTGGTAATAAATCAATGCCTGGTAGAGGTGTTACTTTACAAATGCTTTTAGAAGAAAAGATGTTGGTCCCTGGTATAGCTGCAATGACAATTGAATACTTGGTATGTGTACTGTATAAGTGATGCTTTCTTCCATTTAAACCTCAAATGTATCTTGTAATTCCTACTTTTAAGGTGGTATATCAGCAGCATCTGTAACTTTTTTTCCAAGTTTAAATTTTTCTTTAATTTGTAGTTTTCCACAAGATTAACTTGCTGTATGGGTTATCTAGATTATATCCTAAATTGAAGGGATTGAGTAAATAAAATTAATAATTTATTTTATGTGAATAGTGTATGCTGGCTATTCCCGCTGGTTATTTATGGCAGAAATGTGACACCAACCTGTGACACGAACATAATATCTAATATGGAGGTATAGTTCTTGTACTGGTTTTAAGTTTTTAACATATATTTATTTTTTATGTGAAAAGTTGCCAAACGAGCAGATGATTCACCAGATATTAAGTGAATACCGCCTTCCATGGACATCTGCCACACCCAAGGGTTACAGATGCGTTGACAACCTTTTTAAAATTGGGCACCGGCTACCTCACTCACCAGAGGAAACGCGAAATTATTTGTCATACTTCCACTTTACGCTAGTCTTCTGTGAGGTTGTGGTACTTACCTGGACGGGCCTGCCCATTCGTACAACAGCCGAGGCTGCTGCGTGGGCCTTCCACAGTCAAAAATAGTTTCTGCTTGCCACGGTTGATGTAAACACATTGTTATGAAAAACCATTTCACTTATATTTTCTCTACTTCTTTTTTTTCGTGTTGAATATCTAAATTTGTATATTTTTTGATTGTCTGGGATAGTCCTTAACTCACAATCCAGGGATATCTAAATATCTTGATTATAAGTGAAGTGGTAAATGGATGAAGAAACACCTCCGGATAGGAGGATAGAGAGGAGGCAGTCATCCTCCTAATATTTCTAATGATTTCAACATAATTTTCCATGACTCCTCTCCCAAATTTTAATCATTACCATTGAATGAAAGAATTAATGAATACTATATTGTCCACATAAAAGGTAGTAAATAAACAAATAAAAAAAATTAATAGTAGTAGATAAACAAATTTATGGAATGCACAATTTGGCGGCCATTACGCTTCATAGTTATCTTTTCCAGGCAATCAATGGCGTAAAGGAATGTTTATTGTGTAGGTAGTGCAATAGTAACTTATATAATATATGACTAAATCAAATACATACATATACACATGCAAACTCATAAATACCATTGTGAGCACCCGGCTGCGAATGCTGAGATTGTTAAGAAAAGAAAGAGTTTCTTTCAACTCAAGAAAAATTTATCAAAATTCTTATGTCCCAGAAATCGTCATGTAAGAGGCTGCCCATAGATCTTCATTGGAATTGTGAAGCATTTATGACAATAAATATGCCATCGCACAACGCCTACTGGCGGTTGGCCCGCAGTCTGAAAGCAGACCCCCGCGCATCTCTACCGCCGTTAGTTTTACTTAATAGTGCTTCAATAGCCCTAGATGACTCCAAAAAAGCCGAACCTCGCGGACAACCTAGAGTAGCCTAGCGGACCGCGTAATCGAGACTAGGGCTGCGCTTCCACCGAAAGGCGATCCTTTAAATTCAGTGACCCCCGAAGAGGTCCAAGGCATTATTAAACATTTAAAACCCAAATCCGCCTCGGGCCCAGACAATATTAGTAATAAAGTTCTTAAAGCTTTCCCTGAGCCGCTTATCTGTTTGAGTGACCATCTACAACACATTACTCTCCAGTTGACCCTTTCCAGACGACTGGAAAGAAGCCACGGTAATAGGCATTCGCAAGCCGAATAAACCCGCTAATTAGCCCTCAAGCTGTCGTCCCATCAGCCTCCTCAGTTGCCTGGGGAAGCTCTACGAGCGGCTATTATTAAACAGGCTCAATGAGCACGTGTTTTCCAACGGCCTTCTGCGGGCGGAACAATTCGGCTTTCGAGCTAGTCATTCCTGTCCCAACCAATTATACCGCCTAACGGTACAATACTTAGGAGTCACTTTCGACTCGCGTATGTCGTAATAGAGCCGCGTTCGTCTCCGGCCGGCTACACAATTTAACTAACGCTAAAAGTAAAATGTCCTTAAGGCACAAATTACTATTATATAAGACCTGCGTACGACCTATTATGTCTTACGCATCCATAACCTTCGCCCACACGCACCCTACTCGCTTGTACAAGCTGCAAGTAGTAGTGGTATCAACGCAACGTCGACCTGCACAGCGATTGAAGACTCCCGACGATTCGCGATTATTTTAAAGACCTGACCTGGTTCTTCGACAGAGCCGAACACCATCCCAACCGGTGGTGGTAAGCGCAGCAAATTACCAAACCGACACAAACGGGAAGGTCAACAAGCGTCGCCCGCGAAACGTCCTCATGGACCCGGTCGAGGAAGGGGACATAATTACGTCGGACCCACCGTTGGTGGTCCCGTATAACACTACACCCACAGCTAGTGTAACAACAAACACAATAGTTCGCCCTCGCCTCCGAGCACGGCGAGACCAACACAACGCGTACACAAGATACACCCGCGTTCCAGGGCGGTTCTCACCGATTAATAAATAATAAAACTGTGAAAACACAGTCGACGGCCCTTAGATGACATGTCGTAGTTAAATGCACGCATGAGCACATGCGCGGGCCTACCCACAGCGGAGGGTCCACCGGTTCGGCGTCAGATGAAGCTTTAATAGTCTCGGGACTGAAAGCACAAACATCAGTTAATACAAGATACAATAAATATGATGTCATTTTTTTATTACCTGATGTATGATGACCAGACTGGCCATCTCAGTGTTTTGGTTAAAACTGATGTCTGTTTTCTGACTTTCAGGGTACTCATGTTTCGTTGATGAAAGAGGTGATGGAAAGGCAGGCTGTGCTTTCCTAATCACATCCTCCATCTCACAAATTCCAATTCCTTCCCATAGAGTTGACCTTGTGCTGGCATCAGGGATTGAACTCAAGTTGCTCGAGTATATTGAATTAAAAGCAAGTGCCCTGACAATGAGCTATCAGCATGATGTAATAAAATATATATCTTTTAGGGACAGAAATTTGTAGGAGATCTGCAACAAGATGGGAAAATAAAATCTCATGAAACTGAAACCATTTTTTGTTCTCCTTCTGCCTGGGCCATACACTGCAAACGGATAATTAATCCAGACAAGAGATCAGGCTGTGGTTGGGCATCAGTAAAGTACAGAGGCAAAAAACTAGATACTATCAAAGCTACATACCTTCGAAGGAAACAGTTACAAAGAGAAAACATGCACTCTGATGGTAATTATTGTTTTTATTATTGATTATCATTTAATTCCCATAATTTTATGGTTTTTAACAAGACTGCAACCCAATTTCTTTTTCATTATCATTTTTTGTGAAATTTGAAAATAAATAATTTTGTTGCAAAAACACTTTAAATAAAAGTATATTGCAGCCTTCTATTATAAATGAATTGAGTGACAACAATGTAAAAGTATGGATTAATTGTATTTGCGACTTTTTGTTTACTAACTAAACAAGTATCTATGCAAAAATTTTTGAAACTGAATTATTTAACACTTACTTCCATAAATGTTTCTCATTAATAGTGTTAGAATACCGTCTATATTTAAATCCCATAACTTTACATACCCTTAAAGTTATGGGAATTGAATATAAATATGTATGTATACAGCTTTCAATGTTTACCAATTAAAATATTTTATTAAGGTAAAATGTTTTACTGTTGTTAAATGGTAGATATGATTTTTTTTTATTAATTAACAATTATTTTTATAGATGAGAATGAAATGGAAGTTGAAAATCCTCCAGAGCCTCCACCACAAAGAACTGTGATGAAACACAACACAGTACCAAATAGGATGATGCAACAGTAATATTTTTAATGTATTATTGAACTTTTAGCTTTTTAACTTTGAGCTTTTTTGAACATAGTGTCACTGGAAAGGCAAAATTGCTTAACGGTCAAATAAATGTTTGGCATTAAATAATTTTGCCCTTCCAGTGATAATATGTTCATAACATAATTATAATTATTTGTTTCAGTGATGCAAACATGTTGATTGAGGCAGTATCTTTTTCTTCTGCTGGCAAAGTACAGCCTTTTTTGGTTTCAGTTAGTTCTAACGCTTCGCTTGTCCTTGATCTTCATTGTCATCTTAAAAAAGAAGAGGTCCATGGTTATTTGGCGGGATCATGGGATTTGAATAGTCACAGTATGTTATGAACATGATGACATTATTGAAGTGATATTAAATAAATTCTGTTGTCATTATTATATTCATAAAATTTTTGCAGCTGTGATGATAACTCATACATTTCCATGTTTGAAGAGTAAAAATGACCCTAGACCTAAGGTGTTGGTGGAAATGGAAATACAGATGGAGATAGAAAAGCTGGGAGTGACTCTACTGGGATGGTATCATTCTCATCCAACAAATCCTGCTATGCCAAGTTTGAGAGATTGTGACAATCAACTTGAATATCAAATTAAAATGAGAGGACCATCAGAAATATCTTATGTTCCATGTATTGGCATAATATGCTGTAAGTAAATTGTTGATAGGTAATAACTTTGAGTCAATTTTAAGTTTTTATTTAGGTTACAGGAAATAAAATAAAGTTAATATTTTTCAGCTCCATATAACCCTGAGAGTCCAGTTTTGGAATCTTCTTTGACATTTTTTTGGGTGATGCCACCACCTGAACAGAGACCCACAGAATATCCGAGGCCTCTGTTACTTCAATATAACATGGTTTACGACAGCCATTTATCGACACATGCAATCGAACAGATTAAGAAAACTATAAAATATTACTACAATTATGCAGATGAAACATTTGTTAACTTTAAAGATAACTACAAACCTGATATTGCATACTTAGACAAATTGAAATCTACTTTGACACCTAAATTCCCAAGAGAGCAGAGTGATGGCTTGTTGTGGCACTTTATCCGTGATGAATTAGGCTGTTCGTCTGAACAAGACGAAAAGATTGACTTGGATGCTCTGTTAGCTGTCCCACAACCAATACCGCCGCCTAAGACAGCCCAACCTACATCAATTCCTAATTTCCCCTCAGTAAGTACTTTACAGCAGATGGTGAGCCGGCCCGCGGGTGTTCCTCCCATTAACGTGTCGTCAGGTATAGGATCTATGTCCCCACATAAGTTTGAAACTCCGCAATTAAATATTCCAGTACTTCCAACTTCTTCAAAATCTAACAAGTCAACAACTCCGTCACTTTCTTCAGCGTACCCTACAGGATTAGATATGCTGACGAGTATGGCCTTAGGGCTGGGATCGAACATGCCACTGCCTTTAGGCGCTGGCAGTTTAGAAAGCCTCGCTGCGGCCAATAGTATGTTAACAGGGCTTACGCCCGGATTATCGTCTAATTTAGCAGCAAGTTTATCTACTAGTAAATTGTCAGACCCACCATCCTATGCTGCTTCTTTACAAAATTTAACAGCAATGGGCTCATATGAAAAAACATCTACTAGTACCTCATCAAGCAATACAACATCTACGGCACCGATTCCAGCAAGTATTGCTTCTAATCTTATGATGAGTTCTGCCGATATTGCCAACGCTTTATTATCTGCTAGCAAATATTCAAGTGCCGGGATATTAGGCATTCCCGACCCCATGTCTAAATCAACTTTAGCCGCGAATAACATGTTCCTATCGCCTTCTTTGCTAAAAATGCAAGAATCCCTTTTGAAACCACTTTCAAACAGTAGCCCGATATCATCAAAAGTTGGTCTTGACCAAAACGTACTCATGAAGTCTCCTCACGATTTAATTAAAAGCAGTAAAGACTATTTACCACCTGACTTCGGAAGTATTGGTAAAGGAAAGATTGAAAGTTCTTTAGATACAGGGAAACATGGCGACACCAGTATTTCTTCGAAAGCAGACACTTCGAAACCCATTTCTCTCACTACGGATTCTCAACCAACTGATTTTAGCATGCCATCACGTGTTGGTGGTGAATCGTTTTTAAACCAAATGCTGGAATTGACAAAAAAAACTACAATGCCAGATTATATGTCTGAATACAGTCAGTCTTTGAAACTCTCTGAAGAAGAAAGCCAGATTACGCCGTCATCGAGTCATTCGTACTCAAATACTTCAAGCATTGTCGACACGATAGCTCAAGTGGCTATGGGAAATTACTCTAAAATGGATGAAGTTATGGACTATACCAAAGGGCAAGATTATAGCACGAACAAAAACTCCACGAGTGAAAGTGAAAAATAGATTGGCGTAACTAGGCATTCCTACTATACGCAAAAAATCCTTCTTGTTTTGTAGTGTTACGTGGTATATAATATAAAGAAAAATATTATTGCCAATTAAAACTATAGAGTGAAAAAATGTTATTGAATTTCTTAAATTAAATGATTTCTCTATCGGAATTTTCTTACTAAGTTTATAAATAGCATTATAAAACATTGTAAAATATAAGTAATTTGTAACTTTTTTACTACCCCAGCAAAGTAATTATTCTTGTATTTTAAGTTTTGGTATAAAGTATGACTGTAATTAAATATTAAAGATTAAATTAGATGATAAGGATCTATCTAGTATTCTAATTATGTATAGTTAGCATACATATAAATTTGAAAATCGCGGTTTACTAAATATATTTAATTCTATAGTAATATTCAGCTGTTTTAGATTGAATCCGAATCTAGAATAAGATATAAAATAACTTTTAAAAAATATTTTTTTGTGTATAAAGTTTGTAAGTGTGTTGGTAATGATATAGGTACCTATGTCGATCCATGGGATTTCCATGAATGGCTATTAATTTGTACTAAATTGATAAATGTCTTAAATTATTCTAGAATAAAACTTTGACAGTAAAATGTATGCATAATAAATCATTATATCTATTAAAATGAACATTATATGAAAAAAATTGTTTGATTTGATTTCAATCAATTTGATATCGTTTTATTTTAACTGTCTTAGGGGAAATATCCATCCAGGTTTTTATATATAATTCCCTAATTTGTAGGGTAGAAAAAATATCAAATAATATAAAAAATTCCTGTATCAAGGCGTTTTGGAGGAGCTAGCTGCTGCCCGCGACTTTGTCTGCGTAGAATAGGCTGAAGGCTTAATGTTCAGGCAGAAAGACATGTATATAAATTATAGCCTATGTCTTATTCTGAAGCTATATTATTGTAAAGTTTCATTAAAATCCATTCAGTAGTATTTGCGTGAAAGAGTAACAAACATCCATCCATACATTCAACCTTTCGCCTTTATAATATTAGTAAGGATAAGATAATGTTATATATTTTTTGATTTATTGTAATTGTTCTTTATACATTCTTAAATTTGATTTAATTCGGTTTTGTTTCTTTCGTATCTCATTGTTGCTTGTTGCAATCGTTATCGAGGTCTAGTTATCCAAAAGGAAATCAACTTTTTGTATATTGTATATAGAACTGGATATAATAATCATTGTAATTTATTTTGTCGCTATACAATATAAGTAACTAAATAAGTTTTAAAATTTTTTCTATCAGTATAGTTTGTAGGTATACAGCGGTATGAATTTTTAAGAGGGCGATGAGATAATGACAATTGTTCTAACGTCGCTTCCTTAGAACGTTTTTCCAATCAGTGTTGCAGATAATCGATAAAATTTAATCAGGACTGATAAGTGACGTTCTGATAAAGGCACTTTTTAAGTTAATCAGTTAATTTAATGATTAACGCGTTTACTCAGTGAGCATTTGTGTATTATTTTTGCTTTGTTTATAAAATACTAAGTGTTGTGAAGTAAATTACACGTATTTAAATGTTTTATTTTACTTAAAAAGTGGCATTATTATTGTAGTGTTTCATTATTATTTAGTTATTACTGCAAGTAAGACTTAGATTATTTTAAAATAATTATACATATGCCTTAAAATGTAACATTAACAGTTCTTCAACTAATATTGATTTATTTTGTTGGTGTATATGAAATCACCTTATAAACCTTGAAATTAAAAAAGAGGACTCAACAGGTATTAAATAAGGGTAATGTGGTTTGCTGCTTTTAGAGAGTGGATTTTATTGTGACCACTCTGGTGGCATGTTGAAAAGTGTTTTAAATGTTATTATTTCACATAATTTTAACTAACTTTAACACACACACTAAACTTAAACACTAACTTTAACTTTTAAATAAACTTGAGCGTATTCAAAATTTAGCTATTAGGTTCATATTTGGTTTACGCAAATATGATCACGTTTCCGAATTTCGTTCAATGCTCAAGTGGTTACCCATTCGTTTTCGCCGGAATCTACACACTGTCTCTCTTCTGTACTGTGTATTATTTAATCCTAGGACTCCAAGCTATTTAAAGGAACACTTTAAGTTTCTTGGCCATAACCATCCAGAACGAGTACTGCGATCAGCTGAAGATCTAATTCTAGCACCACATGCGTACAAACTAAATATTATAAGAACTCCTTTACAGTTAAGGCCATCTGCTTGTGGAATGAACTTCCTCAGCAAATTCGTCGTTCGAAGACGCTAGACAAGTTTAAAATTGACGTAAAACAACATTATCTATCGCTTTGTAATCCATAGTTTTTAATGGCAATATTTATAAAATTTAATTCTTCTCTCGTGTATTTATTTATATATATTATATATTTATTTATGTTTATGTATGTCTATAATAATTTTATTATATTTAAGTCTATTTTGGTATTAAGTTAGTTTATTGAGCACACCACCTCCCACTATTCATTAGTTTATTTTTCCTCGTCCTAAGGTTGTCTGGAAGAGATCGCTTTTTTGCGATAAGACCGCCTTATTGTACCTAGCTATTTTTTTCATAAATGACTAAAATAAGCTTATAAATGTGCTACTGCTGTGCAAAGGCCTCTGTACAGAGGCTATCAGAACATAGTCCACCACGTATTCTTCTGCGGATTGACGGACTTTCGAATTTTTTTTTGGTATAATTTCGAAAATATAAAAGCTTTCTCACCGCTGAGCAGGCGCCATATTACTAGCTCGAACTATCTGGGACTTGCATTGTGTACAGGACTTGCTGGCCAACAGTTTGAATGCCAACTACGTCCACGAACTGACGAGTGATTTGCGCGGTATGGCACAGGGCATTAAAATGCATTAAAAGGAAGTCCACAAAACCTTCACTAGGCACGATATGGTCTAGAAAAATGTTGAATCGGTGGGAAACCGCCTTACCGGTCTCCATGAGGGACGAAAACGAGCTCCATTTTTCCTTTAAGCGAAATTCCCGCCCCCATCATACACCGATCGCCATTCCTGAGCACTCCAATTGATGAGTCGCTATCAAATGCAAGGCGCGCCTTTCGGTCAATTTCGGGCTTTAGGCAGGTATTCTTAGAGAGAGGTTCGCTTCTTTTGAGCGGCTTCTGTCTATCCGTTGGCTGACAGCTACTCGTCGAAGCTCTCACAGCTGCTGTTGGGCGGCAACACCGGTGAGATGGCGAATTCAGAGGCTTGTTGAGATAACGAAACGGTCGTCTCACTCGGACGTATGCCAGCGACGATTGGTATTTACCTACCTTTTAGAGTAGGAACCAGTCTCTTGAAACCTTCTATTTAACCTTGATACAGCAGATTTACTCAGGTTTAGTTGGCGAACGACTTCTCGCTGGATAAAACGATATTGTAGTAGACCAACAAGAAGCGGCTTCTTCGTGTTCATTATCCATAGTTTCTGCGAATCGTTCATCGCAAATTGCGAAGATGTGTTTAGGTCATCGTATGATAAGCGACTGACAAGGGTACTCTGCATGCTTAAATTTTTAGAGGGTTGAAACGCGCAACTCGCACTTGTCGGGATTTGTTAAAAACTACTGGGTAGATTACTTAAGACATTTTTGAAAAAGTAGTTTGTACATTTTGTCGGGGTGAGTCAGCTTAGATGCTCGTTACTGTAGATACTCATCAGATCTCAGTGCGTGGTTAAAGACCTTCCGGCCGACGAATTGCATTCGACAGCCGAAGATGGTAGATGAAGGTCTGCTAGATGTCGACGGCCCGGTAGATAAGATTCATTTTAGTAATGCGCTCATGTCCACATGTGTGACTACTCAGGTAGGATCTAGCTGGTGAAAACCTAACCATTCTTCAAGTTCTGTGCCTTAAGAAACTTTATATAGGACCTACTGAATGATAGCGCAAACATCAGTCAACATTAAAAATACTACACATAAATTTGACACAAAATTTGTATATATTTTGTATCAAATTTAAAGTAATTTGCACCACGGTGGTGGTTAGGTGTTGAGATGTCGCTGGGCACGAGGCTGGTTGGCATGATTATTAATGATTTTTATATATTGTTCAGGTAATGGCAACAACCCCAGGGTTCAAAGACTTAGAAGAAGACAGCGATCAATCAGACTCCGATTTTCAACCACTCTACGATGACACCGATGAATTAGAGTATGTCGTTTAGCTTTAACTATATACCTACTTAATGAAGATACTTAAGAATAAGAACGTTTGAAATGTTACCATATGTCCTAAACAGCGTACAAAGCTATTCAAGTACTATATTCTCTTGATTGTGAACAAATAAAAAACAAGACAAAAAAAGACTTTCAAAAGTTTAATAATTTACATCTATAGACTGTATTTTGTGTACAGACACATTACTAAACCTGATACTTTCTTGCTGAATTATTAATTTTTAATTATGAAATGCTTCTGGAATTTATGTGTAGATAATAAACATTGATATAAAGTATTACTCATAGATGAAAGATCTTATTTCTCGATTGCAGTTTTAGATTCTATCTTTAATCATTCAATGACTGCATTTTTTATTTTTCATTCGTTGAATAAAAATACTTAAAAACTTTTTTACGTTGCTTGTTTCAACAGCCAGAGGACAGCGCAAGAAACGAAAGGATGGAACTTGTTCCGAGAAATACCCGTAAAGAAAGAAAGCGGGTCGATGGCGTCTACGGAATGGATCGACACAAGCATGAAGATTTTAAAGGTTCTTGCCTATATTTTGACCTTTGGGGCAGTTTTGGGCTCAGCGGTCATAGCAAAAGGAACTCTGCTATTTATAACTTCTCAGTTAAAGAAGGGACGCTATGTCTTCCATTGTAATAAAGCTTTAGGTAATTTTTGATCCGTATTGTGAGTCGCAATGAAAATAAGAATTACTTTAAAAAAAATGGCTTAAATTTAAATATTTTCAGCATTAGATAAACAATTCTTAACAGTTCTTCCATTAGAAGAACGCGTAACATGGCTTTGGGCTTCACTGATTATATTTGGTGTTCCGGAACTAGGAACTTTCTTTAGATCCTTAAGAATTTGTTTCTTCAAAACCGCTAAAGTGCCAAGCAGATTACAGTTTTTCATGGTAAGTGCATTGAATTATTATTATTAAAAAGCGTAAAATAATGTTTTAAAAGACTATCAAACCATTGTAATATTTTAGGCCTTCTTGGTCGAGACCTTGCATACTGCTGGTGTTGCGATTTTAATGCTCATTATACTTCCCGAACTGGATGTTGTTAAAGGTGCCATGTTAATGAACTCCTTGTGCATTATTCCTGGAATACTCAATGCGGTAACTAGGCAGGGTAGCGAAAGCCATTACGTGATAAAAATTATTTTCGACGTACTTTCGATATCAGCACAAACAACTGCATTCGTCGTTTGGCCGCTTCTAGACGGTGCACCGATTTTATGGACTATACCAGTGTCTTGTATCTTTGTGTCACTTGGATGGTGGGAAAATTATGTCGAAATAACAGATAAAAACACATCTGGTGAGTATGCCCGTATAATCATTTCATGACGTAGATATATTATACATATTATTCATTTGAAAAGTTCTCAATCAAGCCAGCTGTTCGACTAATGTTAAGAAATTACAACCACTCATGAACATCAACAACACCATATACCTACCTCACCAGGCGAAACGCAAAAGTATTTTTTTTTTATTTTTTATTTGGGAAACATACAGTATACACCACACTTAGGTATTGAAATAGCTTGTAAAAATACCAGTTAAGTTACAGAAATAAAAAAAATCAATTACAGCGTAAACAATATAAAAAAAGTAATAATAAACAATAACCAAAAGCAAAAGTGTAACAAAAAACAATAAATTACTATTTTTATTTCAAAATTAATCTTACACTTAACATACTTCCAATTCACGCTAGTCTTCTGTGAGGTTGTGGTACTTTCCCGGAGTGCCTGCCTCTTCGTGCAATAGCAAATACTGATTCTTGGCCCTGCAATAAAGCAACGCAGATAATATTAACACAACAAAACTATCTATTATATACTAATAGTAGGAGACAAATGAAAAATACAGCAGCCATTATTAAAGTCGTATAAATTACGTTTTATTTTCAGTTATATTATACTATTTGAGCGAATTAAGATTGGCACTTAAGAAAACCAGATACTACACGCAGAGAGTACTTTCAATTTGGAAAATTTGCGTGTTCTTAGTTTGCATTATCATTTCATTACATATTCAAAACGATGATCCTTTTGCAATCTTTAATTCTGTCAACACTGCTTTCGGTGCCCGCAACTACAGTGTCTATGAAGTAAGTTCACTAATTAAACAATATTTTGTATGAATTTTATATTTACGTTATGCTGAAAGTTTCTAGATTTTGATAAATAGGACCAGTTATTATATTCACGATGCGTTGTTTTTCGAAGTATGGAACTCTTGTGTGAAGTAGGTCCAGTCTTTAGAAGGGAATTCTTATAATACCGTCCCTTCTGGCCTTCCATATCGTACATCTCTAAGATTATCTTTTCGAAAATAAAAAGAGAAGTAATATATTTTATCCGTGATGCGTCATTAATGTAATAAGGCCTCTAAATACGCATCTGCAGATTTTGCTGACGTTCGGACGATATTGATGCGAGCACGCTTTTCCGAAAACTTTTCTTCACACTAGTTCAAACTATGAGTTGACATATTTGAGTGAATGTGACAGATGATATAAAACGTACGATCGGGAAAGAGATAGCAGTCTATAGAATTGTAATGTAATTACACCAATTGGCGTAATTTGGGTGGTTTTGTTTCGATACTTACGGAAGGTAGATTAAATAATATCATTGTTTGAAACGAAGTACACTGAGATTTTCTCACCTGTCACGATATCTTACACGATCAATGACTGCCTTCCGTTAAGCTTTTTTTTATCATTTTATCACTCGCCATCAGTTGTTCCTGGTGATCCTTTCTATCATAAGTTATCTATCGTGTCCAAAAATTCAGATGCACATGTAGAATGTTATGCACTTTTTACATTATCAATATTGAATTCTACAAACGCAGTCGGCTGACCGTCATATAACTACGTCGTCGTAAAGATGATGACACCCACGTCCTAATTTTTTGAATAACGAACACATTTCTTATATCTTACAAATATTTGCTTATAATCCATATAAGAAAAGAAAACACGTTTAAACTTCGGGTTTTCATTTAAACGTGTTGTATGCTAATGAAATTTGTATCGTATTTTATTAATTTGTATTTTTATGCTATATAAGTTGTATCGTATATAATGTAAATGATGACAAACGTTTTGACGTCTGTTTTCAGCTTCAATTAGTGATTGACGATGCGCTAGACGGTCAATTGGGCTTCAATCTAACGGAACCCGCGTTCATTTTGCCAGCGAGGTGGACGTCGCCGCTGTGGGTTGCGCTTATCCAAGTGGCAGCGGCGTATTTCTGTTTTACAAGCGCAAAGTTCGCTTGCAAGATTCTCATCCAAAATGTCAGCTTCACCTTCGCGCTGGGCCTCGTCGGACCGGTTCTGATCAATCTGCTGATCGTGTTCTGCGGAATGAGGAACGCTGATCCCTGCGCGTTTCACGGAACGATACCGGATTATTTGTTCTTCGAAATCCCACCAGGTCAGCGATAAAAGTAACAATTTTCACCATCTAAAGCCATTTTATATATCACTTAATGACTCTGAACAACAAATGTTTTTCATGTTGTTATCGTCTCGATAATTAAATGGCATATATATATGTAGAGTTAAAATAGTTTCAACTATGATACGTTACTTGTTATTGTTAATACTAGTTATAATTATATTCTATTATAAATTGTTGAGCGTAGATCCTAGAAGTTGTAAGGGTTTGGTTTGACAATGGCGGATTTTACATATTTTTTTTTATTTTTTTTTTTAATTTATTAAAAAAGCAGATGTGACAATAAAACTTACTTAAGTCATCTATACAATAATGTAAATGCTTAAAACTAATTGCACATCCAAATTATAGGCAAACACAACATTGATAGATTCACGTATCTTTGTAAGTAAATGTATGTTAAAATACAAATAAAAAAAAATCCAGCGTAACAACACCATCATTACAAAAAAAATGAATTTATAACAGAAAAAAAAAATTGTTTGTCGTGGACATAAGTTGTTAAACATGGCTTAGAATAATATGGCGACATTGAAGTAAAGAATCGCAATTAAAATCAATTTTGTTGGAGAACTTATTTACTAGAGCACATAAGCGCGGGATAATTGACTTAGCTCCCAAAACAGTTCTCTTAAGAGGAGGCGTTAGGGGTTTCAGTTTAGTGCGTGGAAAAGAACGAGGGATATTAAAGTTAAATTTGGAAAGAAGATCAGGGCAATCTACATTATTTCTTACAAGCTTATGGAAAAAATTAAAATCAATTAAGTCTCTCCTCTTAGAGAATTATTTTAAAATGGCTAAGTCTTTCATCATAACTAATAATTTTTTTATCTAAGCATGATGTTTTTGCAATGTGCCATAAAAACCGTTTCTGTAATCTCTCCAATCTTAAAGAATGCGTAGAATAATGTGGCCGCCAAACAACACTGCAATATTCAAGACAACTCCGCACCAAATTTTTCTTAAACATGCAGGTTTCTTAAAAATATATTTCCGTCAGAAACGTGGTAAGTCACCAGTTACAGTTGCAATAAATAGTTAAATCAGCAGACGGGGTGCTATGATTAAATGAACATCAATTAACATGGCTATTACTTAATTCACATAAAAATGTAATACTTAGGGTCAGATGCTCGTAGAAGAGTAGTCTCGGGTGATATTTGAGGAACGGAGAGAAATAATGTGCGGATTTTCACACGGTTGTTCCATTCAAGAACGCAGAAGCTGGATGTGATTCTTATATAATGAAACAATAAAAACTTAATATTTGCAGTTTACTTATTAAAGGATTATATCCGAAACGAAATGGTATGGATTTGGCTGTTGTGGTTAGCATCCCAGGCGTGGATAACCATGCACACATGGATGCCACATTGTGAACGCCTCGCTGCTACTGATAAGTTGTTTGCAAAACCTTGGTATCTCGGGCCTCTTATTGACCAGTCGTTGTTATTAAATCGCACCAAAGACAATGAATATGATATACATCTTGAGGTATGACACGCAATGAATGACACCGTTTGCTGTTTTTTCGATAAACGATTAATAATGATTGTTGTAGGACTTGAAGGATCTACAAGACGAGGATGCGGTATCCCGTGTCAGTTATGACGAAGTGGCGAAAGACATAAAACCTTCGGATAGTGTAACAAGGTATGACTGTTCATTACTCAAAATATCTATTTTGTGCATAAAAAATATATTCAGAGTATGCATGAAGTTTTTACGTATATCGTTATTACTTATAAAGGAAAAAAAACCTGATTATCATACATAAATTTTTTATAGCTATTTTTCTGTAATGTACATTGATAACAAAAACGTAATATTAATATTTGCATGCATGTCATCATATAATTCAAAAGTATGATGCGCTGGCATGCGTGCAAATTAGCAGAGCGAACACGTTGAATTATTAACGATTTGAAGATATCCTTAGGTAAATAATTTAATCATATCGTGATGAAGTGCATTTAGTCAAAAACATCTAAAAATGTGTATATGATAAAACATATTCATAATCTCTGTCGCTATGAACTCTATACATGAGATCTTTAAGAAAATATTATAAAATTTTTAATGCACAGTATATCCTTTAGATTTTAATGATTAACAGGATTTACGTTTGTGCAACTATGTGGCACGAAACGAAGGACGAGATGATTGAATTTCTAAAGTCTATATTCCGTCTGGACGAAGACCAAAGCGCACGCAGAGTTGCCCAGAAATACCTGGGAATAGTAGACCCGGACTATTATGAGTTAGAGTGTAAGTTACCCACACCATATATTTAATAGTAATCATTACTTGAAATGTGTGATGATACCATAACTTGTTTTAAATTCTTTCAATCTTAATGATCATTATTTTTATATATAAAAAAGGAGTATTAAACAAACGTTTTAAGACACCGAGCGATACCCAAAAGACTTACTCAATTTTCAATAGAAACCTATTGCGTAAGCTATGTAGTTGTGTTTGGTAATGAAATAAATATGAGACATATCGCACATTATGATTTTTTTATGCAACTGTACGCAAAAGAGAAAATGTGTTATTGGCTGGTATGTGATCACCGCCGCCCATAGACTCACAACAGCGGAGGTATATCTCTTCTTGAAGGTCCCTAAGTCGTATTGGTTCGACTTAATGTCCATTACATCTGATACGATCAAATTAATCTCAATAAAAATGATTATAGCAATTGGCAAATCTATATCTAGTACGTAAGTTAAACGTCTTGTTATGGTTCTCTTTGTTTATGGTTAGGCTTAATCACTATTTAAATATTTTTTGGACCGATTCATTAGGTTTGTTAACACCCTAGAAGTATACTTTAAGTGAAAAGATATATTAAAGTGAATGTTTCACTACTTAAATAAATTTAAAAAATTCGACTGCGGTAAGAAATATTTTTTGGAAACATAAATTTTGCATCCAAACGTTCGCCATTATTTAATTTTATTGCTTGTATTGTCTTTTTAATTTTAATTCTTATCTTTTTACTATAGTACTTAAATGCCATAATTTGAAACCAGGTCACATCTTCATGGACGATGCCTTTGAAGTGTCGGATCACAGTACAGAGGACTCCCAAGTTAATCGTTTCGTGAAATGCCTTGTGGAAGTCATTGACGAAGCGGCTTCCGAAGTTCACTTGACCAATGTCCGACTAAGACCACCGAAGAAGTACCCAACGCCTTATGGTGGCAAGTTAGTTTGGACTCTGCCGGGTAAGAACAAAATGATTTGTCATTTGAAGGACAAATCGAAGATTCGACACAGAAAGCGATGGTCGCAGGCAAGTTTTTATTCTAACAATCGTTAATTCTGATTAACACATTATCTGACGGAAAAAATAGTTTTAAATGGGGTTTAAACGCAATCTGTTCTCTAGGTTATGTACATGTACTACTTCTTGGGTCACCGTTTAATGGATTTGCCACTATCAGTTGACCGGAAGGAAGTATTAGCAGAAAACACTTACCTCCTAGCCTTAGATGGAGACATTGACTTTAAACCCTCTGCTGTGACTCTGCTTATTGATCTGATGAAGAAGGACAAAAACCTGGGCGCTGCATGTGGGCGGATTCATCCTGTAGGATCTGGTGAGTTATTACCATGAATTCTTAGTTTAACTGTACGTTGCAACCAGAGAATTGTTGAAACAGTTGGCCACTTTGAACGCTGCTAATTACCAGGAATTTATTTAATAATCTTTAAAACATACATCTTAAAAATAAATTCTAGAGAGTCCTTCTGTGTATTTGTATTGTCAAACACGCTTAATAATTCTATTTTCGCTTTCTATGTAGTATAACCAAAATTAAAGTTAAGTATAACTGTATTTTCTATTAATGGCTGCTTTCTTTAGATTAACGGAAGGGTAAGAAGGACCTGCAACATATAAGTTATACACACACATAATGTTTACACACATAACTAAATACTTCGACTTCGCCTACTGGCATGAAACCAGCACAACGCGCAAACATGCCAAACTCGTATTCCGATTAACAGTCAACGGCCATCAGGATCACGGCCCTTGCCGAACCGCGATGGCCAATAGGTGACATGCTTCATGATCACATGCTCGGCCCTACCCAACGCAGAGGGCCTTATCAAGCTCGTGCATTCTGGCTAGACCAGGTTCAGTTCTGCTTTCGATGAAGCTTTAATAGTCTACGGACTGAAAGCAAAAATATCAGTTAAAGTAAAAGTATTTGTATTTTTATAGGTTTTATGGCATGGTACCAAATGTTCGAATACGCTATCGGTCATTGGCTGCAAAAAGCTACGGAACACATGATCGGTTGTGTACTATGTAGTCCGGGATGTTTTTCGCTGTTCAGAGGGAAGGCTCTGATGGACGATAACGTTATGAGAAAATACACGCTGACGTCAAACGAAGCTCGTCACTACGTACAGTACGATCAAGGTATGTACATGTATATAAGTCTAAAAATCGGCCTAGTTCGATTTGGACGCGCGCACGAAGATGACAAAAAAAAGTCATGTCTGTTGTATGTGAGCCCCACATCATCTGTCAAAATTTCAACTATCTAACTATCACGGTTCATGAGATACAGCCTGGTGACAGACGGACATACAGACAGCGGAGTCTTAGTAATAGGGCCCCGCTTTACCCTTTGGGCTTTTAACCCTGACATTTGTAGAAAAAAGGACTTCTCCAAGGAGGATAAGTTTTTCTCCATAGAAAAACTTATCGTCCTTTTTTCTACAAATTTCAAAGTTTCATCTAAGTGCAAAGTTTAGCGCTATAAAAATTATGCTTTGTAACTGTTATAAATATATGATGATGTGTCATCGATAACTTTTTGACGTCTAGATGTGCAATGATAAAGTTTAAGTTTTTCAAATTTCCCAAAACGCCCCTGTAATAACTAGTCCCGCTCTATATATCTTTTTTGTAACCACCTCTAATGTTGGATTTAATGATATTCTATCACGCTTACTATATTAATGGAGTGTAAAAAAGCCGTAAAACCCACTAGAGCATAAGGTGACGGTAGATTAAGATTAGAGCGAGATGGCAACTGTGATTTTTGGCTTCGCAGAAAAACTTTTTTCACAATTTATGTTTTATACTCTCAATTAAATTTCATTTTGCGTGCAAATTAGAATTTAAATTAATAGTGAATTATTTTAATCATTTACAACTATCGCTTTAGTATGGGGTCGGGTATTATTAAAAGAAAATCATCTCCCATATATGTAACGTTAAAATTACGTAAGATGCCGCAATCAAGGACACATTTTCGTCAAATGTTTGTATGTGCTACTATACTTCACATATTATAACCTCTACCAGGAGACTTTAATCGGGATTCCTCTTCATTATTACATTTTCATTTTAAGACTTGCGATTTGAGCGAGCAAAAGAGGATCTTTCTACTATGCCACGTGATTCCCTACTAAACATTTGGGCTAAAATAGTTGTACAGAAACATGTTTGTTCACGCCTCAAAAGTCTTAGTACGATTATTCCTTTAATAGTGTCCAGTGCGAACTGAAGGGTAAAAGACAACTTAATGCAATGTAATAATACTTATTATTATGTTCTTCTACATTGGTCCGTTTTTATTTTTGATAAATACGTTTCAAAAGGAATATTTTGTTCTATAAAACTTAGATTTCATGGTCGCGTAAATTGTAATCATATTTTTAGGAGAAGATCGATGGTTATGCACGTTGTTGTTACAACGCGGATATCGAGTAGAATATTCTGCAGCGTCGGATGCCTTCACCCATTGCCCGGAGCGTTTCGATGAATTCTTTAACCAGCGCCGCCGTTGGGTGCCGTCTACTATAGCTAATATTTTCGACTTATTAGCCGACTCTAAACGTACTGTTCAAGTCAATGATAACATCTCCACGCTTTACATTGTCTACCAGGTAAGCTACTGAAACGATTAACTATTGATCATTATTAATTTCAGTGTTTATGTTTTGGGTAGTGAGTATGGTACTTTTAATTCACACAGTCTTCTGTGAGGCCCTGGTTCTTCCCCAGTCGTGCCTGCCTTGTTGGAAACGATAAATTATCGAATTGAGGGCAATCCAAGTCATTTTATATTTACGCTCCTTCATTATAATGGCTCGTCACAAACTAGAAACGTTTTTGGTTGTTCTTCTTCGGATCTTGTACGCAACTACATTTCGATCTTCGTCATAACTTCGATTCAAAATAACGCAGCCGAAGTCGGAGGTATATAATCAAACGGTTTAAAGCCCTGACTCATATAGGTACGTTAATTAAAAAAAAAACTTCAATTTGGATATTAATTATTTTGAGAATTGTTTGTATCGATCAATCGTCTAAATATGACCTAACTAATATAGGCGATTTGACTTTATCTAGATTTTTATATAAGTTGTAATTATTGGCTTACTTTATATGAATTCGAATCATAGGTTTTTTATAGGTCTTCGAATGATTGGCAGTTCAAAAATTAAGTCACTTCAACGACATTGTAACATTATTAAGTATTACCGCTAAGCTGCTATGGAAATTTTGTGAATTTCTTTTTTTTATTTCCAGACGCTGCTAATGATGGGCACTATATTAGGGCCCGGCACGATTTTCCTTATGATGGTCGGTGCAATGAACGCTATAACTGGAATGAGTATTATGAATGCCCTCTTATTAAATCTCATTCCGGTGCTTATATTCCTCTTCGTTTGCATGACATGCAAGTCAGAAATACAGGTATACGACCAATATTTATTTTTGTAAACATTCTCACATGAAATACTCTCACAAGTTTTAATAAAACTAGTTTACAGTCTATTACGTTACCATAAAAGCTAGAAAGATTTCAAAACATGCGAGCTTAGCTACAATTAACCGCCATTATCTAGTTTTATTAAAATGCGTGACATTCGCGTTAATTGAATGAATCAATAACGTTACAGTTTTAATGAGAGTGTTGCCACCTAAAGGTTTCCTTTAAAATCTTATTTTTTTTCCTTACTCTTTCGCTCTACGTAAAATAAGTAAATTTATAAGTTCAACTCATTAAGCTAACCGAAAAAGTATTAATTGTAATCAATATCATATTACAAAAAATAAGTTATTTTTTCCAGTTAATGTTTGCTAACGCAATTACTTGCGCATACGCAATGATAATGATGATGGTGATTGTGGGGATAGCACTTCAAATCGTTGAAGACGGTTGGCTGGCCCCCTCCAGTATTTTCACCATAGTAACGTTCGGTATATTCTTCGCAACAGCAGCGTTACACCCGCAGGAAATTGTGTGTCTGCTATATTTGGGTGTGTACTACATCACGATACCGAGCATGTACATGTTGCTGATTATATACTCACTATGTAATTTGAACAATGTCTCGTGGGGCACCCGTGAAGTAGCGCAGAAGAAAACACTTAAGGTAAATGCACCGACGTGATATTTTAAAATTTTGTAGAAAAAATGCAACGCAAAATTATTCGCCACTGCGGGAATCGAAACCATGTCTTCCGGATTTGGGCCCGGATGCTTCAACCACTAAGCTAAACGGCTACAAACGTTATATTTTATTCGTTTTGTGTGGAAATTACTCTTTCTCTGAAGAGTGAAAATATTTTATTGTGCTATTGTTGATCTTCAAAACGAAATTCTTGAAAGTTTTTTGTATTTTTGTGAAGGAATTAGAAATGGAGAAAAAAGTTGCAGAAGAAGCAAAGAAGAAGATGGATAATCAAAGTATTATGAAGTGGTTCGGTAAGTCGGAAGACACCAGCGGCTCAGTAGAGTGCAGCTTGTCGGGCCTGTTTAGGTGTATCTGCTGCACTAACCCCAAAGACCACAAGGATGATCTACACTTGCTTCAAATATCCAATTCATTGGAGAAGATCGAAAAGCGATTGGAATCATTGTGAGTTTCTTCGTAAATAAAATCTGCTTTAATGGCAACATTAAAATGATAAAAAAGTTATCAAATAGGTGTCACTATTGTTTAAATACTTATATGTTTATTATTTAAATCCTTATATACTTAAATACTTTTAACAAACCAGGGGTGCTCCACCAGAGTTAGAGACAGCTCCAAGAAGACGCTCCTCAATGCCGTTGCGTAGTGACACACTGTCAATGCTCCCCGAATACGAAGATAGCGATGATTCCGCAGACATACCAAGGGTAACTTAACAAAACAATTTGCAAACATTTCTTTTGATTGAAAACTCATACTCACTATTTCTGTGGGAAAAAGGAGTGACAATAGGTAGCATAAAGTTATTATATAGACAATAGAAAAAAGTAAAAATAGGCAGAGACAGATACTCCTACTCTTTTTTTGAAAATTCAAATATTAACAAGTAAAATTTGAATGATTTTTTAAATTTTTTACTGATATTGTTCGAAAATTACTTCTTCTTGGTTTCAGGAAGAAAGAGATGACTTGATTAATCCTTATTGGATAGAGGATCCTAATTTGCAAAAAGGAGAAGTAGACTTCTTGACGACGGCTGAAACCGAGTTTTGGAAGGACCTTATCGATGCTTACTTAAGACCCATCGATGAAAACAAGGAAGAGCAGGTTATATTTAATATTATTATTATTTAGTGACTCAACAATTATATCATATTTATCAAATCTTTCTTTCTTCTTTCTCCTGACCTTACGGCACAACGTGTGAATGATGTTGTTCGTGATATTCGCTAATTTAATTTTTACGACAGGCCTCCTGCCTAATATGTGGGAATCGAACCTACGACCGAAGCGCCACAGAATTAATGAATATAAATATTGAATTATATTTATAAATATCAGAGTCGACAGTATGAGCCATGAGTATCTATCTATTGAATTTTGAGTTTTTAGTGCCTGAAATATACTTAGATTAGCTGAAAATTTTATCTACTGTGCATTTCGAAGAAGAGAGCTAATTTATTTGGGAATTTTTAGGAACGCATTAAAACGGATTTAAAGAATCTGCGCGATAATATGGTGTTCGCTTTCGTGATGCTCAATTCTCTGTTTGTGTTAGTCATCTTCTTGCTACAGTTGAATCAAGATCAACTACATTTCAAATGGCCTTTGGGCCAAAAAGTTGCAATTATCTACGACAACGAAAACAATATGGTAAGCAATGTTATCGCACTCCGTTCTTACGTGTCGCTCCATTGTTAAGGGTTTATGACTTCTTTATGAAGTCCAATAAGTGTGAATAAAAATAAATTTTCTAATCATTAAAATATGTAGAAAAAGTACGAAAAGATTTTCGCCGCTGTGGGAATCGAACCCACGTCTTCGGCATTCGCGGCCTGACGCTCTAGCCACTGAGCTAAACGGCTGATTGTCACACCGACGAAAATATTAACGTCTTTTATCTACATTGTTTTTTAGCATTTGAAGCAATGCTTGGCGCATCCATTGTTATATCCCTTCCAGCATTTCGCAGGTTCGATTCCCACAGCGGCAACAATTTTTTGTACTTCTTCTACATAATTTAATGTACAATCTTAAGTGCAGAGATTAGCACTATAATAAATTTAAATTTCTAATCATTTGAATCTTAAATGTAAAAGCAGGGCTGTAGACTGTAGACTTTCAATGTCTCGCGATAAAAATGTTTAATACTGAATTATTTTCTACTAAATTATCTTCAAAAATTTACGGCATTCTCATTTACTTAAAAAATTTCGTGACTTTGTTCCATCCTTAATTGAAAATACGTTAAGACTAATATATTAATTATTTGCATTTGGGATCTTTTTTTTTTCAACAAAACAGTATTTATAACATATATAAAGTGAGTTAAAACGGAATGTTATAGAATTAGGTGTCACGTAATTATTATAAAAAATTGGGATCTTTTCTTATACGTTACTAACAATCGTTTTTAGTGTTAAATTTTTATTAGAAGACTACCTTTATTAAAATGAAACCTTATTATTTTATGAATGCATATTTTATTCCCGCAGGTAATTCTAGAACAGGAGTACTTGATGTTGGAACCAATCGGTTCACTTTTCCTCATTTTCTTTGGTACCGTGATGGTTGTGCAGTTCGTTGCTATGATTTTCCACCGTCTTGGCACTCTCACACATTTATTGTCGACTGTACAACTTAATTGGTATTTCACTAAGAAGGTAAGTAAGTACGCTAAATAAATACGTTTTCCTGCAAATGAAATGAATAACTTATCAAATGTTTTGTGTACGTTGAGAAAATAGCTCTCTTTTGCAATATCCATAAATATACTATATAAAGTAATCTCTGTCATACATTCTTTTTGTGCATATTTTATACACACATAACTGGATAAAACGTTTCACTTATGGATTTTATCGCGTTCATTTGAAATTTAAATTCCAAAGTTTCGAATACATTGCAACTTTCGTGGTCATTGGGCGAAATTGTTTGCATGACAGTGCTGATATGAAAGCCTTAAAAATAATCTCATTCATTAACACAACATTCGTATGTAAAATATCATATCGTTTCATATCACACAAATAACATTTATATGTGAATAACGTCTTTCCAATCTTTGGTAGCCGGACGAGATGACCGAGCAGGCGATGATAGACAAACAAGCGATAGAAATAGCGAAGGACCTCCAAAAGTTGAACGTGGACGACTTGGAGAGACGGGGCGTGGACGACGCAAACGTGTCGCGGCGTCGCACTGTACACAATTTGGAGCGCGCCCGTGACAACAAGCAGCATGTCATCAACTTAGACGCGAACTTCAAGAGAAGATTGACACTACTACAGAACGCCGACCCCGGTGAGCAGTCACCGTTTTCTGCTATCATTGTTAGGTTACTTTAGACCAAGTGGCTGTGCTTGTTTTATCAAATTTAGCTAGCCTTAGTATAATTCTCTTAGTTAGCTTCGAGTTGAATCAATCATAACCTAGTTTAATTACAGTCCTAAATTTGGCATTACCACAAGCCTTTTGCCTTTTCACACTTTCGCCAAGATTCATGACGAGCATCGTAAATGACTTTATTGCTTATATATTTATGAAATGGATACAGACAGTTTATTATATCTTATTTAAAAAGAGCAATGCACACTTCTTATTCAAATAATTTTTATGTTTACACCGATAAATTATTAATGATGAGGGCGGCACTAAAAGTAGCACAGTAAAGAATCTTAGCAGATGTTTTTAACAAAATGTATTGCGTTTTACTTACGACTATAATTATATTCTAAATCAATTACAGAAAATATTATTTATTTGAAGAAACGTAAATTAGTTCGCTACAATTACAGTTATAGTAAAGGAAATATTTTGTCATGTCGTTCTGACCTAACATTCTAAAATGAAACTCACAGGTCAAGCTTGTCTAGTGTGGAGGCACCAGACTACGGCAGTTAATATATTATAATTCATCAGTTTTAACCCGCGGCTCCACTCGCGTGATTGTAATCAAAATAAAGTATTATGATTTCAAGAAATAAATATTAATCCCACTGTATGTCCATTACAAATAAAATTTAGCATTTAATGGACGCGAAGAGAGAAAAACCACATTCACACGTACATCGTTTATTACTGTTGCCACTATTTACAATAGTTACAAATACTTATATAGATACGCGAATTTTCACTAAAGTATTAAAGTCGAGATAGCGCTTAATTAGATCATTTGCGTTCAGTCACAACTGATTAGTAATAAGCATCCGCTGGGCACAAATCAAATGCAAAATTAAAAATGTAATAAAAAAATCAAATGCAAAATTAAAAATGTAATAAATAACAAAGTAGACCAAGAACGTGTGTAGTGGCTATAGCTTCTTTGCTTTTACGCCCATTTTTCTGTTCTTTTTTTTTAATTGAATGCAATAGCGCTCATTGAAGTCAGCCGTATAGTCGATTCATTTTTTTTTCACTTAGTTTTAACTACACAGATATGATAGCACGATTGCCTTCGCTGCGTGGCAGCGTGTGCGCGCGACGGGCCACTCTCCGCGCCCTGCAATCGCGTCGCGAATCGCTCACAGCGGAGCGACGCCGATCTCAGATGCCGCGCGACTCTATCTATTTGTACGACGAGCCGAAGACCACGGTGCGTACTCTCTGTGCTGGATAAGCCTAGAAGTAATAGTTAGTAAACGATACAGAACGCACCCTATGAATGGAGAGGGTGCCAGCTAACGTGAATATTCTTCCATGTTGATATCTTGTTTTTACATGAATATGAAGCTATTTTACGGATTTTATCGATACGACGTTTTACTCCGATTTCATTTTTAAAATAAAAACGCTATAAAGCCTGTAAAATAGTTTAATTTAATGACATGATTACATTTCTACTTTTTCTGCTGCCCTTATTCCATACAGGTCAGCACAACATGTGAGTTAAATTGTTATTAAAATTAGCTAGGTTTTTTATGATGGACGTCACGCCTCCTTGTGAATAAACACCCGGATCCGGAAGAATTATTTGTGAGGAACACAAATACTTGTCCCGTATGGGAATCGAACACACAACCTGCGGCGACAAAGCCAATGGCTTAATACGTTATGTGATAATATTTAAGGTTATTAAGTAGCGAGTTTAGTTATAGGTTACCTTTGAGGGTAAAGATGAAACAGTTGTTTTAAACTGCGGCTTCGAACCATGGCCAAGCATATATAGCGTTTAAATTGAGAAAAAACCAAATGATAATTAGGATTAATAATATTGAATAAACGTGTAATTTAATTCATTCATATGTATAATGTCATATCCTAATGTCTATGTTCGCTTTATATTACATTCAAGATCTTCCTTGATATAGAATCCAAGTAGGCACTCTGTAAAGGGTAACTCTACCTGCACTAAAAATATACAATAAATGCAATTTTTTCAAAAAAAGAAGCTTTTGTATATCTTATCATTTTAGAGTTTATCACTTAATCATTTTTTTTTGTATAAACTAATTTTTAGTCTGTGGACTTTAAATTTTATATCGAACGAACACCACAAGGTTTTAAGTGTAACAATAATTGTTGGAATGTTCAATTATAAAATATGAGAATCATAAAATAACTCTCCGTAAAATATTGAGCAAGGCTTATTCGCACCTTGTGCTAGTTTTGCCTATTACCAAACAATATTGTTATTATAATTAAAAATTAACTACAGTTACGTAAGTGTTTGTAAAGTCATACTGTGTCATGAGAGTCTATTCGTATGTTATTTATTTAAATTTAATTACATACGAATATCTTCAAAACGTATATTTGATGTTTATATTTAATTTAATACATTTTAAATGACTTCAATTGATTTAACCTAAAATGAACGCACTGTGAGGAAATCAGAATTTTTTTTCACATTATATGATAAATAAGATCGTCAATTCACACAGGCGCATGCTCCAATTTAACAAGAAGCTAACTTGAAATTACACTCTTCATATGTACTTAGAGTGTTATTGCCTTATGAAGAACATACGGAATAGATTTAGTATGAGGATTGTTTATAGCTTTTGATTTTTTATTAAATTTAAATGACAATTTTATATAGAAATAGTCATTATTATTTGACACTGCGGGATTTGAAGGTGCAAGCCTAAGAATAGTTCTTCTTCCTGCTAACACACACTAACGCTTTGCTTGGAAGACGCTCTCATAAATTTCGCTAGGTCAGAGTTACGGATGACCGTTGGCCATCCTCTCCACCGACCAGCCTTCTGCTGGTCGAGATTACGCCCGCAATGGGGACCAGGACCCCGAGGCTTGAGTCAGTGGGACCTTGTGCCAATTGCACATACCCTATAAATTTCAATGGTAAAGGTGACATCTCTAGTTGCAAAATATTCATCGTGGAATGTTATTTAAAAGGTGTAGGATATGTACACTTGATGGCGCCAAGCATTGCTAGAAAAGAAGAAGATTAATATGAAAGCTAATAAGAAATTGAGACATTGAGATTATCCCGCCTAGAGGTCATCAATATCTTAGGTGAGCTGGAAAGTGTCTATTATTCAAAAATTAACATTTAAGGTTTAATTTTGAGTGCAGGCTGGTACTAGTAGAAGAAAATTTATCCAATTTAGTATTTTTTTACATAAAACCCGGTAGAACTTTTTATTGTTTACTATCAGTAGCCAGTCGCTATCAGTAGTTAGAGCAGTTCTTTGATATGAAAGGATTTGAACATAATATAAATTTGAAGATTAACACAATATTTTTGTTGGCAGTTGAGTGATTTGGCGGGAAGGCCTTCGATGTCGGGCGCGTACGTGAATAAGGGTTACGAGCCCGCTTTGAACAGCGACGATGACGAGAGCCCTTTGCCAAGGCGGAGCACCGTGCGCTTCCGGGAGAAGTTCGCTTGACACTAACGACCCTTCGATTTCTACTATTCATTCGATATCTATATTTATTTAAAGATTATTTTGTCTTCGCATAAAATTTCTATTATTTATCTATTTGCATTTTTATTCCTTTTTCCATCCATGAAGTAAATATCTTAATTTCACAAATAAAGTTAATTTTATGACCCATTTGTAAGGTTTTATTTATTAATATAACATGAGAACCGTTTGCTTTATGTTTATAAACAGTACACAAATAATTGGTGAAAAATCTTGTATGATATGTGTTCTCCAATATTAATAAATGTAGTACTGACTAAGCGAATTATTATATACGTTTATGAATTATAATATTTGTGTAATAAATGTAATTAATTATAATCATCCATTAAGTAAATCAATTAAAAAAAATGAACCAAAATGTATTAACCCAAATTATATTTTTGTTGCAAAGCGTAACCGTAAAAGAATTTTTAGCCCCTTTTTCTAGTTTCTACTGAAACCGAAATTACTGAATCTTGTATGGTCAGTAATCTAAGTATGGCAGGGATCGTCGTGTGAGTAGAATAGATGTCGTAGAAAGATCTATCGTAACTGTTTCTTTCTCTTATAATTTGTTGAGCTATCCGGCACTCTAAGGATCATATATATATATATATATATATATATATATATATATATATATATATATATATATATATATATATATATATATATATATATATACAGATATAATATATATATATATCTTAGGACAATGGATTTTTATAGATATTATTCACAAAAAAATGTATCTTAATATTAGAAGAGTTACGTAAAAATAACTATTCATTCATAGCATCTCAGAACCCCTCACTAGTAAAATGTTTTGTAAATTCAAGAAAAGTATTATATAATTTATAGTTAACATTTTTCTATAAATCTCGTTAAAATCCATTTATACATTTGTAGAATACCTCATTAGAAAATTTAGTTCTAAGTATCGGTACAAGTTACTTTAATACTTTAATATTTATTACTTACTCAAACTTATTGATTTCTTCTGCCTCTTGTTGAACATATATAAAGATTAAATACGTAATTTCGGAATAAATATATTTTAAGGGTATTCAGGTGCCTCGTTTGTTTTACGTCGTTGGCAACTAGCTATAGTTTTCTTATTATCTATTGCAGGATTACGTTAATATTATATATTAGCAAGAAACAGTTCCAAGATATGGATACTGATGTACAGTCCAAACGAATTGCAGTTCATAGCGTAGATTTAAGCAGAGTCCGTGGCGCCAAAGCCTAGCGTATGCTCCACCGCGCCTAGGTTTTTGCCGGCGAACTAGTTCGGGTGAACACGGTTGGCGAGTGAGCTGGAGATTGTCGGCGAAGTGACAGGTCACCATGGCCCCGTGTCGGGCGGCGGCGAGCGGCAGTTAGTGCGCGGCGACTCCAGCGACCGCACCGCGCGCACGATGCGCATCGACAACTTGCAAACGCGAGTGCCCTCTACCCCCTGGAACACTGTGAAGTGACACTCATCCTAGGATTATATACACCCTATATCGCCGGAACGGTGAGTAAACCTGCTATTGAAGTTTTTTTTTGTTTACGTACCAACTCGACCTTAAGTTCGCCGAGGCTAAAGCGATCACCTGCGAAAGTACGCAAGGGTGATTGCCATTGTTACTAATTTGACTATATATTTAATGCGTTTATGCTGTTACGCTACTATAGCTGCTATATTAATGCTTAAGTAGTTTAATTTTGAAGAATTTTGAAAGTCCATACCCAACAAACAACTGTCCGATTATTTTGGGTTTTGCTTTCGAAAGTTTTCGTCCGTCTCACAAGAATTTGTAATACTCAACTGTTAAGTAGGTTGGAAATGAAACATGTAATAATATCAGTAATGTTTGTATTCGTATTTCCATGCGTAATTTGAATATTTATTGCAGCAAACAAAAGTGAATGTAGGTGTTAGGTAGACGAGATGACTGATCAAGGTGCTAAGTTAGCCGAGACGGAACACCTTCGAATCTGAATCATATTCACATTACTAAAACTAGATTCTTGGAATGCGTGCTTAAAGTTTTCTTAGAAATATAAGATACATTCCTTTTAGTTCATCAGGGTCATTTTATACGTAGTATTACTAAGCATTTATTTTATTTAAAAGAGAAAACATTATATAATGCCTTGAATTGTTTGGTCTTGGACGAAAATTGCAACAACCTTGAGTTTCTTTCACTTCCTTCTTAATTGATCATTAATAGCATCGGCTATGACCTACTCGTTAATGTCGTAATTAATGTACTTGCTCATTATTCTAACAGTATGTTTTGGTTTTAGTGAATCATTTAACTAATTTATAAAACAAAAATCTAAAATAGTTTTAGTTTACTTACTCACGTATAGTTTACCTGAAAAGGTTTTTAATCAGTCATTTAAAAATAAAAATAAAAATTTCGCTGCTGACAAAACAGAAAAGCAATGGCATTGCGGAGTAGTATTAGCCTTAAGACCTCGCGTATATCCGGTTCCGACAGAGGCTTGTTCTCACCTGGAACTAGAGTAATTTTGTGATATCCGCAGCTGTAATTAACTTGTATTAATTGTGTACTGTTGTATGTTTAAATTGTTTCTTACTAACCTATTTATTACCAACATTTATTACTTATTCTAAAATCGTCAATTCTTTGTTTGCAGAGTTTGTGATGCGATTACATTTTCATAGAAACATAAAGAGTCCTAAGGTACTATAAAATGTCAACGATGAAGTCAAGCCCTGCTTTCCGGAGAGGAAATTCCTAATCGCAGAAGGTCTGATCAAAGTACTAAATAGGTTTTTTTTAAATGTCTATGTCGATAACAAAAAGGTGACATGGATGAGTTAGCTATCTCTGTTTATCACGCTGTTAAGCTGTTTTCCATAAGTCCTTGACATTTTCTAAAAGTTGATAAGGCAAATTATTAATAAATATTTACAATTAAGACATATTTATTTCCCTTTTTTATAAATAGAAAAATACAGCTTGATAATTTTCAAAATATTTTAATTCACAAAACTAGAAGTTTATGCCATTATATAAGATAAAAACTTAAACTATAAACTACATTATCTTTAAACTTAATATTGACTTTTAGTAGTTTTCGTAGAGTCAGTCAAAGCAGTAACTGCAATGTTCGTCATAACGAATGATATTTTATTCATAATAGCGTGGTTGAAATTTAGTACGGATCATTCTACATACTCTAAATGTAGAACATTTAGATACGCGTAGTATACGACTACGCAATACTGTACGAAAATAAAACCAATTCCAAATATGTCCCCGAAATTGCAATGTTTCATTTAAAAAAAGGTTATAAAATTTGAAGCCGTTATTGGCAATTGCATGTTTATTTCACAAATAATACAAAACTTATTTTTTTCATTAACCACTTTTTTAAATATTAAAAAATTTAACATTCTATAAATACGTTATTAGCAGTTCTGATGACACGTGTCACATAGAGTATGCGCTGTATAAAAGACATCAACGCACTCTGTTCAAATGGCGTAAATCGAAGAACAGTTAGAATTATCCTTGTAGGCCGTATTGCTATTACATTTTCACTGAGAAATCCCTGAAATGTAAATGTTGTGATAGAATTGAATGTTTTTAAAAAGTATTCATGTAAAATTTTTTTTGTTATATGAAAAGAGGGAGTTTTAGTAAAATTAGTTTTCGGTTATATAGTTACATATTAATCATGGAAGGCGGCTAATGCCAATAATAAATGTACGTAATATGTAACGAAGAAAACTAATTTATTACGTGTAAACAAGCTTTATAACACGGATGAGTCGTTGCTCAGTAATGGATAATTAATTATTACGAAATATGCTCGTTATAATTAGCTTACGTACATTATGTGTTCATAGGGCAATTGTGGCGTAGGATCCGTCGCGGATATTAACGTATGGAGGGGGTCAGATTGAAATTAGTCAAATATGAATTAAGGATAGGTAATTAAAAAATACTTAAGGTAGTTGAAAGTTATAATCAAAATAAAAGTTTATCTTAATATGGTCAGCTTGTCATAGAAAAATTATATGTTTTTCAAAATCATTTTTACACTAATTATATTAAATGGATAAAGTGAGACTTTATGTACCATATGTAGCCAACAAAGAAAAATTCAGTCATACAATAGAATAATAAAAGCACATATAAACAAACCTTCTTAATTTTTCTAAATTTTGAGACTTTTCCTTATACACGGTGATTGTATAAGATATAGAATAATATATAGTATATTTCCTACATGATCCTTGTCGTGGTTAAGGTATTCAATAAAGAATAAAATATGATATTTATCTAATAATCAGATAGACCGTAATATGTATGAATCAATTTACGAATTTGAATGTATTTTAAAACGGTATATTTTAATTATAAATTAACACGCAAGATTTATCACCAAATAATTTTTTGTGGAGCAAAGAGTATTTCGAATGAGTACCGAGGCCTACTTTCTCTTTTGTTTGAAACGTTTTTTCTCGTGACTGAATCTGACGGTCTATCGATGGCGCAAGATCAACTAAGCAATGTATCTACTTACATCACTTTTTAAGACTCTTTGTGAATGCGGCTGCATATTGCTATAATATGCTTCCGAAACTGGTTTTAATGACATTTGTTGAAGGAATTCGTCAGTATACTGTACTACGTATCTTCTTCTGTTGCGCGAATGGGCAGGCTATCATCATCATCATCATTTCAGCCTGTTAGAAGTCCACAGTTGGGGATCGTCCTATATTTATTATATGCTTTATTGAACACCATAAACATATATGAGAAATGTTACATAAATAACATAAGGTACTAACAATAAGGCGGTCTTATCGCTAAAAGCGATGTCTTCCAGACAACCTTGTGGCTAAAAGTACAATATTTTGGACAACGGTAGGTTGTGCAAATGATAAACTTACATACGAAGATCTAAATAAACTGAACGAATAATTTATATTTTGTAAAATAATAATATACTAATATATACCAATTAATTATATACAATAGACATCTATAAAACTAAACATATACTGTACAATAACTTACAAAAATATATACGGGGAGAGAAAAATATAAAATAAATATACAAATGTCGTCAGTGACAATCAGTGTCAACAATGCATATTGCATACTATACTGCAATGGTCAGTATGAGGCTGCCACTCAAAAAACCTTTAGTCCCCACGGGTTATCGGTCCTACAAACTACATGGCATTACCACTTCAGCTTACGCTATGTCGGTTTTCTTTGTTGTACCGCAGGCTGAGAGCCGTGATAGCTCAGTGTCCGGGCGCTCGCCTTTATTTCAATATATACTCGAGCAACCTGAGTTCGATCCCCGGTGCCGGCACCAATGAAGTTTTTAACTTTAAGTGCTGAATTATCACGTGCTCCGCGGTGAAGGAAAACATCGTGAGGAAACCTGCATATTTTCGAAATAATAACAATAAAAATGTATTTCGAAAATATGTGAAGTCCGCCAATCCGCATTGGGGCCGCGTGGTGGACTATGCCCTGATACCCTCTGTATGGAGGAGGCCTTTGCCCAGCAGTGGGACATGTATAGGCTGTTACTTTACTTTACTTTTACCGCAGGCTTATGCGAGAAAGTATCACGCACTCTGTTGTAAAAATGGAAGTTAAACTTTTGCGTTTTCATTGAGGCAACGCAACCACATCTACGGATTTTGTCTCTTAGCTATGATGATTAATAAACATGACATGACATCACGTTCATCTTCTACATAAAAACTTTTAATTTTCTACATAAACTTTTGTCAGACTCAAGTGGTTTGTTTTATCAATCATAATGAATGTTGTATAGGAGTAGAACAATTCTGCGACGTTAGATTTTCCATCCCAATAAAATGTGGTATACACTTATTAGATAAAAAAAGGTATAAGTATCCATTAAAATGTACCATAAAATTTTAAATCATTAAGCAAAGAAACATAATTTTACATTAAGTAAACTTATTACAGAAATAAGTTTATTTAACTTTAACTTATGTCTACTATACCTCTTTGAATGTAAATTTTTACATTCAAAGAGGTATACTAGACATTTTCCTTGAAAATTTTTGGAAAGCCAGATATAATATTTTGAATTTATTTTATAATAAATTGGTTAAGTGTAATATCATAAAGTTACACGAAATAAAAATCTACGAGTTACATAATCATACTAAGTTACACTGTTATTTCTCATCAATTTGCAAACATCTCTTCATGTCTTTATATCAGGTCTTCTTGTTGCTCACTAATGCCGATAATGAATGCTTGTGAGAATATAACCTTTAAGGTCACAATGTTGGATTATGAGTCACTGATCCCAGATTGGATTCTCAGAGGTAAATATTTATGCTGATGGGAACAATTATTAATATTTATTTACGGTCAACTTGTAATTGTCTTTGGTAATAAACGTATTACAAAATATATATTTCAATTTAATTTATATTATCGCATTAAGTATGTTACTAAAATAAATAGTAGATAGTAAAATCTAGGTAAAAAGTTTCTAGATGGTTGTTGGAAATATGTTGAAGATTAAATTGTCTGACATGAGTGAAATTATAGATCTGTATGTCACAACTATGCCTAGTTTGCGAGCCTGATTATAATTCAGCGGTACTGTCCATAGCGGAAGTCAAACGGTACGAGGCCGCCGTCCGCTCCTCCCTGCGACACGCACGTCGTTCATGATATTGATGAGATTCTTGATTTCTAACCTGCTCTGGAAATATTTCGATCACATACGTATTTATTTTACAAAGTTCATTGAAATGCCGTGATAGCTCAGTGTCCGGGCGCTCGCCTTTAATTCAATTTACTCGAGCAACAATGAAATTGTTAATTTTAAGTGCTGACTTAACGAAAAAATATTTCGAAAATATGTGAAGTCCGTCAATCCGCAGTGAGGTCGCATGGTGGACTATGACCCGATACCCACTTTACATAGGAGGTCTTTGCCCAGAAGTGGGACATTTATAGGCTGTTACTATTGAAAATTATTTCAATTATGCGGCTCCTTTGACTATTTGACGCAAATCATTGAATATGTGAGAGCTTACAAAAAGCGCTATGTTATAGATTTTGACTTTAAAGTTTCATAATACTAGCTTGACGGTAAAATTATTGATAAAAGTAACAAAGCAAAATTTAAAAAAGTTATCCTCTATATGTTGTGCTCAGCAAATTTATAATAATTTCTATGTTTGAACCGGGATGATTCATTGTTACTTGCTATCTGTACTTGTCAAATAAACTATTTAACAAATTTTTTCGATTGGTAACGTGACATGGTATTCACTAAAACTAACTTAGCAGTCTAGGCAACGTTCTCAAAGGAAATTTGCAGTCCGCTACAAGTTGCGCAGTACGGCTATGGAATGAAGGGAGGCTGTGAGGCGCGAGAGGGGACCCACCAGCTGGCGGCCGTCAAGAGTGAAAGTGAGCCTTAATCGCTCCGCGCCAACGATACACTGTTAACTTGAGACTCGAGCTAACGAGACCTTGCGCAAACGTTTCTCAACAGCTTTTTTAACGTTTCCGAGTTATTAGTACGGTTCAAGTCCACGTTAGATAACACACATTGTAGAAAAATTATTTTGACTACGGTTGACACACAAAATATATAATATGACATTTTTCTTCAAAAAACATAACAAATTGCTATAGGTATTGTGATTGGGAACGGTTGTAAAAAATGAAAATGTCAATTTTTTTAAACACTCATACGTATTTAACTGCTGGACAAAAGCCTCCTACAAAGTTAAATACAGAGGATATTCCACACTATGGATTGGCGGACTTCGCATATCTTTGATATATATATTTTTTTGAAAATGCAGGTTTCCTCACGACGTTTTCATTCACTGTTTAGCACGTGGTAAGTCAGTACTTCTTAGAATTAACAATTTATTGTTTCCGGTATTGTGATTTGAACTCAGGTTGTTCGAGTATATTGAATTAAATTGAGCGCCAAGATATTATACCGGCTAATAAATATGTGTATAACTTAAAAACTAAGGGATAAATTGAGTATAAAAGTAAAATGCTATTTATTAGTAACATTGGGACACTTTATTTTTGTGTTCATTTGTTCGGAATTGACACCTTGAGAGTTAAAAATTTGCTTCTGTGGAATAGATTCAGGCGATATTCTCAAGCCAACTTTAACATTAATTCTAACTTAAGGCCATAAATAATAAAGAAGACATGTAATAAAATTTCATAACTTCATCGTATAAGTCGTATACGATTGTTGTCCAATCTCTTTTGGGACGTTACATTAACATTTTTGTTGTTCAAAATTAACTAAACTTTTCATTTTTCGTAATTCGTTCCCTTATTTACCAAACGTATCGCGATTCTACTTATATTGAAGTCTAGCAAGTCGCTGGTTCCAACAAAGTCGCTGACCTTGCGGCCATCGACGCCGTATAGCCCTATACGCCTCCGCCTAACTCTGTACGATATCAAAAAGTTCACGAAAATCGTAGTATTACGAAAAAAACATGCTTAGTCATATATAGTTTCGCGGATTTTTTGATCATGATAGAATTTATCATTAATAAACAATAGAGAGTACCTTCACAGTTGATTTGACTTTCAACCGTGTATTTTGGTTCTAAATTAAAAAAAATTGTAGGAATTTAATTTATATTTTGTGCTTTTCAATCTTTGAGATGAATGACCCGCAAGGCTGAGACATCCTAAGGAATGCGAAATGCTCCTTTGTGCTCATGATTCATTGTACATGGAGAAAAGTTAAGCAAATATTCAATTTCGTTGTAACAATGACGACGTGGCAAGCTATCTCGATACCATGTTGGTAACTTTATTTTTTGTTATACTTTCTATTTTTTAATAATTACTTAAATAAAAAAAGAGATCGTTGCTACACTCTCTCTCTCTCTCTGAGTTGAAATTTTAGTATATTGAATCCATTATGAAAGATTTAATGAACAAATAGAAATGCCACAAGGCATTGAGGCAGACTATGATAAAACGAGTTTTCGTGAGATATGATATGTATATTTAAATGGTATTTTTATGTTATATATTTGACCTCACCTATTTACCTACTTGAGCTCACACATTTTATTGTGTTAATTGTTTAAGTTCATGAATTTAAGCAATGTTATTTGCGTTTATAGAAAGTTATATTTAAAACAAAAGGGACTTTTCTGGTTTCTGCTATACTATAATAAGATATTTTTTCCATATGTGCAATGAAATTTTATAGTAAATAAAGTAATTACATTAATAATTTATTATTAAATAAAATAACTAAAAATATTTATCCCCGATTTACGTTGCCACAAATTCTAACAATCTATACGCTTATATGTGCTTTGTTTATCACATTGTAAACTATGGAACACGCGTTACCTATGACATTTGAGATCCACTTCGGCATTATAACTCGTCGAGGTCATCAAGACCGCAAGAAATCGCTCTAACCCAGCAAACCTAGGTTTAATTTTTTATTCATCTGAACAAACTTTCAGTTTGTAAAATGATTTATAAAAAGTTGTTGCTTTTTTATATTGTATCGACCCCGTGGCGCAATTGCCAAGGTATTGGCTACGGCGTCGGGGATCGTGGGTTCGATTCCCACACGGGACAACTATTTGTGTGACCCACAGATAGTTGTTTCGCATCTGGGTGTTTGTCTGCGTGAAATTTATGTTTGTAAAACGTCCTTACAACACAGGATAATGTTATCTTAAAGTGAGGGCAATGTTTTAAAGTAATAAAAAAAAAATTCTGTATTTTGATCCTTGCCAAATAAATAGCAATGACATTTTACCATTTCAGAAATAGTTCCAATATGGCGACGTCAGGAGGGAAGTCGCGGCGGGAGGAGGCCAGCGACAATTCGGACGACGAGCTTACACCTCTTGCCAACGAAATTTACGGGGGCAGGTAAATAAAACTAATATAGTGGAACGTTCGGAATTAATTAAAGCATCGTATGCTTTAAGAATCTTATCCTTAAGCATCATTTTAAGGTTTTTTAGCGTTTTGTTGCAGTAAATAAACAAGTGTTTGGAGTCAAAATAATTAAAAACAGAAAAACTCCGACATATAAATAAATTTTGGAAGCTAATTCTGTTATTGATATGTTTGCACGATTCATCCAACACGCTAATAATCTGTGAATTCGTGACAGTATAAAAATAAAAATAATAACAGTTGAATTTAGTGTGGTGCTTAGAGGTCGGTCCGCTGTCGATCGGTCACAACGGCCCGGAACCCGCTCAAATGGCAAGGTTATCAACTCTGACGACACAACTTTCGATCGATCGCATGCGCCACATTTTTGCGCCCCACTTGGCTTGAGACTTACACAGCGACGGTTGCTCTTAGTCACTTGGCTTAAGATCACTTAACATGCTCTTATTTTATTAAAAACGTTTATGACCGAGGCGTGTAGAGGATGCGAAAGCGACTTACAGCAATCCCGTAGCATTCGACGCTGTCCTTTTGCCCTGCTCTTAAGATGTGTATTCTTAGTATCAAAATGTTACATTGTCAACCCACTATTCGCTTTAGTGCCAATCGTATTTGATCATTTGCACACTTCTTTAGTTAACTTAAATCACAGGACAGATCGGTGTCTACGAAGCGGCGAGCGCCGCTGGGTCGGGCGTGATCTGAATATTACATTACAACGGTTTCTGACCTGGCTGTTCACGCCATCTTTGTTTTTCTTTTAAAGTCGAGTTCTCATATTAAAATTCCTAATGGTCCCAACAAGACGAAGAATTAGGAAACTGTAAGAAGAATCAGCCCTGTACATGCAATTGTGTGTCGTTTATGAAATTTCGTTTCCTCCACACGGCATGGTCAATGACCTTGGTACAGTGGACCCAATTTGAGAGTGATGCAGCACGCATACTAACGTTAAACAGTATGTGACGTTTAAAATTTCTTTTTATAAGCGAACCAATTGGAATGCTGTAAGCAATTGAGTTAAAAGTTACAAATAATGGAAATAAACATAGTTTATGTTTTATAGTTTAACATATACCCGATATACATAAGAAAAAAGTAGGTATATGACTCGAGATTTGCTTTTTTTCATTTGAATATATTTTTTAACTAGCTGTTGCCCGCGACTACGTCCGCGTGGAATAGGATGAAAGCGAAAAATTCAGACAGATACAGACAGATATCTATACATATAATAAAAATGTTACTTGTGTTTGTCGGTACACGGAAGATATTTCAGAAAAACTATTATTAAAGATCCTCCTTTATAAACACAATAGAACCCAAAACAATGGTTGTTAAAATTTTTGTCCGTGTGTATGTGCGGTTGTACGCGTAATCTCGGAAACGGCTTAACCGATTTGGATGCAACTTTCATTTATGCACTGTAGTACTTCACTTAACATTTAGTGTTAGTTTTATTCAAATCGGTTCATAAATAAAAATTTTATATCAACTTAAAAAAAAGTAATCGCTACAGCTGAATTGGATGAAACTATAGTTAACTACAATTATATTATGGTCTGTAAAATGATGATGATTGTTATATTATATAAATTTAAAAACCAGTCAAATGCGAGTCGCAATCGTGAACGAAGAGTTCCATACCATAATCTATAAAAAAGGCAATAAAATTATGTCCGTTGTATGAGAGCCCCACTTAAAAAAAAATTCTGATTTACTTTATTTGTTGTTATAGCGTCAACAGTGAAAATTTCAACTGTCTTAATAGCACAGTTTATGAGATACATGTATCAAACAGATGCTAGCATCAGTTTGTTTGAACTCACTAATCTCAGCAATTACTGGTCCGATTAGAAAAATTCTTGCACTGTTAGATAGCCAATTTATTGAGGAAGGCTACTTTTTAAGCACGATATAAAATGTGGTACATACGGGCCGAACCGCGGGCGAAAAGCTAGTGTACAATAAAATATCACTTTAAATACCACATTCACAGTTTTGCCTTCTGGGAAACAATTACTATGGGTCACACAAATAATTGTCCAGTGTGAGAATCGAACCCACGACGAAGGCAATGCCTTGACAACTGCGCAATGGTCAGTGATCTAGCGAGGGGTATTCGCGAATTAACATATAACTGACTCCAATGTGCGAGATATGAATATATATAATAGAGAATGGTGTCTATGGCGAAATGGGTATCAGCACTAAGTCGTGTTTGGTTTTCATTAGATTTTTGAGATCAAATCATTCGAAGCATTTTTGTAATAAATACTAAAAGGTAAATTCAATGATTTAGAAAATACTGCAAAATAAGCTACTTAATTACAAAAAAAATATATCAGATACAATTTGTGAGTCAGTGATAAAAAACAAACATAATTTCCAAACGATAAAGCAAAATAATATCCGAATATCCTAGCCTAACCAAATCTATATTCCTAAACAGTGACAGATTTGTCCTTTGCTTGCCCTAGGCTCATTAAAGATTAAGAGAAAAGACTCGCTAAAAGGCACAAAAAATTATTAAGTTAGTACATGATATTATGGACCCGACGAATTTGAAATTGTTTGTATGCAGGAAAGGATATAACAATAGATGGCGCCAAGCATTGCTTCAAATGCTAAGAAAACATTGTAGAGGAATGCGTTAAGAAAAGATTTTCGTCGGTGTGGTCATCAGCCGTTTAGCTCAGTGGCTAGAGCGTCAGGCCGCGAATGCCGAAGACGTGGGTTCGATTCCCACAGCGGCGACAATCTTTTCGCACTTTTTCTACATATTTTAATGTTCAATCTTAAGTGCAAAGATTAGCACTATAAACAATTTAAAAATTTCTAAAAAAGCAATGGCGACATCTCTCGTTCGAATTATCGTTGTAAAACGATATTCGAAATTGTTTGTATGCTGGAAAGGATATAACAATAGATGGCGCCAAGCATTGCTTCAAATGCTAAGAAAACAATGTAGAGGAATGCGTTAAGATTTTCGTCGGTGTGATCATCAGCCGTTTAGCTCAGTGGCTAGAGCGTCAGGCCGCGAATGCCGAAGACGTGGGTTCGATTCCCACAGCGGCGACAATCTTTACGCACTTTTTCTACATATTTTAATGTTCAATCTTAAGTGCAAAGATTAGCACTATAAACAATTTAAATTTCTAGTAAATTTGTTACTCTTACATTTTCCTAATGGTGGAGCCATGCAACAGCTTATGCTGTATCATGATCGAGCCGACTCACCCGTACCATGGCGTCACAGAAGACCGTCGTAAAGCAGAATTGTTTACACTTTTGTATTTCAAAACCCCATGATTGCAGTTGTGAGAGTTTTAGACCATAGACGAACGTAATCACTTAATATAAGGTAGATCAGCAGCACGTTTCGAACCTTCTCTCACAGAAAAAAAATGAGTAACAAATCATTATACGTGGATTGATGATTTTCTCTAAACTATAGTATCACATGAACACAAAAACCACACGGGCGATCATATCCCGAAAAATTATTCATATATAAATAAATAAACAAAATGAATAAATATATCAGGACGTACAAGATACGTTTTACCCATTATCTAGTGTATCATGTAAACTGAGTAAGCTTTTGTCTTTTGTTTAGGTAACTGATAAACATACATAAACAACGTACATATATATATATACATTCATACACACACACACATATATATATATATATATATATATATATAGAAACCTAGACACCAGCAAAAAGCTGTTTATCACACAATTTTTTCTGGTAGTGGCAATCAAAATCACATACTCTTGCACAACAGGCACTTTCAATATTCACATCACCATTCGCGTCGTCATTATTTCATACTAGCTTCTGCCCGCGACTACGTCTGCGTAAAATAGGCTGAAGTGGTAACATTCAGGCATAAAGACATATATACATAAAATATGTATATCAATTATAGCCTATGTCTTATTCTGATGTATAAGCTATATTATTGTAAAGTTCCATTACAATCCATTCAGTAGTATTTGCGTGAAAGAGTAACAAACATCCATCCATACATACATACAAACTTTCGCCTTTATAATATTATTAAGGATAAACTCTTGTAGAGCAGGATCTGTGGCATTGAATCCTTAGTATTATTAAACACAAAACCACCAAAATAGTTTTTTACATTGTTAATTCTTTTGTTTTATTTCTTTTTAAATAAATTGCGTTAAATACTATTCAACATACATTTTCAAATCCGTGTTTGTCGTGATATTTGTTTTCTGAGTTCGCAAATATTAGCTATTTGAACAAAAATGACACACTCAGCAGCGGTAATTTCTCACAACCACTGTCGCAGAACGGAGAAAACTGCAGAGTCTCTTAAGTTTTCTATAAAGAGATGTATCATACGGATCCGTTTTAAAAATAAATTTTGCTTCACAGTAAATTTGTTCTAATTTTTCATGTGTCCAAGGGAATCATTTTATATTTATTTTCAACCGATTTCAAAAACAGAGGAAGTTTTCAATTCGACTGTATTTTTTTTTATGTTTGTTATCTCAGAACTTTCGTCTGAGTGAACCGATTATGATGATTCTTTTTTTTAAGCTATTGCATAGCTTTTATCGCGGGCTTTGAGCGCGGCGACCGAATCAAGAAATTCCTTAACGAAAATAAAACCTAACACCCCCCACTCCGCCTATCATGTAGCTCGGCCGAGCGTTTGCTTAACGTGAATGTATAAGGTACGACTGTACGATATTATAATATGATATTATAATATTATATTATCATATGATGATATGATATTTAGAGGATATCAAGTCTCAAACTTATGTTTCTTATTTCAGTTACCATAAACCTATAGTTTCAATGATAAAAATTCCTGAATAACCTACATGTATTTCAAGACAATAAAAATATTTTAAGCGATCGGTCATTACGCTCAAAAAGTATAGCTTGAATTAAATCAAAGAAAAAAAAATACTGCATAAATAAAAAATAAATAAATTGCATAAGTTAATAAAAAATGCTATGCAATAGCTTTTCCGCGGAAGTCCCCTTTCAAATAAAAAACAACTGTGGCACAGTTCTGGTGCTTCCGGAGATACTTAGGGAACTCCTGAAAATAAATAATAAAATGTATACAAAACGTGATATTTGAAGTCCGTTTTGTTTTTTGTGAATAATTTTTTTAGAATTAAATTGCAGCTAGCGTTCTTGGCATCATGCCGCGTGGATTAGGTTTATTAGATAATATGTAATTTGAGATAGATTTAATCTTGTAAATATTAGATAAATAAATAAATTGAATTATGTTTAACCTATTGATATAACATCCTGAGACCTAAAAATAGTCAGTTCATGAACCCCAATCGATTTTGATATGACACAATTTATATTTAGAAAATTTCGTGATCGAATTATAAATTCATATAGCATTTCCCGTTGCAAATATAAGAAATTATTATTCAAGTTTTGTCCACTGACAACAATGGCCAATCGGTAGTCTGGTGGTCAGTTGGTTTTGATTCCGCACACTGGCCAGTGCGATCAGACCGTCCGCCGTTCTTGATATCAACTCGATGAGTTGTTGATTGGCCATTGGACAGGCTAGACATAATCCTCATCTTCTTACACTTTCCTTTCTTAGAAGAACTAAAACAAAGAAATCGTGGTGTCGACTTGTGTGCGTAATTAAACCTGTGTTAGTTTTGTGTTCGAAACGATGAATTGGAGAAGATGAGTGTGCATGATGGTAAAACTTATTACGAGAGACATGAACTTGCAGAGCCCGTTTATATCGCGAATAACAACAACTCAGTCTACAGTACGGGAACATTACATTACTGTAGTATATACAGGTACTCGTACATAATTTAAATCATTAAAATTCGGTAAATTCCTACCGCGCCTGTTTTACGTTAATGTTACGTTAAAGTTTTGGTGTAGCATTTTAAAACGTTATTGTAAAAAATAGAGAATAATAAAAAGCCTACCTTATTATATTAAAAAAAACACAAAAATAATAAATAAATTCCGTTTTTTAAAGCAAACTAACAATAAGTAGGAACTTGCTAATGTTTAGCCAAAAAGATAATTTCTAAATCTTTTAAAAATTTACTTAAAAAGTGAGTTCAATGAAAAGTACTTTTAAACAACTTTTGCGTACTTTTAAGACTGATATTTATATATGCCAAATATTTTTTGTATATTTTATATTCATTTACTTTTTTTTATTAAATAACATACGTTTTTAAAGCATATAATGAATTGGATTGTAAATTAACCTTTAAATTGAGTTTATAGAAACCGTGAATAAAACTCCTGCAAATAAATATAAAATATTTGGGCCCCCATATATTGTCACATTCGTATTTAAATAAATGACAATGGGTCATTTCATAACTTTCTAACGTGCAAAACAGAAGCGGACATATCGTGAATGTTAATCAGCGTAAGACATAACTGTCATGGTCCGTAACGCAACATGATTTCAGTTATAAAATTCCTCCCAACATAGGCGATTTCAAATTTATCAACGCGCGAATTAACGTCTATAAAAAGTGGACACGAGATTAAAACTTTATATTCAGTCTGTAAGTTAAGAGTGACATGAATAATCCTTAACTTCATGTCACATATTATATGCTTGTAAACTGTTATTCAGTCTTAAAATCGATGAACTGTTTCGGTAATATTTACAAATGAAGTTATTTTTGCAAAATGATTCTACATAATTATGTACATCCATATACATATTTTGTAAGTTGTATCACTTTAAAGACGAAACCCATAACCTTATCTAACCGTAGCCAAAATGAAAGTTATTATTATGTCAATTTTACAAACAAGTGGATAACTTCTATTGGAAAGACTTTTAAAGTTACGTTAATACGAGGAAAATAATGGTTGGGAGCAAGACTCGCACCGCTTAGTTGGGTTACACATTATACCGGCCGCTATCTTACGCAAGTGGCACTGTCACAACTCAAAGCTAGAACATTTCGCAATCATAGTACGGTGAATGATTAATCGCTTACCCTTTAGGTACCATAGCAACATACCAAGTTTTGTTAATATGATAAAAACATCCAGGAATAAGGAAGGCCAAATGCATTGTGCTTCTACAATGTGTTATTTAAAATTTCTCTCTAACGCATGTGAAAGTTGTTATTCTCGCATCACCGCTTTGTGCCATTTGCTTGACTTTAGAATGACGATGTTTGTTTTCTCTCTATTTCATGCGTTATATCCGTTCCATATAAATGAAGATTTTGACAATGATTTGTATTCCGCTTTTTGTGCAACAGCTTTGTTTTTTAAAATCTTGTGTTCAGTAAAGAAAACACATTAAAACAAGATATACACTTTAACGTCAATATAATCAATCTATTGATAGAGAAATTTAGTTTTCGTCACACTTATGTACAATATAGATTGGATGCATTTCGGTAAAAAATCACCTTTATTTCGAAACGCAGACCTTACATATAGCTTCTGGGGTTTGAATCCGCAACGTCATGTAACAAGAGCACGGGTCGGCGATAACTTGTAACATAGTGGCCTCCCTATCTATTACTAAATTATGATTCATATCAATGATTAATGCGTAAATAAAACATAAAAATGTAAAATGAGGCGTAAGTCAAAGTCGGCGTTCCTGTGTAGTCACTCGTTTACTTATATAACAAATTCAATAATGTTACGAAAAACAAATTTAATGTATCGTCGTGGAGGATAAATTGTTTTTAAAGAAATTAGAACGTTTTGTTACTGAATAAGTCTTGAGAAAAAGTTTTTAAATGGAACGAAATAATAATTAAATTATGACAAATAAGAGTCAAATAACATCTGTATACTTATGTGCATTAGGTAGTTCAGTGATCCGTCTTTCGTTACAAATTTTTAATTACTGCGATGATAGTCGGTATCGAGTTGGTGTAATTTAGCTATGTTTGGCTTATGTTACGAGTTTTGGTGCAGATTTGGTAATGTTTTCTGTTAGATCTTACAATTTACCCAGGCATTTATGGGCAGCGCAGTCGACCTCTATGTGGCGAATAATTTTGTCTTCTTTTAAATGTCCATGGTTGAGTGTATTATTTCATCTAGATTAAACGATGATACGGCGTATGTTGTATTAATGTGTAAACATTGTAGCAATGTGTGAAATTGCCACCTAACTAAACGTGTACAAGTATATTTAAAATATATGTATATTCTTAAAAATCTTTCTTGTATATTTCAGTCAAAGGACTGTACAGGAGACAAAAGGATGGGACGTGTTCAGAGAATTCCCTCCAAAACAGGACAGTATTTCTATGGAAACACAGAAATGGCTGGAGTTCACAGTGCGAATGCTCAAAGTGCTGGCGTACTTCGTCACGTTCATCGTGGTGCTCGCTTCTGGTGTTATCGCCAAAGGCACCGTGCTCTTTATGACCTCGCAGCTGAAAAAGGATAGACGGATTGCGTATTGTAATAGAAACTTAGGTAAGTTTTATTATACTTTATAACATGTTACAATATGTAACGACGAAAGTATTTTTTCTCGTGCGATAGTTATACTTTCCGAGGAAACTTTTGTAAGGGTGCTCTATCTTATAGAGATACAATGTCGGTTCATATAAGGGTAGGCTCTACCTGTTATCTCTCTGGTACCTTACGAACCTATATACATAATTTTTTATGTAAAATTTGACGATTCATAAGAGCGCGCAAGCGTTTATTTGAATAAATATATTTTTGATTTTGATTTTATAGAATCTCAGTTTATATACTTACCTACATACTACAAAATGTTCATTTCAATACTATTGCATTTAATTTCACCATTTATAATTCTGTAATTTCAGGTAGAGATAAACAGTTCATAGTCAGCCTGCCCGACGAGGAACGGGTAGCATGGATGTGGGCAGTTTTCGCCGCTTTTGCCATACCCGAAATCGGGACGTTGATACGTTCAGTCAGAATATGTTTCTTTAAGTCTTCTAAAAGACCTACGCCTGTGCAATTTATAGTGGTAAGTGCATCGTTGATATTTCAGTCTTATCTAAAATAAGTTGTGTGATTTCAGTTGTCTAAAGGTGTTTCCGTATAAACTATACACCGACTTTGCCTCAGTAGATATGTATTTAAAAAATACAACTGTTCCTGAATTACCAACACCAAAAGTTTATAATTTTATTCATTTAACTTAAAAATACATTTTTAACACGCATACGCCTCCTATTTCCCCATCGGACTGCTAAAAAAATTGAAACATAATACGCTGCTTAACGCCTAGTTATATCAGAGTTATTCCTTTAAAAACCATAATTATTTTAGTATATATTATCCCTTTGGAGATTCAGATTTATCAAATGTTTAATTCTTATCGAGAATCTTTCATAAGTATGTAAAACAGGGACCACTGTAAAATTGATCGACTAGTTAATTAATCCTAGTTAGCTTCTAATGGTACATGCATGTTTTTAAATAATTTAATTGTCTTAACCTTGATCTTAAAATTACACACACAGTACTAGTTCTGATGTCACTTTATTATTTTCTATTTTAAAGGTTGTGATGGATTGTCTCGTTTGATAGACAACACTTTATCCTTTAATGATTTGAGTAGATGTGACAAAAGGAGACTACATCGATCACTTAGTGGATTACATAACTAATTTATGTAACACATATAAAGTATATGTACCTATTTTTATTTTATTTTATATATTTTTTATGTATAAATTTTTCATCAAAACTTATAATTAAATAACCGTATTTCAAAAACAAAACTACGTAGTAACAGACAGTTATAAAATGAGCCATCATAAATGGACGTACGCTTCCTTCGCAGGTGTTTCTAGCGGAATCGCTGCAAACGATCGGATTGGCCATCATGTTCTTCATAGTTTTGCCGGAACTAGACGTCGTCAAAGGGGCGATGCTAACGAACTGCCTGTGCGTGATACCGGCGATCCTCGGGCTGCTCTCTCGCAACTCCCGGGACTCGAAGCGTTTCGTGAAAGTGATTGTCGACATGGCGGCCATCGTGGCGCAAGTCACCGGCTTCATTGTGTGGCCGCTTTCGGAAAACAAACCTGTGCTGTGGCTCATACCGATTTCATCGCTATGCATATCGCTCGGGTGGTGGGAGAACTACGTAACGAGACAGAGTCCCATAGGTGAGTGTAGTAATCAGTTCTCTCTAATGAAACCAATAATAAGGAATCAATGATATAATTAGATAAATAAAATAAAGAAAAAACGGCCTCACAAAACTCTTCGTACAGTAAAGTAGAGATAACTTCAGTTGTCTTTTGTTACTAAAAGTAAATTATTGGTACTATAACGTGAAATCTTATACTTTTGAAGTGCTTTTGTAACCAAATTTAATGTGACTTCAAATTTTAATTAAAGATGTGTTTACATAGGACGAAATTTTACTAATTTTTTGTATAAAAAATGAAATAAAAAAGTTCATTTTTATATTCTACAATCCACATCTCATTGGGTTCTAATAGATGATCTCGCTAATATATTAAAGTCGTGGGAATTAAATAAAAACACGTCGTATACGTTTAGATGAACGATTTTCACCTTATTCATCTTTTTTAAAGACTCAAGAAACAGTGAAAATGTAATCATTTCATGACAATGATCTATTTTTGTTACATAGGTGATATTTTCTAGAAGAAAAGAATTCATTTTTTCTTGTCTAGAAAATTAACATATGAGCATGTCAGTGCTATTGTTATTCAGAAGATATTGATTGTCTCTTTGTGATGCTTAATCTCTAGACCTAAACATCCAACTCTGATTTCTCTTTCAAAACTTGATTAATATACCAACGTATACTACATTCAATGAAATGAGAGGTTTCAGTTTAACTTAGAATGTAACTTAAATCCGTCTGTCCGTGCAAATTATTTTCAATAGAATACATTTGTAAAATAATTCACTCATTTATGAAACAAAATCTAGTACCTGAAACGCCAAACAGTATGGAAAACAAAATAAGAAATAAATCTGTGTAAGACATTTTTTACCACCAGGGATGATGTTATTATTGGCTATGCAGTATATATTACTTTACATTTCACTTAAACTTTCAGGTTTAATTAAATCTTTGGGCAGATTAAAGGAAGAATTAAACGCTTCGCGTTATTACACGTACCGATTTATGTCAATTTGGAAGATACTTCTGTTTCTTATGTGTATCCTGTTTTGTTTATGGATGGATGGTGACGAGCCTGCGATGTTCTTCCAATTATTTAACGCTGGTTTTGGACCTCATAATATTGTTGTTGAAGAGGTGAGTTTCTAACACTTTAAGTTTGTATGTGTAATTGCCGCTATTGGAAAATAACATAAACTTGTGTTGTAAGTACGTTTTACATGCACAAATTTGACATGTAGAGACACATAGAAATAAAGCATGTACATGGTTTTAAAGAATCATGCGATTGTAGTAAAGCTACGCAGAAGCTCTGCTGTTTCACGAATGGTTAGGGTTGTCCAGAGAAGTACCACGGCCTTACAGAAGACCTAGTAGTGGAAGTACTGTGCGTTTCGTTTGGTGAGTGACGTAACCGAACCCACTTTTTTAATTGTTGGCAACGCATCTGCAACGTATATCAGGTGTTTTCGATATCTATGGGCGTAGCAACCTTTTCTTAGCAAATTTCTCACATATTTTTTTTTTTTTTCACATAAATAATTGCGAAATCAATGGCAACAACCTAGCGACTGAACGAACTGAGTCATCATTATTTATTTATAATGATTTTTGAAGTAATTATTTCACTTAGTAATGTGTATTTTTCTTAAAATTTCAGATACAAATTCAACTAGGCGGGACTGTGATTCCGGATTTGGTCAACGCAACATTAACTGGAGACTCAGTTGAAGTAGCCGCCGTTTATAAATCGGCCTTTTACGTCATGCTCATTCAAATGTTCGCTGCATACTTCTGCTACATATTTGGAAAATTCGCTTGCAAAATCCTTATACAGGGATTCAGTTACGCGTTCCCTATAAATTTGGTTATACCGCTTGTAGTTAATTTGCTTATTGCTGCATGTGGTTTAAGAAATGGCGATAATTGTTTCTTCCATGGGACTGTACCAGATTATCTATTCTTTGAAAGTCCGCCAGGTTAGTAAAACTTAAATAAGGAGCTGTTTTGATTCTTTCTGAATTACAATTTTGAGTTAAACATAATATCTTTTATCGCTTGAGTCTATATATATATTTTATAATTTCAGTATTCTCACTTAGCGACTTTATATCAAGACAAATGGCATGGATATGGCTATTGTGGTTACTATCTCAAACCTGGATTACTATACATATATGGACTCCAAAAGCTGAACGTTTGGCTTCCACCGAGAAATTGTTTGTTCTTCCTATGTATAACGGTTTGCTTATTGATCAAAGTATGGCCCTCAATAGAAAGAGAGATGACCATAAGGATGTTAAGACTGAGGTTCGTTTTTGGTAATTAAGAAAAATATTTAGAGCAATAATTGTTATTTTTCAAATAATATCTCAAATACTATTATATATTTTTGTAGGATCTGGCAGAAATAGAGAAAGAAAAGGGCGATGAGTACTACGAAACTATATCTGTTCATACTGATAACACAGGTTCATCTCCCAGAACCATCAAATCATCAGATCAAATTACTAGAATCTATGCGTGCGCTACTATGTGGCATGAAACGAAAGACGAAATGATGGAGTTCTTGAAGTCTATTTTACGATTGGATGAAGACCAGTGTGCTAGACGAGTAGCTCAGAAATACCTTCGGGTAGTCGATCCTGATTACTATGAATTCGAAAGTGAGTTTAATTTACATATTTGCGTTATATCAAATGTATCATACCTAACGAAGAATTACAATGATTTGTTATTTCCAGCTCATATTTTCTTGGACGACGCTTTCGAAATATCCGACCACAGTGATGACGATTCACAAGTGAATCGATTCGTCAAACTATTAGTGGATACTATTGATGAAGCTGCTTCGAACGTACACCAAACGAACATCCGTATACGACCACCGAAGAGATATCCGGCACCATACGGAGGGCGCCTGACGTGGGTATTGCCAGGAAAGACTAAGATGATTTGCCACTTAAAGGACAAGGCTAAAATTCGTCACAGGAAACGTTGGTCTCAGGTACCCTACTTTTTGTCTATAATATAAATATAAGAAATCTCGTAGAGATTAAAGCTTATTCTCTATTAGGAATGCAGTTAGTCCAAAAAATGCCTGGTGCCTTATGTTTACTCTGCGGTGAGGCGTTACGCTATTACATCAGGTTATGAAATCTTAGTGAAATGGGAATAGCGTTATTAACCAGTCTTTTCCGTAAGGATTAAAAGACGTGAAACTTATATTAAATGTTTTAATTATTACTGTTATTACTGTTATTACTGTTAAATAAATGACAATGTACATTCATTTTTACAAAGTTGTTTAACTACCCACAGGTTATGTACATGTACTATCTCTTGGGACATCGCTTAATGGAACTTCCGATATCCGTGGACCGTAAAGAGGTGATGGCCGAAAACACCTTCTTGTTGACATTGGATGGAGACATTGATTTCCAGCCCCATGCTGTACGTTTGCTTATTGACTTAATGAAGAAAAATAAAAATCTAGGAGCCGCCTGCGGTCGAATTCATCCTGTGGGATCTGGTAATAAAATTTGAGATGTGTTAACAGTCATTGTTTTTTCCGAATGAATAAAACAACATGCGTAGTATAGTAAAATCAACCTTCTTAAACATAATTCTAATACTCAATCTAAATCAATCAGTTAAAAGCACTTCTCTCATCTCACTTTCTCCTTCGCATCTAAAGCACATTGAGTTGAATTTTTTTCATTGACAGAAGTCACCAATAAATAAGAAGCATAATTTTTTTTCGCAAAACACTTCGGTAATTCTTCCGTTCATTTAACTGAATTTATTTTCTTTAGGTCCTATGGTGTGGTACCAAATGTTTGAATACGCTATCGGCCATTGGCTGCAGAAGGCTACGGAACACATGATTGGCTGCGTACTTTGTAGTCCGGGATGTTTCTCGTTGTTCAGAGGGAAGGCTTTGATGGACGACAATGTAATGAAAAAATACACTCTGCGATCAGACGAAGCTCGGCACTACGTACAATACGATCAAGGTAACCGGATTATTTGTTTGAGCGGTTGAAATAACTATTCTTTTTTGGACATTCTTTTAAAAAGTGCACTTTGTAACCTCCATCGGGTATCTAATATAAATAACTGTTGAATAATTTTTAATTACATTTTTTTTGTATAGGTGAAGATCGTTGGCTATGTACGCTTCTTTTACAACGTGGGTACCGTGTAGAATATTCGGCTGCGTCGGACGCCTACACTCACTGTCCCGAGGGTTTCAGTGAATTTTATAATCAACGCCGTCGTTGGGTGCCTTCTACTATAGCTAACATTATGGATCTGCTCGTTGATTACAAGCACACGATAAAAATTAACGACAACATTTCAACGCCTTATATCGCATACCAGGTTTAGTAGAACTTTTTGGAAAGATAATATAAATAACATAAATTAAATATTAAGACAATTTTAAAATATATCATCGTTTACAGATGATGTTAATGGGAGGCACTATTCTCGGTCCAGGCACTATATTCCTTATGTTGGTGGGTGCCTTCGTGGCAGCTTTTAGAATCGACAATTGGACTTCTTTCGAATACAATTTATATCCGATTATGATATTTATGTTCGTCTGTTTCACAATGAAATCGGAAATACAGGTGATTTAAATGGATATATTAATTTCATAAACCTAAAACTTAATATTTATAGTATTTCCTGTTATCGTAATCTATGAAATTCTATTTATTTACAGTTGTTAGTGGCGCAAATATTATCAACAGCCTACGCGATGATTATGATGGCTGTAATTGTGGGTACTGCTCTACAGTTAGGAGAGGACGGTATCGGGTCACCGTCCGCCATATTCTTGATATCGTTATCAAGTTCTTTCTTCATAGCAGCCTGTTTGCATCCGCAAGAGTTTTGGTGTATTGTACCTGGCATTATTTATTTGCTGTCTATACCTTCTATGTACTTGCTCTTGATTTTGTACTCCATCATAAACCTGAATGTAGTATCCTGGGGTACTCGAGAAGTGCAAGTGAAGAAAACGAAAAAGGTAAATAGAGTTTCTATGTATAATTAATAAAACGAAATTTATTTTGTACTTCAATGTTATTTTGATCCTTTCAGGAAATTGAACAGGAAAAAAAAGAAGCCGAAGAAGCAAAGAAGTCAGCCAAACAAAAATCTTTACTAGGTTTCCTCCAAGGCGTAAACAGCAATGAAGAAGAAGGGTCTATAGAATTTTCTTTTGCCGGATTATTTAAGTGTCTGTTGTGCACACATCCTAAAGGTAATGAAGAAAAAGTACAACTGTTGCATATAGCGTCTACGCTTGAAAAGTTGGAGAAGAAGTTGGATACCATTGAGAGGTGATTATTATTTTGAAATGTAGAAATTAGTGCAAGAGAATTTGGATCAAAATCAATCAAGATCAGTTTTTAATTTTTCTTTTTAGTTTTTCTTTTTCAGTTTTTTTTGATGGAATAGTGTTTAATAGTTATAAGAACGACCAGTCTATTATGTGAAAATATATTATTTGTCTTGCAGAACGGTTGATCCTCATGGATTAAATAGGGGGAGAAAGTTATCTTTAGGACCAAGGGGAAGTAATGCTGGTGACCACCAGTTGGACGCTTTAGCGGAAGGACCTGAAGAAGACAATGATTTAGCTTCAGATGCTGACACAATGTCAACTGCCCCAAGGGTAATAATTTGTTCAGACTGTGTATTACATTCTGGTGAAACTGGCAATTTTTTCGTAATTTTAAAGAATTAATATTCTGATAGGAAAGAAGAGATGACTTAATTAACCCTTACTGGATCGAGGACCCTGAATTGAAAAAAGGAGAGGTTGACTTTCTGAGTCAATCTGAAATACAGTTTTGGAGAGATTTGATTGATAAATATTTGTATCCCATTGATGCTAATAAGGAGGAACAGGTAAGTTTGAACGTTCACGCGACGACTTGTACGAAGTACTTTTTCCCAAAGCGATCATATTGTGTCTAGCCTTGAGTTTGGAAAGGATTTCGGTAATGGCATGAATTGAGATAGAATAATGTAAGTATATTATGCTCATTAAAACAGAAACTGAGGGAAGAAAATATTTCTCCATGATTTATTTTTATTAGAATACTTATGCTCACAATGCATGCACAAATTATAGCTTATTTTTCTTAATGTAATAAAAACGACTAAAATGTAAATCTTAAATTTACATTCTAAGCATGTTTTATTCCTTTTTTATTTTTTTTTAAACTTGTTAATCTTCCCAAAATTTTAGGCCCGTATATCCAGAGACCTGAAAGAACTGAGAGACTCTTCTGTATTTTCATTCTTTATGATAAATGCTCTTTTTGTCCTCATTGTGTTTTTGCTACAACTCAACAAGGACAATCTTCATTTTAAGTGGCCCTTTGGAGTTAAAACTAATATTACTTATGATGAGGTTTCCCAAGAGGTAACGTGAGAATATACTTCGTGGCGATCAGCCTTCAACGATGACTGAGGATAACGTATTCAAGAATTAGCCCGTAACAATTACTAGTCAAGAACTCTACCATGCACCCACCCAGTCAACTTTGAAAGCTGATTCAATTAATCATTTCTTGTTTTATGTAATTTTACAGGCACGAATTGCACGTGACTTGATAGAGCTTCGCAATAAGTCAGTTTTTGCATTTGTTATGTTCAATGCTTTATTCATATTGATAGTATTTTTATTACAATTGAACAAAGATCAACTCCACGTGATTTGGCCTTTGGGAGTTAAAACAAATATTACGTACATGGAGGATACAGGCGAGGTATAGCCAAATTTTACCAAATTGTGTGTCACCTCACCAGTCTAACGACCTTCTTCTAACCGGTCTGTTTTGGGATGGCACCAGCATGGATATCCCAGTTTTTTTTCTACACCGAGAACTAAACAACTTGGGCGACAATGGTCCTACACATAATCTAATTTTAAGCCCTGGCCCTTGTGATCCTTCCTATTTTTACAAAGGTTTATCTACACGTTCTACTGTAGATACAGTGAACTTTCTACCTTGTTTTGATGATCATACATAATATATACTTCCTACAATGTTTGCACTCTATCCAATACCCCGAGGAGTTGTTTTTCTGTCTATTAAGGTGGCGGTACCTTTCTATTAAACATGGTTTAAGGTTTTATTTAGGGTTTCCTTGTATATCTTTATTAAAGAAGAACGTGGTGATTTGTTTAACATAATATTCTTCCACTTATAATATGTCATCATAAGTGTATAAAAAATATTTTAGCTACATCTGCAAATACCTGAACTTTCGTTGTTAATCGTCATATATTTAATAATCTCAACTTTGTTAAAAATAATTCTTTCTCTGTTTCATTTTGCCACGTTCCCTCAATAAGGACTTTTTTTTTAAATTGCTACTACTGTATTGTTTTATTTGGAAATGGCTATTTTTATGCTTTGATTGAGAACGGCTAGCTTCTTTTGCAGTATAAGGATGTAAATTATGCTTTTGTTGCAAACAGTGAAACTAATGCTTTTTGTAAACTTTCAGGTGCTCATTTCTAAAGAATATCTGCAATTAGAGCCTATAGGTTTAGTTTTCGTGTTTTTCTTCGCTCTGATTTTGGTTATTCAATTTACTGCTATGTTATTTCATAGATTTGGAACAATTTCACATATATTAGCATCAACTGAATTAAATTGGTTCTGCACTAAAAAGGTAGAGAATTGTACATTTTACATTTTTAACTAAGCCGACCCATTATGATTGACGGTATTAAAATTTTGTTTTTTGTTTAGTCTGATGACTTGTCTCAAGACGCTCTCCTAGACAAGAATGCAATAGCGATAGTAAAAGACTTACAGAAATTAAACGGACTAGACGATGATTACGACAATGATTCGGGATCAGGGCCACAGAACGTCGGCCGAAGAAAAACGATACACAATTTGGAAAAAGCGCGGCAAAAGAAGAGAAACATAGGAACACTTGATGTAGCCTTCAAAAAACGATTCTTTAATATGAATGCCAATGAAGGACCAGGTAAGTTAGGTTTACGTACATTATACTAGCTGCCTGCAATATAGGCTAGTATGAAATTTTTCACAAACATTGGTCTAGTCATTTTGGAGTTCATAGGGAACATAAAACTTTATTGATATATACAGATTTTTGCCTGCTTCATTCCTTCATTCAATCTATTAAATGACATTCATCGTTTCAAGTTATTTAAAATAAGCAACAACTTAAACTACTTCCATATTGCCTACTTTATGCTTAAGATAATGAAATTAGAATATTAAACTATCAACACATAACATTCATTTTTATAGTTAATGCTAGTTTTTCACAATATTTATTGGCAAAACCAAAGGAAAATATGTGGCGTACACTTCCGATGCATGCGAATTTTTGAATCCTTTAATGTCTTTTATAGTAATTGTAATGATTTTTTTCTAGGAACCCCAGTGTTAAATCGCAAGATGACTTTACGTAGGGAAACTTTGAAAGCTTTAGAGACTAGGAGAAACTCCGTAATGGCGGAAAGGAGAAAGTCGCAGATGCAGACCCTAGGAGCGAACAATGAGTACGGGGTTACTGGCATGGTAATACTTTCATTTATAAAAGTAAAGTATAAGCCTATTCATGTCCCACCGCTGGACAAAGGCCTCCTCTGAACAGAGGGTATCACGGCCGGGCGGCCAGGCGGCTCCACTGCGGAATGGGGGACTTCACATATCTTCGAAACATTTTTTATAATTATTATTGCGATGTTTTCCTTCGCCGCTGAGCACGTGATACTTCAGCACTTAAAATTAACAATTTCATTGGTGCCGGCATCGGGGATCGAATTCAGGTTGCTAGAATATATTGAATTAAAGGCGAGCACCCAGACATTGAGCTATCACGGGTCACGATTTATGTTCAGCTATCGTTTTGATAATATACTACGATAATTAGTTCTACATAAAATGGTACTAATAAAATTTTACATATTTAATAGATTTATGTCCAAACTTGAAAGTAGTGAAACGGTGTCGCTGTACACTGGGCATAACTGTGATGCAGTGATACTTTTTAGGATTTTAAGAAATCTAAAAAACCGTAAACCCTCCTGTCTACAACTGGGGATTGAACACGCGATCTCAAAAGCGCAAGTTCAACAAGCAACAAACTTTAGGTCTCATTTTAATTTGTAATATAAAAGGAACACAATTTTAATGTTATTTTTTTTCCTTAAAATAGTTTAAAGTGGTCGATACAGTCTCTTGGCTGGTCCCGAGACTCGGGCATAGCTTTCTTGAGACCTTACGTGAAAGCGTATGAAAAGTGTATTTACGTTATAAACTTGCAGCTAAACAATAACCATGGCGTGGTTCCCCGGCACCGCACGTCGACCGCTAATATATCTGTAAAGGACGTGTTCGCCGAACCAAATGGTGGACAGGTAAACCGTGCATACGAGACATCATTGGGCGACGATGATGACATCAACTCCATGCGATTACAACCAAGACAAAATCAAGTCACCTTCCAAGGTAGATACTAATAAAAAAGTCAATTTTAAATATACAAATTATTTGGTAAAAAAAAGACTTGGAAAAAAAAGAATTTAGTTTAAGCACTTGTAGATACTCATTTTGTATAATTATAGGTTATTATTGATTTCTGATTTGTATCGAAGACTCGTAAAGTATGTTTCAAATATCACATTACTAGGGTAATGCGACAAGTTGAAATAATTTCAATAATATGTACCCTCAATGGACTATTACTCAAGTTTATAAAATAAGGTATATTTTGACACTGCCAATTACTTTTACAATTTGTATTTCTTATACTATTTATATAAGAAAATAAAACATTCAAATTTATCGCTTGTTTATTTTCATTTTGCCAGATTTGGTTCAGAATTTCTCTTAAACATCTTAACCAATTCTGTTTCCTTTTATTAATAAATAAAATTACACACTTAAATGCTAGAAAATCTAGCGTCTGTGATTGTGTTTTATTCAAATGTTCATTTTTTACAAACACTGGCATTACAAGGCCCAAGGAGTTCATTATTGGTTAACACATTCAGTGGCACCGACTCAGCATCTCACCAAGTTCACTTTAACTTTATTCCAGTGACGGCGACTAGCGTGACGAGTTCAGTATGATTATATTTCCAAAATGCATCTTCCTATTCATCTTAAAGTTCTGGTGTATACATAATATGATGTTATTTAAAAAATTATATGGTAGCCCAGAAATTTTTATATTGAAAGAAAAAAAAAAATGATTTTTTACTGTTAGTTAGATGAGATAAATTCGCAAAGTTTAAATACAGTAATATAAGGTAATAACGTACGAATTGAACCTAAACCAGACTAAAATTTGGCAAACACTTGCTCTTCAAATGAGCTACTGGCACAGCTGAACCTTTTCATTAAAGAAATAAATATATTATAATTGTAATTTAAACTCAGGATCAATCAGATATATATTTAAAATTGGATGTAGAAAAGAAATAATGAATTTAATTTAAGGAGTTTATTGATCCTGTTAACTGTGTAACTTGTACTGCAAAATTTTAAAACAGGAAGTCAAAGACAAAGGAATAAAACTAGCCATTAAATTCATTTTGAGTTACTTACCTAACTTACAAGAAGTTTAAATATAAAACTGATTTGAATGCTTCTTAATTAATTTTCCAAGAAAGACACAAAGTCTGTTAATTTAAACAGTTGATCTTCACTTGAAGTATGCAGTGGCGCAGGTTGTACTGGTGGAACTGGTTTTACAGTAGCTCCATCTTCAGATATCTCCCACTTGCGATCTCTACAGATTTGTATTACTGCTTCATTACTAAGACCAGTCATAGACATTACAGTTTCAAGAGATATAGTACTGTATGATTGTCCAATTAAACTGAAAGCCCTTTCTCGAACTCTTTCTGTAATGAAAAAAATAATGTTAAATGATAGAGAAACCAAAATATTCATATATATCATATTAACGGAGTGTAAGAAGTTACAATTACAGAAGTGTTTGTACACACTAAAAATAGACTGAAAACAGTTATTCCTACTTTTGATACTGAGGCATAAATCTCAATGCTAACTTGTTATGAATTGGTAAAGATAATTTTTTTATACAGCATAGAGTTTTGTTGCAGCAACAAGTATTGATTCAAAGTTTTGTTAACTATTCTAAATTAGCTTTAAGGAAAGTATTAATATATTAAATAACAAATGAAGCAAATATAATTTTTATTTTAGGACTATAAACTAAAAACTTTAATGGTTGCAGGGAAATTTTCAAATTCAAATAATCTTACATTGTTTTACATTCGAGCAACCTGAGTTCGATCCCCGGTGCCGGCACCAATGTTATTTTTTAACTTTAAGTGCTGACTTATCACGTGCTCCGTGGTGAAGGAAAACATCGTGAGGAAACCTGCATATTTTCGAAATAATAACAAAAAAATATATATATATTTCGAAGATATGTGAAGTCCGCCAATCCGCAGTGGGGCCGCGTGGTGGACTATGCCCTGATACCCTCTGTATAGAGGAGGCCTTTGCCCAGCAGTGGGAGATGTATAGGCTGTTACTTTACTTTACTTTTACATTTTGATTTCAACTTGACCACATTAAGTATTAAGATCAAAATAATTTTTTTCTTTATTCTAACAAAATAAAACCAAGCTTACTCTATGTCATGCATATAATATAGCTTTTTACTATGAATTTTATCTCTATATATAAAATACTAATAGAAATCCATAGATTTTTCTGTGTTGCTCTTATATCAACAATGTATTTTTTATTCAGAGAAAATCATCAAAAGGTCATTGCAATAACTTTACATTAAATAAAGATATCAAGATATTTTTTTTAAACAAGCCTATATCTATCCAGTAGTTCTTCCATGATGCGCACACAATGGCAGACCTCAATTGACAGAATGAAGAGACAAGAGACTAAAATACCTTCTAGTGCTCTAATTATACTAGCGATTGGTTCTGTCCAATTATAGGCTGCAAGTGCTTCATAAGTGCCAGCAAGATCTTTTTTCCATAGTTTTTGACCTATCGCCCAAATTGCCATTATTTCTGGATTACTGCTTATAATGCTTTGTGGTATTCTTTTCCATAAAAATTTTGCATTGCATCTGAAAAATTAAAATCAAAATATTATCATTAAACATAAGACATCTTTTGTTGGAGTTAAATTCAATGCAGACTAATTTAATATATTAGTCTAGTAGACAACTAGGGAAGTCACTTATATAGGTACATGTAGATTAAGGTACACTAATAAAAACTTTATAAATGGTAATTTTATACATATTTTATGTTTAGAGGAAGGGATAGTTAGTATACCTATCCCCTTCCTAGCCCTATATTTTGGATATTTCGCTCTCTGATAATATGTTTTTTATTTAAAATGGCCTGCACTTGAGTGCAGCGCGAATGCGAATGGTAAGCGCGCATAATTTTCACAATTAATATCTTCGAAACTATTAATTTCCGACGGTTGAAATATGGTAAATCGTTTTCTTATATTAGTAGGAACCTTAAATAAAAATTACGTCATATCTAGCTTAATGTACAAATATAAATAACTAGCCAAAATGAAAAACGGAAACGATACTAAAAAGAAAAAGTGCCATAAAAAAAGTTAAATTGATGTGTAACAGAATAATAATACTTACAAGTCGTTTTGGTATAAGTATATTGCTAATAGTTGAGCATAAGTAGATGGTGCAGCTACTCCATTTGGTGCCTGCAAAATCAAATTTATAATAAAATATCTAGTATTTAAGCGAAATTGCAGGATTCTAAAAAGTTATTTTGAAGATAAATCATTGTTATAACCTATAATACCTCTAATTCTTGTTTTTCTAATTCACCACAGAAGGTATCAAAATTAGTTATCATATTTAATACGATTCTCTTAAAGAAACTCCTAATTCCACTAAATAATATTAGTTTAGTTTTCTGCACGAAGCAGTTTTTAAATAAATATATTATAAACTTTTGTCACTGTCACTCTCCTAGGCTTAGGATGACAATTGACAGCTCAATTGTCAATATCTGTCAATTTTGACATATCATAAATATTTCATTTTTCTTTAGAGTCAAATAAGTTGTGTTTCTTCAACTAGTCAAATGCATCGCGCATTTTATTTTCAGACGACATCCTTGCTCCGTATAATGATGAGACTCTAGAAAACCTCCGACAAAAGCATCCATCGATCAATCTTCCGCCGCTCCTACCGCTGCCTCCCGATTCTTCATATCAGGCTTTGCAAATTACAGATAAAGACACTTTCGAGGCAATTATGTCATTTTCAAGTGGCTCTGCTGGCGGCATTGACGGTATAACGCCACAACATCTGAAAGATCTTGTAAGCGTTTCCGCCGGTGATGCTGCCAGAACGCTTCTTAATGATATTACCAAATTATGCAACTTAATGCTTTCCGGAAAAGTAAATCCTAAATTTGTTCCTTTCTTATACGGGGCAAGATTATGTGCCTTTAAAAAAAAAAGATAATGGTATCCGTCCTATTGCTATTGGTTCTACCTTTCGACGCTTAACTTCAAAATTAGCATGTAGGCACATAATCTCCGGCCTTAAAAGAAAATTCCAGCCTATTGAACTAGGCTTTGGAAGCAAATGCGGCTGTGAAGCGGCTGTACATTCCGTTCGAACTTCTTTAAATACTAGTGATTTGGATGTACTTCTGAAGGTTGACCTAAGGAATGCTTTTAACTCCATTGATAGAACGACTCTGCTGAACGAAGTGGCTAACCATACACCAGAAATATATCACTATGTTTGGCAATGTTACAGTGAAAAGAGTAATTTATTTTATGAAAACCATATTATTGATTCTGCTGTCGGCGTTCAGCAGGGAGATCCGCTAGGACCAGCATTATTTAGTTTGGGAATTAATCCAATTATTTCAAAATTGAAATCTAAACTTAATGTCTGGTACCGATGGTACTCTGGGAGGTAAAGTTGACGATGTACAAAGTGATCTTATTGAAATTATTAGACAATTTAAAAATATCGGTCTCGATTTAAATAATTCCAAATGCGAACTTTTCTTTGTACAAAGTGATCTTATTGAAATTATTAGACAATTTAAAAATATCGGTCTCGATTTAAATAATTCCAAATGCGAACTTTTCTTTTCCGAAAAGATTTCTTTTTCCGACAAAATCATTTTGACCCAAAATTTTAGCTCTATCATACCGGGAATTAACGTAGTCCGTTCAGATTCACTTTACCTCTTAGGTGCTCCTTTGTTGATACCAAGTTTGGAACCTCATTTAAAATTAAAGTTAAGTCAATTTTTAGATCATGTCAATAAATTGTTTTTACTAAATTCGCATATTGCGCTTACTATTTTGCGACATTGTATTCTTGTACCTAAATTTACGTACCTCCTTCGCTCGAGTCCAGTTTGGAAATGCGGTGACTTTTTGAACGAAATTGATTTCCATCTTAAATCAGCTCTAGAAAAAATTCTAAACTTATCTCTTAATGAATTAAGCTGGACTCAAGCTACGCTGCCAATTCGTTTTGGTGGTATCGGTGTAAGGAAAATTTCTAGTGTCGCTCTACCTGCCTTCCTTGCTTCCGTGCATAGCGTAAATAATTTATGTAACAACATTCTTAATCACGATTCAGAACTTTCCTATGCAGAGGAGGCAAGGATGTCTTGGCTGTCTATCTGTCCCAACGAAAATATCCCACTGGAAGTAAACCTACAAAAACAGTGGGATGTTCCTTTGGTGCGGAGAGTACAGAGAGATACGTTTCAATCTTTAGAAAGTAATTTAGAGCGTGCCCGTTTCCTAGGAGTCTCATCTAAAGAATCGAGTTATTGGCTTCACGCTTTACCATCAAGTAACTTGGGCACATTACTTGACGATGAAAGCTTACGCATTGCTGTAGGAATCCGTCTGGGGGCACCGATTTGTCAACCACACCAATGCCCTTGTGGTGTCAGTGTAGACAAATTTGGTCTCCACGGGCTTTCTTGTCAAAAAAGTGCTGGCCGTTTTTCTCGCCACGGTTCCCTGAACGACATCATCCGTAGGGCTCTTGTTTCCATCAATGTTCCATCTATTTTAGAGCCCTGTGGCATTTTACGCGACGATGGTAAGAGACCCGACGGTTTAACATTGATCCCTTGGGAGAGAGGCAAAGCCCTTGTTTGGGACGCCACTTGTGTAGACACTTTGGCTGCCTCTCATCTAAGGGGTACTTCGGTCAGGGCCGGGGCGGCATCGGAGGCAGCTGAAGTAAGTAAATGGCGCAAATATGAGTCTTTATGTTCAGATTATATATTTGTGCCATTTGCTGTTGAAACATTAGGTCCGTGGGGTCCCCGCACATCAAAAGTTTATGTCCTAGGCTTAACGCCGCGGCTGGTGACAAGAGAGCTGGTTCTTTTCTCGCGCAAAGGTTAAGCATAACTATTCAGCGAGGAAATGCAGCTAGCGTTCTTGGCACCATGCCGCGTGGATTAGGTTTATTAGATAATATGTAATTTTAGATAGATTTAATCTCGTAAATATTAGATCAATAAAGATTGTCTTTTTAACCCAATAAGTTGTAATATTTCTTAAGTTAACGCCCCGTTTCTGAAACACTGATTATCGTAGATGTCAACTAATCAGCTGTCAAATGGCTCTTCAAATTTCATTTTACTTGCCTAAATGATGGTTGGCTCTTAGAATTGATCAACTCAGAGAGTTTAACCATGCTTGTGGCAACTAAAATGAAATATGAAAAGCCATTTGACAGCTGATTAGTTGACATCTGCGATGATCAGTGTTTCAGAAACCGGGCGTAAATCTTGTATAACATTTACCGTACGCATTTAGTCTCTTTAATGTGTAACATCTTTTCTCTCGCTTTCCTGCGATCAGTGGGAGTTATTTATTGAAAAGGGACGCAGTAGTATAACAGGAAGCTGAAGAAGAGCGCGCTGTTTAATTTGATGAAAAAGTGCGCGCGGTGCTAGAGCTGGCCGACTGATCGTACATCAGCTCAGGGCCATGGGTCAGTGGAAGTGGTTCTCACATTCAATAGTACTGGATCCGCTGTCACCACACTCACACAAGTAATACTTGTTTTGTATTTTGAAGAACCAATGTATCTTAGGTGCTATTTACATTCAGTATTCAACTTACTTAAACTTAAATGTTATTTGCTATTCATTAAAAATACACCTTAAATATTATTGTATTAAGATTTCTTTTTATGAAAGAGTTACAATGTATCTGTGACGTTTTTCGTTTTAAACTCTACAAGAAAAAATATCACGCGAGTACTGCTACTTGACACTAGATGTCAGGAACGTAATATGCATAATGTTATGAATAAATTATGCTTGATTGAGACGGCGTCTAATTGATTCAACTAGTTGCGTTTATCCACTTTAAAAAAAATCAGCAATCTAAATGAGGACAGAATTAATTTGTTTGTTCCTAGTATTAATATCATGTACATTACTAAATCTTAAAACATCATTCTTATTTTTATGGACATACATAACATTAGCAAGTAAAGGTTGTCCCATAAGTAAAGAGACAAAACTGAGTATTCATATCGGCCAAGAAAAAGGTTTTCAAAAAAGAAAATAACTGTTGCCATGGTAACAACGGGTAACAAATCTGTCAAATTCGCGTGGTTTTGCAAATATTGTTGACTAGCTGCTGCCTGCAACTACATCTGCGTAGAGTACGCTGAAGGCGTAACATTCAGACAGAAAGAACGATATACATAAAATATGTATATCGTTGTTATATAAATTATAGTCTATATGTTATTCTGATGTTTAAGCTATATTATTGTAAAGTTTCATTAAAATCCATTCAGTAGTATTTGCGTGAAAGAGTAACAAACATCCATCCATACACACAATCTTTCGCCTTTATAACATTAGTAAGGAAGTAAGGATGTTTTTCTAACATGAAGCGAGCCGAACGAGTAATTCAGTACTATCTGAATAATTGGAAATCCGAGGCAGTCCGTCATTTTTCTCAAGAAGGGGCTATAAGTCTTGAATGGTGGATGTGGCTAATGGGATCGCTCTCAAACCAAAAAGACACAAGGACTGATAGAAAACTATTTATTTCAACAAACATTTTGAATTTATTTTTAACGAAACGTAATCATTATGAATTTATATAAAATACAGGAGTTATGTCAGACAGCTATACATGTTACATCCTCAAACGATTTTTACGGAATTAATTAAACACGACACAATTCAGTCTGAACAAATAAAACTAACATTCCAAATTTAATTTAAAGTAATTCAAACATAATACATAAACCAAACAGGTCAGAGTTGACATCAAGAGAGTATGTACAATCTCAGATTACCAATCAACACACCCCCTTAATCTCAGATATACATCATAACACCAGACAAGTAAAGAAAACCCAAAAAATTTAGAAATTATCAACAAACAAACCACCAATCATAACAATAACACACAACAAAAACCAAAACACTTAATAATAACTAAAACCACAAAAATACAAGAAAAACAATACATTATAAAGGAAGAGATATCAAAAATTCTGTAAAAAGTTTATCTGAAAAATTCCGTTTTTAATTCTGATTCTTTCCCCTTTACAACAATCTCACACACACGCTTCCACTGCGCGAATCTCTATTATTAACACCCCCTTACATTTGCACTACCTACACTTCATAACGTAACTTCATATCTTAATAACGTCTATCAAGACAATAACACCAATTTTCGACATCAAAGGAGCTTGTTTTAGACCGTAAATTACAAGTGAAGCACCGTTGACCACAGGACCACAGGCCCCTCCATAATCCACCTTATATTTCTGTTGAAAACCTTATACCTTATACCTCTCAGGTAAAGACCTATATCTCGT